ATAGATAGATAGATAGATAGATAGATAGATAGATAGATAGATAGATAGATAGATAGATAGATAGATAGATGATTAGTAATATTCAAATGAATGAGGATATCATTAACAAATTAAATATTCGTTATTTTACTTGAAAACATATAACAAATCGATAGAAGAAAATGTAAGGACTCTCAGTTTACAAAGATTAAAATAATAGTTCGTGAAATATCGCCTATTGGAGATTCATTATAATGAAGTTTCTGTCTTTAAGATTTTACATGTGGGTGAATTTAAAGATGCTTTATGAATTATGCCATATGTAAAAAATAATAAAATGGCAGTCGTAAAATATAAATGGCCATTTGACTAACAATATTACCTACAACACTTCTGAAAACTTCCTATCTTAAAAGAATCAATTAAGTGTTCTTTGGTATAATGATCTTCAAAAAATCATTATCTATTAGAACTTGCTGGATTTCAGATTATTTTGTATTAAAATTTTTGATATAGGTAACTAAATACAACTCTGTCAAGAATAGGATGAAGCAGTGGGGAAAAGAATATATATTTAGACTAACGTGTTTGTCATTTAAATCTTTTATAACGGGTACTAACTGCAATCAATGTCAGTCATACTAAATTTAGGTTTTTCCAGTTCTAATAAAATGCAATGGCCTACAAAATGTTTTAACAATGTAGGTATACATCAACAACGAACAACTACTAGATCAATTTTATTTACAAAATCCGAATTGCAAGAATTCACGGTGTTATCCATCCACGTAGTTGTCAAATTTTGACGGGAAAGTTCATATAAAAGGTTTGCTTATTGTTATAATTCGGAATTTACAAAAGGCTTTAAAACGCACAAAAGGCTTTCAAACTTACATTAAGGAAGTATATTTACATCATTAATGCCAGTTATCACAGTTTAATGTCTTTTTCTGGTTGCAACTATAATTGTAGCTGAAGGTGATTTACAGGAAAACACATCATTTGTTTTACATCATGGCAACAGTGTAAAGCAGGCATAGTGGTTGTACGAGCTGGTTTGTTCATAAAACGTGTGCTCACACAAACCATCCCCACTAATTTAGTAGGTGTTTCGCTCTTTCTAATGCAGTAGCGCCAGTAGCCGAGGCGACAGATGTCTGTCTAACATAAAACAAGAAGAAACTTGCAGGTAAACAAGGGCTTAATTATGAATTAATGGATTAATATCTTGTCATCCTCAGACCCTTTTCATCAGTTTCATACTACTCAATTAAAAAAAAAATAATGCTTTTCTTATGAAAACACTAAAAAACAAACCCAAAAAGCCTTGAATAACTAAAGGAATTAAGACTTTGGCAAAAAATATGCACTCTTTGTACCTAATAAAAAATTATTCAGGTGGCAGTGGTTCTATCTCAAATTATTACTTGAAATATCTTGCAATTTACAGGAAAATTATTAAAGCATCTAAACAATTATACTTTAAAAAAAGAATAAATGATGCAGGCACTAAACAAAGAGAGACCTGGAAAATATTAAATGACTTAAGAGGCAAAAGTTCTAAACCCTTGGTCACCAATTTAAGCCCTACTGAAATCAACGATTTTTATTGTTCTGTTGGTCCAAGTCTGTCCACCCAAATAACTCCTTCGACTGATGCTTTGTCTTATTTAAATAATCTAAATATTAACGATTCATTTTATTTTATACCAACTGATGTAGAAATTAAGGATATCCTCTCTTCTACCACAAAAAAGAATTCCTCAGGTTGGAATGACATTTCAGTTAATCTTCTTTCATATCTTCCAAAAGATGCTTTAAATGTTTTATCAGAATCAATCAATCAATCATTCATTTTAGACAGGTTCTTTCAGTGATTCTTTAAAAATAGCCAATGTTATATGTGTGTACAAGGGCGGTACTTTACATTATTTGCAGATGATACAATGATACTCTTTGAGAGTGAGAATATTGAAGAGTTGTCTAATACTATTAACAAAGACATTATTAAGATTAAAGAATGTTGTAATTCAAATTATTTTAGTCTCATTCAGTGGCAATATCGCTATAATTTCAGTTGGACAGCAACAAATTTGCAAAAAAACCCGAAAATAAATTCTTAGGCTTACTCATTGACCAGAAATTAAAATTTGAAATCCATGATAATAGTTTGTGTAAAAAGCTGTCCTCTGGATGTTTTGCAGTAGGAACTGTTGCATACAACTCATTGGTAGAATCCCATCTATGATATTCTGGGGAACATATTCTTCAGAGTTGTTTACTAGAGTCTTTGTATTACAGAAAAGGGGCCATAAGACATATGTGCAAAGTTGATGCTAGTATCTCTTGTAAGCTATTATTTATTAGGCACAATATACTAACACTCACTTGTCTGTTTATTTTAGAAACGGTACTTTTAGTTTTTAAAAAATATAAATGTAATATTATTACCTCCAGCAATAGTCGAAGAATCTTTTACCTTCCCTTGCCTATACCCTCTTCTGGCTTGGTATATGGCTCTGTTGTGTTTAGTGGAAAGAATATATTTAACCACCTGCCAATTAATATAAGAAGTGCTGATTCATTAAAAAGATTTAAAAAGCAAGTTAAGAAACTCTTGCTCGAAAAGGCCTACTACAAATTGGATTAATTTTTCTGTGATCGTTTGAATTAAGGCTCATTTTAATGTATGTGTATATTATATATTTGTCAATTGTCATATTTGTACTTGGTGTTATGCATATATATTTTTGTTATTATATTTTATGACTTGATATAAGAATTTTAAATTAAAAAAAAAAAAATTTTCATTTATTAAATATTTATGTTTGTTTCTTTTCATGGAATTTTAATTTTTTTACTTTTGTTTTTAGATTTCTTATACTATTATGTTATCTATCTTTGTTAATAAGAATGTAATTAATTCTTCAACAATAAAGAAATTTTGACTGGACGTTGACTTGACTTAGTCTAATAGTTTTTTGTCGTTGGTAAACATTAACCAAGTCAAGATTTTTCAAAAATTTCACAGCCATAGAGGAGAAAAAAGAGTCTGAATTTAAGGACAAGGAATCTAAAACTCAAAAAACCAAAAGACGATTGTTGCATTTAGATTCTTCTTTTGAAAGAAAAGTTATTTTCTGCAAGTTTGTTAAAGAAATGTTGATGTAAAAATTGTTTATGTTTATTTATTTATTTAAAGTTCTCAATGATGATTTAATAATTTCCCAATCTATGAGAGGGAAGCAATTGTCAAAATGTTAGTTTATTTAAATGTAAACTATAAAAATTATTATTATTATTATTACTACTACACATAATTGTTTATCAGTAAACTAATTAAGATCTGCTGTTGTATTTATTTCAGTTCATTTACAGCGAATCGATGTTGTTTAATTTAGATTGTCTATAATTAATCTCAAAAGGTGATGGAACAAAAACAAAACTTCAACTGCAACTGAGTGCTTTAAGTGGGATAAAAAATTAAAGGATAAAAAATGAAAAATAGGACCCTCACTAAAAATTTGTTTTTGTCATTTAATAGTACATAAATCCCATTTTTTGTTTATCCAGAAATTAAGTATTGCACCACATATGCACAACACTGTACACATTTATACATACAGTTCATAAAGTGTTGGACATTTAAAAAATATATATTTTCATATTTTCTAAGAAATTTACATTTTGGATGTTTCTAAAGCTTCCCAAACACAAAATGCAATCGTAAAAATTTTAAAGGTATATTATCTTTATCTTAAACTGAGTAGACTTGAAAATATGAAATTCACTCAAGAACAGTTCATAAATTTCTAAGATATGCCAGAATGTAATTTGGAAAATTTGTTGAGAGCTACAAGATGAAATCAAATATGAAGTGACAGACACCCACTTCAAAATTTAGGTACTTTTAAAATATTATTACATACAAAATTTCCCATATGTGTTGGGCGAGTGTAAAGAGTTTTCAACCATTTAAAAAAGCAGAATCAAAGTAATCATTCAGTAAGAACATTTTCCTATGGAACACTTGGGGTTTTTTATAAATTGTGTAAATATTGTATTATCTTACGGTTTTTTAGATGAGGGGTACCTAGTTACCTATTCGAGGAATGTAGAAAAGTGATCATTTGATTTATTTTTTTAAAACGTATTTATAACATCTTACTTATCATTACATAGTAGTAGCAGATGATATGTAAATATCAACATTTTATTGAAATAGTGTCATGAATACCTAGTAAACATTTTATGAAGTAGGTAATAAAATATCAGAATATTTGTAAAATGAAAATAAAAGCAAAACACACTTAACAGTATTTATTCTTAAAATATGAGAAGTAACGCAAAAACACTTACGATTTTAATGATGTACAGCACTTTTAAGTTCCGAAAAAGGCACTTTAATTTTTTCTATTTTACGAATAAATTCACTGGCGACCAAGGAAATTCCTTGGCAATGAATACGAATACGCCCTCCTAACTTGACAGATGTCAAAAAATTAATATGGAAAATTTAAAATTTCACATTAAACATTTATTGACTCGTAATTTTGTACTTATTGAAAACTGTTACATAAAGTTTATATCAAAAAGCATAGATGACCACCGGGACCGGTTATTTAAATATGTATTTAAGGAATGGCAAATTTTGACCTAGACGTCACGTAGAATAATAACAAATAAAAATAACATAACGATACCGATATTTCCCACCGAATTTATTTTCAACTTCAAATAAGTTAAATTAAAATCATTGACAGTTTCAACAAACAAAAGCTAAAATTGGTTATAACATTTTGACGAGTTTTAATTTATTATTTATTCTTTTAGTCAATTATATTTTCAATTTGTAGTTTGTACTTCACAAGTCCACAACTCTATTAAAAAAGGGTAGATTTAAGATAGTTTTTGCTACGTCTTCATTTGACGCTTGCATTAGAAAAAGAGGCTAAATAGGAAATAGAGTATAATCTTCGGTGAATACAAATGAACAGTAGCCAATTGTCATTGTCAAACGTGTCAAACTCAAGTTCATTTTATCAAAATATAACCTATAAAAGTTTAAAAAACTATTTTTTAAAATATTATTTTCTTTAGGTATTTCTTTTTTAATAATCATTACGATTAATAAAATTTAATAGTTCTCTTTAAAAAAATGTGTGATTCTAGCAATTCAGATAAAAAACCACAGTTTGGAAATAGGTTTTTAACAGAGGAAAATAATGTTTTTGAACATAATGCATGGTATGAATAAAATAAATTCGAACTTTAAATTTGGTCTTTTTTACTATAGACAATGTTCAACACGATATAGAAAGAAACCAAAATACGGATCACGGTATTTAATAGACAAATCTGAAGTTTTTAGTCACAATGCCTGGTATGTAATATCTGGTTATCCCTAGCACAATATCTTTAGGAGTTCATTTGAAAAACATTACTTTATACTTAACTTTTTGCTCTCTTCTTGGTGGAATCAAATTCTAATTAAACAATATTATGGAAAAAATTTAATAGTTATGTCCATAAATTGTTAAAGATTTATACTTTGACCATCAATATATTAAAACTGATAAAAATGACTTATGATACTGTGTTCCTTATAAACAGATATGAATTTAAATAGTGAATAACCAAGGTTGAGGAAACAAAAAATATAATATTAGTGTCTGAATTTTGGGATTTGCTCTCAACTTGTGTGAATTATTTCAGTTCATCGGAGGTAAACTGCACTATGTCATTCTAGTCAACTTTTCAGTAAAAGATTGCTGGAGACACTTTTCGTGCTCCTGCATAATTACATATTATATTTTTTGAGAAGAAATGCAGGTAAACCCAATTATTGTCATAATATTTGTGTATTGTTGTGTTGTTTACTAATCTAACTAATAAAACTTCTTTTTTTAAATTTGCATAAATTACTATTTTTTTGACATAAACTTCGTTCGCAGAGCCGATCCTGAACGTATTCTGAACAATAAAGTTGCCAATACAATCCTACATATACATTTAAACAATACGAATCGAGTATAATATGCAGTGTAATTGTTACCTTAGCGTTCAGAATCAGTTCGGGATCAGCTCCACAAACCAAGCTATAGAGGGGTATGTCTAATTTGCGGATTGGAATTTGATTGCTGCCAGGTACTAAACGAGTAATAGTTAGGAGTTAATACTTCTGACAAGTAATATACATCTCAATACCTTTTTGCCAGGTGAAACCATTTTCCCCCCCATCGCCTCCAAGGGGTACTTTACTCTTGTCAATTTTGACAAAATTAGTGCCAGGTACTAGAAAAAACGCGGTAAATTACTGTGACTTCATAAACATAATACATAACCCAATACCTTTTTGCCAGGTGAAACCATTTTCCCCCATTGCCTCCAAGGGGTACTTTACTCTTGTCAATTTTGACAAAATTAGTGCCAGGTACTAGAAAAAAGAAGCTAGATAACTAAAACTTTGCACACATAACTCTTATCCCAATACCTTTTTGCCAGGTGGAACCATTTTTCCCCCCATCAGCTCCAAGGGGTACTTTACTCTTGTCAATTATGACAAAATTAATGCCAGGTACTAGAAAAAACACGCTAGATTGCTTAAACTTCGCACATATAATTATTATCACAATACCTTTTTGCCAGGCGAAACCATTTCCCCCCCATTGCCTCCAAGGGGTACGTTACTCTTGTCAATTTAGACAAAATTAGTGCCAGGTACTAGAGAAAACACGATCGATTGCTTAAAATTCGTACACATAATTCTTATCCCAATACCTTTTTGCCAGGTGAAACCATTTTTCCCCCTATTCCCTCCAAGGGGTACTTTACTCTTGTCAATTTTGACAAAATTAGTGCCAGGTACTAGAAAAAAGAAGCTAGATAACTAAAACTTTGCACACATAATTCTTATCCCAATACCTTTTTGCCAGGTGGAACCATTTCCCCCCCATCGGCTCCAAGGGGTACTTTACTCTTGTTAATTATGACAAAATTAGTGCCAGGTACTAGAAAAAAAACACGCTAGATTGCTTAAACTTTGTACACGTAATTCTTAACCCAATACCTTTTTACCAGGTGAAACCATTTTTCCCCCATCGCCTCCAAGGGGTACTTTACTCTTGTCAATTTGGACAAAATTAGTGCCAGGTACTAGAAAAAAGAAGCTAGATAACTAAAACTTTGCACACATAATTCTTATCCCAATACCTTTTTGCCAGGTGGAACCATTTCCCCCCCATCGGCTCCAAGGGGTACTTTACTCTTGTCAATTATGACAAAATTAGTGCCAGGTACTAGAAAAAACACGCTAGATTGATTAAACTTTGTACACGTAATTCTTAGCCCAATACCTTTTTGCCAGGTGAAACCATTTTTCCCCCATCGGCTCCAAGGGGTACTTTACTCTTGTCAATTTTGACAAAATTAGTGCCAGGTACTAGAAAAACGCGGTAAATTACTGTGACTTCGTAAACATAATACGTAACCCAAACCTTTTTGCCAGGTAAAACCATTTTTCCCCCCATTGCCTCCAAGGGGTACTTTACTCTTGTCAATTTTGACAAAATTAGTGACAGGTACTAGAAAAAACACGCTAGATTGCTTAAACTTCGTACACATAATTCCTATCCCAATACGTTTTTGCCAGGTGAAACCATTTTTCGCCCCATCGGCTACAAGGGGTACTTTACTCTTGTCAATTTTGACAAAATTAATGTAATTGCAAGATTCAAATTTATATGCTAATTAAGGCTATATTTATAATGACTTATTAAGAAATACTTGTTTAGTAGTTTTAATATTATTACTAGAGAAGTAAACCTAAAATAATTCCAATATCAATTGAGCTAAATCTGGAATTAATACAGTATTGGAAGGACTAGTTCTGTTCTGTGTAGACTTAGTCACTGTTTCCCAGTGCCACTATAGGAATAACAAGGTTAATTTCGTAAAACCAATTTTAGATTATGATATATCCTGCTATGCAAGAATTTCAAAGTGGGCTTTTAGGGTTTTATACAGAATATATAATTTCATTTTATTATTTAAAGGGTACAGTTTTAATCTAAATCCATGTATTTAAATATATTTTAAATTATGTCTCATAAAAATATATTTTTTTAAATTTCTTTCTCAGTTAAAAGTACTTTAACTCATGAATTCATAATGTTTGGAATAAATCTGGACAGAAATGGGAAACTTTTTTAATGTAACTTTCTCAAAAAATTTTATTCTTCATAAAACCTGTATGTCTTCACACCCAAAACATGAAAATTGCTTACCACTAAAGTACCCTTACTTTTCACAACAACCTTCTTTTGAAATCCTGTAGAGTATCAATAGAAATACGCCCACTGCTCCAATGAGTCCAATGTGTCTCAAAAATATGGGCACTAGAATGATAAAATGTTAGACTCACAATCATGTGTACACCATACTGTATGATGAACAAATATTTTAGATTTAATGTTTAATTTTAGGGATGATGTTGAATGGGATGCAGCTCAAGAACAAGAAGCTCAAAAGAAAGTATTTACCAATAGCGTTATAAAACTCGGTAAAGAGGACATTGACAAATATGAAAAAGAAGCAGACACATTTTGGAATGCATTTTATGACATCCATACAAATAGATTTTTCAAAGATCGCCATTGGCTTTTTACAGAATTTCCAGAACTAGGTGATGATGGTTCTTCAGCTGAGAAAAAAATTTTTGAAATTGGATGTGGTGTTGGAAACACTATTTTTCCTATTTTACAATATTCTGTTAACAAAAACCTGATGGTATATGGGTCAGATTTCTCATCTAAAGCAATAGAAATTTTAAAAAGCTCCGATGTTTATGAACAAGGAAGATGTAGTGCATTTGAATTGGATGCTACTGCTGAAGTATGGAATGTACCATTCTCAGAAAATAGCATGGATATTATAGTTCTAATTTTTGTTTTATCTGCTATCAGTCCTGAAAAGTGAGTTCATTCAATTGACTACATTTTCAATTTAATACTTTACCAAATTTGGGATTTGGGAGCTTAAGGACATGGCCATCTCACTTTTCGTTTTTGCCAAATTGACTGTTTTTCCGATAATATTGGTCAATTTGGTTTTTTAAATGCAACATTAAAATAAAAATCATAAAATTTTATATTATTGAACTGAGATTGAAGAGTAGAATCAAACAAAAAAAAAAACAGTATTAGAAAAACGATCAAAATGATAACAATCCAAAATAAATAACAAAACAGGAATCCGCATGTTTTTAAACCCTTTTATTCAAAATTTTGTGAATTTGTGAGAACACACTTATGAGAAAAGTATGCCTCTTCCAGGCTATTCTGCCACTCTCTATGTTAATAAAATCAACATTTTTTTTTTAGGTTTAGCCACATAATTGGGAATATTTATAAATATTTAAAACCAGGAGGGTTAGTTTTATTTAGAGATTATGGCAGATATGATATGGCTCAATTAAGATTCAAACCTGGTAAAAGTTTGGGGGACAATTTTTATGTTCGTGGTGATGGTACAAGAGTCTATTTTTTTACTCAAGGTAGGTTAAATTTATATAAATAAATGTAAAATATATCTCAAAATGGTTCATTGAGGATATTGTGATTATTTCTCAGAGTACAGGGACCATTCATGTTTTAAATCAAAATGCTATACATTATAAGTACAACACATTTTACCATTTAGACGTCAGGTAAATTAGTTTAGGAAAAAGTTATAATTGAAAATCATTGGAGTCATTTAACGTAAAATGAAACATCAATAATCGAGTGCAGAATTCAAAGCTATATTGTATTCCACTGAAGTTTTTTTCTGATTAGTCTTGTTTGGATTTTCCATTGTCTTACTGTGCCACAAACGGGGTCTCTTTCTAAGAACCATTCTCCTAAGCTTCAAGAATTTTTTATTCAATCAGAAAACCCAAAAACAATAAATTCAAATTATCCAAAGTGTTATCCTATGTGATAGTGTGGTCCGAATTTAATTTTGTAAATCAGCATAAATGGATCAGTTAAATAGGAAAAAATATATTTTAGGGACTAGTTTAGTGATGCTAAAAATTTAAAATACCAGAGCTGGTTTAAGATAATTTCGTAAAAAAACAATCTGTTTTATTATAACTGTTATTTTCAAAAATTAAAACAAATGTTGATAGTTTTTCTTTGGGAACAAGTTCTCCATGTGAAATTAGATAGCCCTAACCTCTAAGCTTTGATTTTAGCGGTTCATATATAAGGGAATGAATTGTAGGGATTTTTTTTTCATTGCCAAGGTTACCCTTAAGTACTTTTCATCTGTACTGTTGTTAGTATGTTTTGATGTTTGATACTTTTAATTTAATGCGTTTTAGATGTTAAAATATTTATTATTCTTGAACACCAAGGGGTGCGGACAATAACAATAATTTATAACAATTCAAAGATAAATTTTAAAAATAGGCGCCTGGTGGAAATCGAACTCACAACCTTTGGCATAGCTAACCACCATTCTAAACGTCCCGGTAAAACCAATGATTTTAAAAATATATTATTCCCATATATATTTTTTTTAACTAGCTTTATCCAAAAAAATGTCGCTATTAGAATTTAATTTACCAGTAAATATCCACTTATTTTATATGCGTTTCCTATAGAATCCAAGTAGCTTCGATGTAATTTTCTCTTTTAAAGAAATAATGTCTTCATCAATCGCTTTCTTCCAATTCGCGCACTTGGAAATACATTTTTATTCAAAAGTTTTAATTTAAAATGAGTGTAGAACGCAGAGCTTTTTTTACTGTTTCGAGGAATCCATAACTTTCAGGAACCATAACATTAATTTATGCTTTCAAACCAAACCTGATTTCTTTATTTTATTTTTATTACTCTTGTACTCTGTAACTTCTGATTATATTACCTTATCTTAACCAATTTTCCTATTTTCTTTAAACAAAAGATGCACCAACAAACGAAATCAACACATTACTACCAAACTACTACCTACCATTATTAACTATTTTCAAAATGCTCTTGAGTTCTCCGTTCATTGTGAATAAAAGGTGGAGTATCCAATTAAAAAATATATAAATTTATGCGCAGCAGGTTTTTGGAAGCCTTTTATAACAAAATATTTTAAAATTGTGCATCTAACCGCTGTACAACTTTGACCTAAGTTTGAATAATTCCCACATATTCTCATAATCACGTTATCCTGAGAGGTATGAAAAACAAGTTAATACTTTACAATGTACTTTTTTAGGGTTCCGTACTCGAAGGGTAACCAACGGGTAAAAATTAAAGAGGGCTCCCATAGTAGAAATGTGTTTTTATTTGGCTTTTTTTGCTCGATCTTAAGTATTTAAAAAGTACCTACATAGTATTAAATCTTGTACTATGGTGTGGAACCCTTCATGCGCGAGTCCGACTCGCACTTGACTGTTTTTATTATTTTTTAATGTAGATAGGTATACTGACAGAAATATTTTTAATTTTTAGATGAAATTAAAAATCTATTCGAAAATGCAGGATTTGAAGAAGTTGAAAATAGAATTGATAGAAGATTACAAGTAAATAGAGGAAAATTACTTAAAATGTACAGGGTGTGGATTCAGGCTAAATACCAGAAACCCACTTGAGAAACTATATATCTTTTTAATTTATTTACGGTTTACATAATTTATGTAATTTAAGATAATATACTTTACAATAATTTAAAAATCTTTGACTACTTCCCGGTACCATGATTAAACTTTTGTGGACGTTAATCCATAAAAATATGATGTGTCTGTCCACATGACTTTCCTGTAAAGTTATCAAAAATATTAAGTACTGCCCATCTAATCAAAAATTATTTAGAATAAGAATTAATGATGAAAATTATTCAAAACATTTTTTTATGACCTAATTACCAAATAAAATAGAGAAAAATTAAAATTTTGAACCATTCCTCAAATTACTCTATTACGGTCTTTTTCAGAGAAATTATAACATCACAAACAACAATAATTGATAAAAGAAATTTCTTCTGTAATAACAGAAATATGCCATAAATTATAAAAAGTACTCTCCAGATGTTTCGACTATACCCAAAAGCTAATTATCTCACCGCATGGTGGATTAAAGCTTAAGTTTAAAATTTGTTGTTTTTTACTCTATTCATTTTTGAGTAACGTGGATAGTCACCAACAGACATACACTATCGCGAAAATGGTCAAAACGGATTCGGGGGACCTCAAAACATAAAGATCCGTCGAAAACTCGAGTTCAAAAAAATCATGATTCTTTACTGGATAGAGAAGAGTAAAAATCTGTGATAAAAATAGAAGAACAAAGTCTGGTTAAAAGAACGAAAACCAATCATGATGAATAGTAATATTATTGACAGTAACAAGAACTATAATAATAATTCACCCCCTTACGAGTGAATTTTAACCCCAAAAGATGAGCTTGTGCGGGGAAAGGGATGGCTATGTGGCGCTCCGGGGCGACTTAAAGATGATTGATGGTGCCATTTGACTTACAGGTGAGAAAAACCTCACCCACCATCACTATATTGATTCTAATAACATTATTCGGGTTCAATCCCCGGCGACAACAGATTTTTTAAAATCTCCAAGTATTTGTTTTCATCTTTGGGGTTCAGGGATGGTCTTAATAATTCGCTTATGGGGATTGTTAAGATTTATTTTTCAGATATACTGATTTTTCGATTTGAGATTTCTTGATAATAAATTCACTTTTTTCAATAACATTATTATCAGTAAGGATAAACAGAGTGGACAACAGTAAAATGTTCATTAATACCAGGATCAATCTATAAGTACCTGTGTTTAAAAAGAGGTGGCATTGCTGAGGGAAGTTGGCATTACTGTCGTGAACTGCCATCCATCAAACGTCGCCATAAATTTTTGACTGATTCATACGCAGGGATAAAAGATCTCACGATTCAATACTGAGTCTCAAGATATGTCACGATAATGCGCCTGATTCTCACGATCTTAAGTTTTTATGTAAAAACGATTCTTTTTAAGTAATCAAACAATTTAATTATGTCGTAAAGTCCAACCCAGGAACGTGCTAATGCGTTGGCCGAAAATGACGGACGACTAACACTTGACAGTCCCCAGCAAGTGATCGGATACTTTCCATATTTGGTCCTATCGATATTTTTCAATAGTCTCAAGGTTACTATCAATAGTGCTATAGAAACTATACCAACGTTGATACGTAGTATAGTAAAGTAATACATTTACTTATAGTAAAAAAATATTTGAAATAAAAAAATGTAAAAAAAACAAGAACCAGTAGGTAAGCATAGACATATAAGAAAACAGGTGCAGGCAGGAGTCACATTTGTGGCGTGCGTACGTTAAAAACTTAGTTAGGACAATCTTTAAAACATATTTATCATCTATAGTGCTGAATTTGCCGAGTGCATGCTTATAAATTTGGTTTATTTTTAATTTTAGTTTTTTCTGATAGAATTCCGTGAAAATGAACTTGAAAACTACTAAAAACATGTAAATTTGAACAATCGATAGTTTTCGGTAGTAACACACTATCGATAGAGATGTACTGAGATTTAAAAGTCGGTCATTCCTTACTTTTTGCTTAGACAAAGTACATCCAAATCGAAAATACTATATATATTTCGCTAAACTGCGTATGCGTAGTACTCTCACGATTTTTTCATGATCAAGCTCACGAATTTAGGCTCAGTACATCTGGGATCCCTGTATATACGTTAGTTTTTATTTGGCAGACACTTCTATCACGCATTTCGTTCGTTTATACTGTTTATACAGACCTTTCACCATCTATGACAACCGTGAGATATTGGTTTAACGAATTTAAACTTGGTCGTACATCTGTTTCTTAATGAGGAGCGGCAGACGAAGTTACTGAGGAAATCGTTGAAAAGGTCCATAACATGATTCTCACTAATTGGTGAACTGAAGTACGCGAAGTAGCAGAAGATGTAGGTAGGCATGTCGTAAGGAATGGCAATAAATATTTAACATGATAAGTTACACATGAGAAAGTTATCGGGCCGATGGTAGCCGCAATGCCGAAGCAGTGTCTGGGCCTCTTTATGCGAAATTTGCATGAGTTTTAGCGTCGAGTTGTCACCTGGATATATTATTAAACGCTTGGGATTCTATGGGAATAATCCTCTTGGCCTTTTTGCAGAAAGGAAGAAAGATCACGGGATAGTACTACAGTGAATTACTGGACCAATTTGATAGGTAATTGAAGGAGACAGCCACATATGGCTAAGAAAAAAGTGGATAACGTACGAGCTCATTCATCCGGAATTGTCGCTGCCAAAGTGAACAACTTTCTGTTCTCCAATAAGAAAACATGGCTCAGGGGAAAATTAGCCCCAATGAATAGGTTATCGCCGAGACAGCAGCATATTTTGAAGTTTGACAAATCGTATTTTTTGGAGTGGTAGAAACTTTGGGAAAAGGGTATAGACTTAAAAGATTGCATTAAAAAACTTGTGTCTTCATTCCTAACATGGGTACTTAATGCTCCACACTCGTAATGAAATATTTGGTAAATGTTTGTTTGCTATGGATGTAGTCATCGCCATTGACATTAAAGCTCAAATTCCAAATTAACACTGGGGTCCCATACAAGTGATTACTTATGTCTTCTTTCCTAACTTTCTAAACCCATATTTTAATATATTTTCGTCAATGTCAGTGTTTAAGTTCTCTCCATGATTGAAATTAGGCGGGGATGTACCCAGATGTTGAAAGTACTTCGTTGCCCCAGTGTCGTGCCTTCATACTGTATTACAAGATTAGCTGTTTCACATAATTGCAATTCATTCTTTTTGAACGATTCATTACAAAGAATTGAATCTAGAAACTGAATCAATTGATTTTCTCATCCGATTCGATAGTAAGAGTTGAAGCCTATGTACATAGGATTTTCGCAAATTAATTGTGAATGGAGTGGGTTAGAATTAAGGCTGACAATTCCTGACGTGATAAACGGTTAACAGGTTCGACTGATTTTGACCAGATTCGGTTTTAACCGGATTTTTACTATTATTATAACCGGTCCGAATATCCGGTCTGATCAAACCGAACCGGTCCGGTTAGACCGGATTCGGCGGTTAAACCATAACTGTGACCAGTTAAACCCGTCCCTGGTTTATCCGTTACTGGTTTAACTGTAACCATCACCGGCTTAATCGTGGCATATTTTGGATAACTGTGATGTAAATTTATTAAAAAATAATAATTTTCTTACTTTGTTTTATTATTACATTTGGAATGTTTATATTTTTTTATAAAATAAATTTTGTTTTACTTACTTTTAAATGTATAAGTTTTAAAAACATCGGTGTTTATATAGTTTTTTCACTTCGGTCATTTTAATGCCATCGATACTTTGTTTTTGGTATATCATTCGATGTCAGTATCGACGTTTTAAGAAATATGCACTTCCCTACTAAGAGCTGAAACTATTCTTGTTCGTTTACGTTCAAGGTCTTGCTAAAACCCGTTTAGGGTACGGTTAAACCAGTTACGGTTCAACAAGTGACAGGTTTAACCGGTTCGATTAGAGTTACACCGATTGCGGTTAAACCAGTTATAAACCGGTTACGTTCTTTAACGGTTTTTGGTCCTACGGAACCGGTCACGGTTACCAGCCTTAGGACCGATTCCACCGTTGTGTTAAACGAAGTTTAAAATGACATTTTTACATTAACAATGTCATTTTAATCTCCGTTTAACACAACGGTGGAATCGATCCTTAGTTAGAATGCCCCTTAATAATATTGAGATGCGACTCTAGGGGCGCAGCTATTTTATTGTTTATCTCACTGTGGAGTAATTATAAACAATCCTGATCCACCAGAATGTAGACCAGGCAATAATAGTGTTAATGGTTAATATAAATATACCCGAGTGAGATGAACGATAAAAATGGCCGAGTTACGATGCGTTTAACAACTTAACTTATATTTTGGACTTCAAGGTTAGTTATTTTTGTGCGTTTGTGTCCTCGTTAACATATTGAAAATACTACAGCTCTCTATGACCACACAAAGATTTAGTTATTTTATTAGAGATACGGAAGCAATACTTACGCAATATTCTTTTTTTTATAAAATAAAACTAATAAACATTAATACTGCTGCTGGAACAAACCTAATGACATTGAATTTCAATCACAGATAAAGACTTCCAATATTATTGTTTTGAATAATACGAAGGTTTTTCAGGTGCATTTTATCTATAAATTAACTAAATCTTTTTAAATACCAGACCATTTTATGCATCAGTTCGATCATTATGAGTCTGATTTCGACATTTTTAGACATTGTTGCGGATTAGGTCATTTGATTAGTTTATCTTTTCGATTTATATTTTGGACTGAATCTGTTGGTATATTTTTAATCCTAAATATCCTGTGAAGGTGACGGTCGGCCAACAACCAATATCCAGTTTCAAGAATGCACTTAAAGCGACAGAATAAAAAAAACAACTCTGAATATAAAGTTGAAAAATATCCACAAAGCATCTTTAAATAGTTACCTACTTGTAAATCATTGTAGGTAGAAATGTCAATTCAGAGAGGGACGATGGCGTGATTTTTCAATTACGTATTGAATCGTTACACAATATATTTTTTAGGGCGCAGTGTATTAACACCCCATTCCCATGATTAGTAAAATTATGTTTCCGTAAATCATTAACAAATAAAACATTTAAGAAAAATTAAATAACGGCTCTTGAAATTTCGGCCAACTCTATTGGACATTCATTATAATGACGATTCTACCTTTAAGGTTTTATATGTAGGCCACATACTTTGATTTTCTTTTACTATACGGAGAATGGTCGCACTGCGCAGCTTTCTGAGTGCCTTTTAAAAGGAGATAGAAAACTCCGTCATTTTGATCTCTTATTACGTGTTGCCTACATCTTGGCGCAATATTTTTAATAGGTGCGTTTTAATCATCCGCTTCTGCTTCGGAATTGTCGGTTTTCTTGTTTTAATCTGACAGGTTAAAACGACTAAACCGACAATTCCGGAAGCAGAAGCGGATGATTAAAACGCACTTGATATTTTGCTTGCTGCTGTCAGTGAATATTATTTTTGGAGTCACAGTTTATTGCTAAAGAATCAGTTAGCTCACTCGGACCAATTGAAAGTTCCAAAATAACATCCACTCCAGGGATACAAATTCAGGATACGCAGAAAACTGCTGTTTTATTATAGACGGTTGTCATATATTGAATTATTCGAGTTGCGCAGTGTATAAACTGAAACATTGAAATCAAAAGTGCCGACGCAGAGTGAGCGATCTGATTCTTTAGCTATAAACTGTGGCATAGGAATCAAAATGGCCGCGCCCTATGTTGGGCGTGTCGGACCTCTTTCTTGCACCGTATAGTGATGTAGGCAAATTTAAAGAGGCTATCATAATCTAATAATTTTTTTAGTCCATGTTTATCGTACCAAAGTTTCTTACCGAGTCAGGAAGTAACAAACTTTTATCTAGGAATAGTGTTGTCTTAAAATTGAAATAAAAACCTTCGTTTAACCAATTTATCGATTAATACTTTATATTAAATGTAAAAAACATGCAAACAAACTAAATATTAATTACAATTTTACTAAATTCACAATTTATTTTTTTTAGGTTAGGAATCACTTTAAAAGGCAATATTCCTTTGAACAGATGATGTAATCACCTTAACACATTATTTTTTTTTTCATTTATTGTTATAAAAAACACATAAATCATTTATTATCCTAAAAAGGTAGGATGAAAATATAGTTTACATGGTCTATGGTTATTTAAGGCTTATGGAATCACATTTCTAATTATCAACGACACAATTTTTAGTATGAACCAACTGATACAGCAGTTTCACAAACATAATTTTTTAACTTAGAAGAAAAATGACTTCTTTTAAATTAACTCAATTTAATCAGTTATCTAAAATTATTTAATTATACCAAAGCATTATGACTTGTTCAGCATATTTTTATTAAATAATGATAATCACTGGTTAATTATAAAGTATATCTATTTGCAAAGAAAAATTGCAAAATATTCTACTTTGAGCCTTAAAAAACAGAAAAGTATATAACTAATGTAGTCGTAGTCATACACAAAATTATCGCATATTTTTAGGTATATGTTCATGTAAAATATATGTTATAATTTTGTACACGGATACTTATATAGAATTACTACACGTTTCATAAAAATGTTTTAATTCCATATATTATTCACTTATGACCATCTACTTTTGAAGAGACATCTTAATAATCGTAATTTCAATATTACGAACTTAACAAAAACTTAGATACATATATATTTTACAAATTAAAAAAAATCTGTATCAAATGGTATATCTAAAAATGTTCCATAATAAAATGTCGATCTAAATTATATACTTTAATACATTTAAACTTTTATTTACAAGTTTTATTCCACTGATTGCATTAGTTAGCTTTCTGTTTTTTCGCCTTCTATTTTATCGTTGTAGGCAGCATGCACACTTTCGCAGACAAAACGATATTGACTCTGAAACAAAAAGTACATACAATAGAAAAAAGTTGGTTGCATCATAGATAACGACAGTTGCAGAAATAAAATTTTTACTTATTTCCCTTGAAGCGATTACCAATGATCACCTCAGTTTTGTAGACGTTTGCCGATGCCATGTAGAAGCGGTTAGAGGCGCTGATACTATAAAAAGAAGGTGATGTTGCGTACGTGACTTAGAAGTTTGTTTACCTTGGTATTTAACTCGTTATATGGCAATCTGCAAATTTGTGAATTTTAACACAAAAAACTGTCATGTGTACTTCTGTTTCAAGTTTTCAATGGTTGATAGTTGTGATAGTTTTATTTGAAGGTTATGTAAAGGATCTTACATTAATTTGTAAATTTTAGTCCTTCGTCCAATGTGTTTGGACTAAAAAGGTGTGTAAGAAGTTAAAAATACATTTAATACGTATGATGATTTGTGATTAACATTTGTGAAGTATTATCAACAAAAACCAAACTTTCATTGACTTTTAATGTTGTAAATTGTGGGATCAGAGCTGTTCAAAAAACTACATTTCTAGAATCAAACTATTTATCAGTTAAAAGGAGGTAACGATGGATGATGAATAAGTTAACGGAGAGCAAAATCAAAAGAAAAATGAAATCAAATAATTTTATTATCTTATTTATCAATAATTGTATTTTAGAATGGCCAGTTTCTCTGCAAATTGTAATATCTACAAGACAACAAGGAAAATGGTTCATCTCTGAATTCATGTACAGTTCATCAAATTTCTAAAGGTGTTCGACGCCCAGACAGAGAACGCGCTACGTGTGACTAAGATAGCTATTGTACAGTCTGCTAAACAAGTTATTTTAAATAGTTTTTAATATTTTTAGGTAATTAAATTTTAAAAGTATGGAATAGTTTAGGGATTAAATTGGTCTGATTGAACTTTCTTAGAACGTTTTTAAAAGCAGCTAAAGATAGTATGTAGAATTGAAAATAATTATTATGCCATAAAAGGTGTTTTGGAATTCCTTCAACCTTTTGAAATTGAGTCAGAAAATATAAATTTTATAGGATAGCGGAAAATACCTATAATTTTTTTGTAGGCCTTTGTAAATCGTGGAAATAGTTTATATTTTATTTCTACCTTATTAAGAAAAATGGTACCTATTATTAATAACGGTTGTTTCTGAAACATTACTAAAATTTTCGAAATTTTGTTTTTCTACAAAATAATAAACTATACTATTTAGAAAAAAATTTATTTCTCTTATAATTTTATAAAAAATAACAGGGGAATATTTACATTTCTTGATCTATTAAACAAAACGATAAATTATCTCGACGAATGACACCATGTTCTAGTACGGAAGCTAGCTTTACATTTTTGTTGGTGGTTTCATGGGTTTCATATCAATTTTTTGTAATTGTAGTTTACACGTACATATACCTCTTAACACTTGTTTGCTTTATTAAAAAAGTGTGTTGTTGTGATTTACGTCGAAATAAGTCAAAAACAACTTGAAACCCCATATAAAATCAAAAAGGAGAAACGGAAAAAAATTGAGCCTGTAAATGAACACAACTCAGAAACAAAAATAGCTATCTAATAATAAAAACATAAAATTTGATTCTTGTGCAGCTTCATCTATATCATTAACTGTTTTTGGTTTTTTAATGGTTTTTCTTGGTGATGAAAATTCCGATATCTCACGGTTATCGATTCTTTTTTTCTCTCCAGAAATGCGGACGACAGTGTTTTTAGATACTCCTGTGGCTGCAGCAACACGATCATTTACATTTTTAAATGGTATTGAAGGTGAATTAAAGTTTCCTTCTCTTCTCATAAACTCTATAACATTGGCTATTATTTCGCGAGATTGACTGTTAATCACGCGGCCTCTTAATTTGCTATTAAACTCCATACTTAGGTTCTATAAAACTGTAATGAGCAAAAAACACAAACGAAAATAAAAGAAATGTTTTAGCGAAATTTACATCTGACATTTACGTCTGAATGAAATAGTGAAATACTTGATGCGCAGAGTGTACTTTCATTGCGTAAATCCGTCGGGATGCCTGTCAGTAGTGCTTTCTCTGTCTAGCCGTCGAAAGCCTCTAGAAATTTGATGAACTGTACCTAGAGCAGTTCTGGCAAACCTGTGACATGCGTATCAAAGGTGACATGCCAAGACATTTTGGATGACATGCATTGTTTACGGATGGTCATCAACTAAAAACTGTCAAAACCTGCTTGCTAACTTAAAAGCAACTAGGTAACACCCAAGAAATTAACAATTCCTCTAGCCATGTCTTCGCATGTAGTAGTCTACAGTATTTTGGAATTACATGGTTTTCAATGGGTGCAAATTGATGAGTTGGAGATCCAGCTTGCTTAGTTTCAAAATAACATCTGGGTTTGTCGATTCAAGGTCGATATTACTTGAGAAACTGGAAAAAATCGTTACGATAACGAAGAAGAGTGCCGTTATGAACAGGAAATTTGGATTGCTTGGAATCAATTACTGCACACTTTTAGCACCCTGAAAAATCTAGTAATTTATTTACATTTTTTTCTTCAACGTATTTTTGTGAAATCCTATTTTTTTACACAAAAGAGACTCAACGATCAAAAAGTGAGTAAAGCTTACTTGGCATTAAAGGGTACAAAATACAAGCAACCTTCTATTTGTAGTGAATATGTATTTTGTATTTTCCACTATATTGTTGAAATGTCAGTAAAAAGGGGTTGGTACGACTTAAAGCAGCCATCATCATGAGTGGTGATGAAAGAACGTTCCTGCCTTGTGAAATTGTTTGTGTGAAAAGCTTAAAAAATTATATTAAACGCCCACAAAATTATCTAAATTATTATTTCCCATCCTACATATTGAAGATTTATCAAAAGAAATCCTACAACAAAAATAATCGCTTAATTTCTAGTGGATCCACTGGACTCTTTTTGGGGTAAATAAAACAGCAGTTTTTACTCATTTTTATATACACTGTGGAACAAAAAAAAAAACAAAAAAAAACATCTCAATGTAGGAAATGTTCAAAATACGCGACGCGAACCTCTTGGCAACATCCTAATCTGAAATAAAAATGTCTTCTAACATAACTCAACATCTCAGGAGTGACCGATCTAATCGCAAGTGTTATTCGTCTTCTTAAGTCAGCTAGGTTTTAATATTTCCGAAACAGTTAGGTAAAGGACATAGTACATAAAATATGCCTAGAATTTTCTGAATAATCCAAAAATTGAAAAATACACAGGGTGTTGCATTTAAAATAAGAAAGTTGGTTTTGGCCATTGTTACACACCCTGAATAAAAAGTTCGCAACTAAAAATAGCAATCGACGTGTCCGAACATTTTTTCGAACACGCTCCCATTTATTTATTACCGAATTTATTCCATTTGGCTGTTCCACACCGTATGTGCAAAATCTCCATTCTTTGGGTTTAAATGTTTCCAACAGCAAAATTTTTGATTAGAATAGTATTATAAACAAAGTAAACGAGGAATTTCTATGAGTTAATACAAGTAAAATAATAATTATTCATGAGTTTTGCATATTTTGGCGGACCCTGTAGATTCTAATTTTTTTTAAACTCTAATATACGGGCAACTATAAACCACAATAACTTTTTTCCAATTTTTTTAATCCTTCCTTTTAACCCCTTCGCTACCATGTTGCCATAATGGCAACAAATGCATAGTGCCTAACTGTAACCATGTTACCACTATGGCAACACGTTTACTAAACGCACAATGCTGCTATCATGGGTCAGTATAATTTTATTGATAGTGCGATTTCTGATTGGTGCTCCCAAGGTAATGCTGGTTATAAATAACTATTGTTTTTTTGCATTATAATAAAATATTTGTTTTTTTTTTGTAGTTTATAACCCTTAGATTAAAGAGACCGAAGATGTAACATTGCACACTGCGCATGTTGTCTATTTTAACCCCAAGTAACCCACCAATTAAAAATCATTGTTTGCACGATGCCACCCGAATTGCTCCGATTTTTCCATTCAATGCTCACCTCCGCCTGAGTTCAATCATCATTGACAGCTGTTTTATGATTTATTTGTTGGTGTTTTAGCAATTAAAAGTGTTCTAGTTATTCAATTTTAAGTTCAAAATGCCACGATGTATCTTGAAAAATTGTATATACTTATAATACAAGTACCAATGTTATGAAAGATAAAAAATATATTCGTTTTCAGCGGTAAATATTTATTAACGTTTTGACATAAAGCGCCATGATCCTTTGGGCTGAATACTTCAGATCCGCATTAAGGGGCTTCAATAAATATTAAGCATCAAATACATATTTCAGAAAACAGATTTCATATTACTTACATAAATTTACAAAAGGGTAAAATCTTGAACATTTAATTTAGATAAGTAAATAGGCATTGTTGCTAACGAAATTTTGTTTTTAAAAAGTAGTTTTATAAGAATATTTACTAAAGGTGGTTTTTAGCCCTTTTTGGTAGATAAATAAGAAGTAAAGAAGCATAGTTGCTAGCTAAATTTTATTTTTATAAGAATATTAGATGAAATACAGGATGACCTACTTAAAATTTCAAGGCTCATCTTATTTGTGGTCAAATCTTAAGTCCTAAAACAAAGTAAAATGCACAATATGATCTAGTATAAGCAAAATACTAAAGTTACGGGAGTTAGTCACATTGTTAAAACAATTTCATTATTTTTGTTTTTACATAAGAAAATGCATCTTGATTCATAGAAGATGTGTACTAATTTTCATAAAGATATCTACAATAGTATCACAGTTATTATAAAAAAACTATTTTTTTTTTTGAAAATTTTACCGCCCTGTATCTCAAAAGTTAGGTTTAGGACATACGTCCACATGAAGTTTTTTCCTTAAAATGGGCCCAAGAATCACCTCCTTAAATATTAGTATGTCATTAAGGAACACCCTATATACATCGGCGGTGTCAACCTTCACAATGGAGTAGCCAATTATCGAATAAATATAAATGGAAAAAAATGGTGGTGGCTCGCTCACAAACACCATCAACAACATTATAGTCAATTCATGGAAAATGTATAACATTACACATGTAAAATGTCGCAGCTAGAATTTAGATCCTACATTGTTTTGTGCTTACTGAAACTAGAAATAATGCAAAGAAAAAAATGTGTAATTGCGGCTGATAAACTATTAAGTGAAATCGCACAACATAAACACAGTTCACATACTACTCGTACATAGAAGACAGAAGTGCGGAAAATATAACATCTATACCTTCATGTACCAAATGTATTATAAGTAGTTTATACCATTGAGAGATGATTAGTTTACGCTACACAATTTTAATTTTTTTATTATATATTTGTTTCATTTCTTTCATGGATTGGTTATTAATGGGTTAACCTGAAATTTTTATAAATCGGTATTGTAGTGTTTTTTAATCTATTTTAATATCTAAATTATATAAGAGATCTGAAAAGATCGTGGTGGACAAGGACAAATGTCCAACTCATTAATAATCTAATCACAATGTGTCTAAAGCTTCAGTCTAAATCACACCGCGATAAAACACTTAATAAATACTTACAGCATTTTGTATCATCATGGCTCGTTGTTCCCTCATAGTTTTAACGATTTCTAAAGGGTACACAGGTTCACTGGCTTCCATTAAACAAAGAGCCGTTTCCATCAGAACCATAACTCCAGTTCTTCCTATACCTGCACTGCAATGAACGACAATTGGTGCAGAACCTTTTCTCGTGGTTCTTACTTTCTCGGTAAAAGCAAGGAACTGTTGAGGCGAGTCAGGCACTCCATGGTCAGGCCACGCTATATATTGCATGTGTTTTATTTCTCTGGACTCGTTGTTCTAAAAACCGAATATTTATTAACATTCTTTTTAGGACAGAAATGTTTTGACATATATTTGGAAAATGTTTTAATTTACCTTAACATCAATAAGAACAAAGTCTCTAAAAACAAAACTTTCCGAAGGATCAGTCTCTTCATCAATGCATTTCACAATGATGTTCTGCAGGGTTAATATTTCTCCTAGATCTGGCCAATATTTATGACATTTTGTACGACCTCTCTCAATAAGAGTGGTCAGCATCACTATCAAATTGCAGTCTTCTTCCAAAATCATCTCCCAAAAATCTTCTGTAGTTGAAGATAAAGGCCCCTGAGTCGCTATATAGTGGTTGACTATCTCAGTGTTGGCAATTGCCATATTCACAAAATTCGCATTAATATAATCGCCATTTATGCCATTTTTTAAAATTACTCTGGTTGTATCATCTAAAACGTAAATTTAGTTACTTTGTAGATAAACAAGGGGGTTTTGGATGATCACTCTGATAATGATAAACTACTCACAAGGTAAGATATCCCTATATCTATTTTTGTTGATATTAGGTGGTTTAAGTGATTCATCAGAGGTGAGATCAGGATGCTTTCTGAATAAAGTTTCATATCGAGCAATAAGAGCGCCACTCGCCAAACCATCGGCCAGCAACAGCATACTCTGTTGTAGAGCATTTCCTGGTGAAGAGGGCTCCGTATCACCAGCTGGAACATACTGATAAGGAGGTTCTTCAAAGTCTTCATATCCTTGATACAGTACGTTGGATTTCACGATTAAAATTAATTTCCCTATAAAGGTCAAATAAAATTACAATTAATTGTATATTTAAATATGATTTTCATAAATTTGTTGCATTTACAAAAAGTAAATATGAATTAAATTGTAATAATAATTTCAAACTATTTACAATAGTTTTTTAATTTATTAAATATTTATATTTACATAGAAATATTTAAAAAAATATAAAAGTAAGAAAATTTTTGCAAAAAAAAGCTTTCAAAATACCAAACTCATCAAATTACTGTGTTCCCAATCAATCAAAAGGTAAATAAGTAAATTATTATAATAAATGTACTTTTAACATCTATGAGATGTTTCTATTGTTCGTTTTATCTCAGTTGCTATTAAAAAATATATATGAAAATCGATGACTTCAGAAAAAAATAAAAGGCTTTTTTGTTATAAACTAGCTTAATTATCTTTAAGAAACAAATAATTTTTGATGGCACCCTATAATTAATTTTGGTAATAGTATATTTACCAGAATTTGAGGATCTAGCTTCTTGAATTAGCGTGACAGCATCTTGATGAAGTGCATGTGAAACGTCGTGGCCGTTTATCTGCAATAATTGGTCACCTTCTGTAAGCCTTGGATCACATTTCTCAGCAGGAGTATTTGGGGCTACTCTTGACACTAAGATAGGTACATTTCCTTCACTTCCACCTAAAAATGCAATTTTCTTTAATCCTATTAATATATAAATGCAAAAGTTTGAATTTATGGATGGATGTTTGTGGCTCAATCACGCCAGAACGGCTGAACAGATCTGGATGAAATTTATCACAAATGTTATAGTCTGGAATAGCACATAGGCTACTTTTTATCCTGGAAAATATACGGCTCCCGTGGTATAGATTTATTTTTGTTCTTCACATTTTAAAAGGGGGAAATGGAGATTGAAAGTTTGTATGGAAGTATCGAATTTGTATTGGTAGGAGCTTGAAAATTGGAATTATAGCTCCTCATCACAAATAAATAAAGGCACGTTGTTTCAGGGTTTTTGAATTTTCATATTTTAAGAAAGGAAAGGGAGGAAAGGGGGTAAATAAATGAAAGGGGAGAAAGAGAGGAAAGGGGGAGGGGGGGGGGGTGAAAGTTTGTATAAGACTTTCGATTTTTTAAAGGTAGAAACTTGAAAATTTGAATTATAGCTACTTATCATGAGTAAATAATGAAGTATCGAAAAAATAAATAATAAATAAAAAAATTAAAATAAATATCAAATAAAAATAATTAAAAATACGACAAAAATAAATATAAATAAAAAGTAATAAAAGTTAATAAAAAAAATTTCGAGGTATCGCATAAAAAAATTTCTCTCGAGTAACGAAATCTGTTATTCACTTTTAATAATTGAGGTTTGAGAAATTTCAGCAAAGCGGGATCGGGTCAGCTAGTAATCTATAAACATACAATAGGCACAGTATATTATTTATATTGTCCATTGAAAATTATGAGAATAGAAAAACTCAGACGCTCTACCAGTGGTAATAATCGTAGTTATCGAATTTGAATAAACGACTGTAACCCTTCTGTGCCTTAGGTATTGTTTAAGTAAGTAGTGATTAAGGGTCACATTTAAATGTTCTTGTTTACATGATTTTTTATTTCCATGAGGGCTTGCGAATAGTTTGTTGATAGTTTTTGTAGTTGTTAACACAATGAGGTTTCAAAGTGATGAATTTATTGATGGAATTAATAATGATGAGAAATAAAAAGCACCTTCATTTATCAGGGATGTAAAACAACTTCTTCTAAATGTATTTAACACTAAACGCCTATAATGAGCTATAATAGCCAAACATTTTTAATAGTCCGTAGGAAACTGTACAATTTACAAGCTATTTGGTAAAATTTTGGCTTTCACTAGATGCCAAAGAGATAATTATTAAAGTTTAAAATTTGATGGTAAGTATGCCTCGTGACGTGTATCAATAAATTCAGAGAATTTAAATTTTGTAAAATAGAAAAATATAAATTAATAGACGTGTTTTTGGTTTTAAAAATTCTGGACAATGCATGAAGTGTCGTGGCAACTAAATAAACAGGGTAATGCCTATTAAAATTTACTGATAATAAAAGGTCTTTATTTTTAAATCCTCGGTTAAATACGCTGATTTAATTTATAACTATTGTAGGAGAAATTGGAGGCTGACTAGTAGCATAAAAATAGTAAGACAGAAGTTGGAATGGACGCAATTTAACTTTGAAAAATTGGAGATGAAAGTAACATAAACATGTCAATTTGACAGGAGCTATCCGGCTCGAAGGACCAAAACAAATGTAGGAGAAATCGGAGGTGTGGAAAATGCTCATTCTGTTACAAATGTACTCAAAATTTAAACTGAAATTTCTCCTCCCTACATTTGGTAGTGACTAGTAGTACCTAGTAAGAAATAAAATTACTTGTAGTTGTCAAGTTGCAGCTTAAAAGAACCAGTGACTAATGTCACAATCTTATATTTTATTTTTTTATTATATTTCTAAATTTAAAAAAATATTTTTTATAATTTTTACTTAACTTTCTCATGTTAGTGTTTTATTATTGAACTATTATAAACATTATTTAAATCGAGTTACAATAATGCATTTTTAAACTTTTTTTAAGAAGATCATTGTAACTAGTCAATATAATGTTATTTCAACAAATATATTCATTTGATAATTTGCTGGTACATTGTAACTAATGGGGAAATAAAATCAACTGTTTTTAATGTAAGTCAATTTAAACACAAATAAGTAAGCTTCCTAATTTAACAAACTCATAAATTAGATTAAAAATTAGATTCTTCCTTTAATAAGTAAAGAAAAAAATAAACTTTATATTGCTAAAAAGAGGAGAAAATAATCTCATAATCCTCCTCATTGGACAACTCTGAAATTGGTCGGGAACGAGGGACTTTGAATTAAAAACTCCTGTATTTCTCTGGAATAGCTTTACTAGAGCACAAACTATTTGGATTTTATTTAATTTAAAAGTTGATATGGAAAATAATCCATGATATGCTAAAAGAATTTGCTGGTCCAACAGATCTTGCATATTATATTTTTGAATAACACTTCTGTTGGTTCTTTTGCTTATTTTCGGATTATTATTCTATGTTAATATAAGACAGTTTATCAGAAATAATATAAAATTGAAAAACAAGAATGAGGTTGTTCTTTTCATATTTTCAAAGAATCTTTGCGTTTCTCTTTATTTAAATTATTTATTTTTAAGACGTCATTCAGACATATTTCATAGGGTTTTCCTGTAACTTTAGTACACGTTATTAGAGTATAGCACTGCTGAAGAATATAAATTCACTCAGATTGAGAATGTCCTATCTCAAAAAAAAGTATGGGTAATGTTAATATTCAGCAACATACACGTACATTAAGAACATGGTTCGATTTTGTCTGCCACAGCAATCAGAATAAAATCTAAACTCAGATGTTCCATCACCGATTTTTTTTAATAAAGTCTAATAAGACACTACTTAATCCATTAGGCCCCTTTTTATCTGTAGTTTCATCCCATGCATAGCAGTAACCTTCTGAAGATCCAACAACAAAAATAGTAAAATTATATACTTTTAATTTTCTTTTGTAATAAAATAATTATATCTTTTATTTTAAAAGTGTCTAAAAATATTTCGGACTCGATTTTCTCCTGATTGAAGAAAATAATCATAATATGTTTAACTTTTTCTTGACTTTTTATTTAGGTGTAAAAGCTTTTTTATTTACAGTTCTTTCATTTTTTTGCTCGTATATCCTTGACCTGACCAATGTGTAGCTATTCTATTAGCCAGATTGAGAGTCAAAAATAGTTTTTTAACAGAAATTGTCTTCTAAATGCCTAAATAAACAGATACATTAAAGGTTTCTTAGAAATAAAGACTTTTATTGTTTCTGTATCAATACCAATCACAAATTACCTTTAAATGTGTCTTTAATATGTTAAGTTACATATAGGTAAATTTTAATTAATCACTGTACATATGTAATATATTATATCCAGGGGCATATAGGACCTGTCTCTCCACAAGTCAAAACCTGCTGGTTGTCGCTAAGAGGTATCTAGGGACAGCCATTTTCCCAGCTCATCAAAGTCCTGCAGGTTGTTAACTCGTCAAAAAGCTGCTGGTTGACGCTGGGGGATGTCTGGAGACAGCCATCTTCTCAGCTCGTTAAAGTTCTGCAGGTTATTAACTCATCTAAAAACCTGTAATTCTCAGAGAGTTTATAGGGATAGCCAACCACTTAGGTCAAAGTTCTGCAGGTTAATAACGTCGCCGAAAGGTGCCTTTAAAAGTTTCTTTAGACTCCACATAGAATTATTATTAACTCATCTAAAAACCTGTAATTCTCAGGGAGTTTATAGGGATAGCCAGCCACGTAGGTCAAAGACCTGCAGGTTAATAACGTCGCCGAAAGGTGCCTTTAAAAGTTTCTTTATACTCCACATAGAATTATTAACTTAAATGAAAAATAAAAACCGGGAATCGTTAGATTCGATTTTTTGTATCGGCTTACTTTTGTCACATAATAAATGTTTAAAAAAATGTTTCATTTTCTCACACATTTCTTAGGATTTGAGAAGTCCAATTCTTATAATTTGCAAGAGACTATACTATCAATATTTTTTGTTTTTTTACCTTTAACATTAAATCCATATTTTCCCTCTTCATCAGGATGTAAAATGATTGTTACTAAGCTGTCATCTATTATTTGAGATGTAGGTGAATGACTCAAACTATATGGAGGTGTGTCATAAAGGCCATTTGAGGTTGGTGAAGGTGGTTCTTCATCTGCATAACTCATTACTCTTCCAGCAATACCAGGAGAAAAAGGACCTTCAAGAGTTCTTTCAAGAAAACCACCGTCACTAAGTAGAACATAAAAATGAGAGGTGAATTAATTTTACTTATTTAATAGTCAGTTAAAAACATAAATATATAACCAAGACAGATAGGATTGTTTAAAAAATATATGAAGCCAACATGAGTTTACATTCTAAAGTCCTTGGTAGAAATAATCGGATTGAAAATTGAACATTGTTGCCATGTTTACGGTGTTCTTAACAGAAGTAATGCAATTACGTTATTTCGTTATCAAAAGAAACACGACATCTAACAACAGCGCATTAAAAAACTATTTTCATTCATGATTTAATTTCGAGATTTGTTTATCAGAGGTGTTATTTATTTTTGTTGAGGTAGGTAATATTTAGGGGGGTTGACGGAGAGTGAGTTATGTATTTTGTCATTTAAGTTCTCCTGCTTTAAGGATTTGGTGATACTTTAGTTTATGAGATAAATGTTATTCTTCACAAAAGTTTTTGCTTGTTTCAAAAATAATCATAATAATTCAAACCAAAGTTGAATATATCTTTTCTTTAGTGAAATAATGAAAATTTGTTTACATTGTTTGACTGAAGCAAAGAGATATTGCACTTGTTTGAATTATTAATATTTTTGAAACAAGCAAAAACATTATGAAGAATAATTTTTTTTTTTAAGTTTTAGCTTCCTTTTTTTCAGTTCATCCAGGGATAATAGAGGCAACCAAATAAATTACAAGTAAAATTTTATAACAAAATTAATAGGTATCCTAATTATTTGTATATTCAATAATAATTAGTAAGTTAAACCTGTAGGTACAACTTTCATTAAAGAATAATATATCAATCTACAGAGTAGATACTGGGAGTTCAAATAAGAATGGACTCCGGCCATATCTAAGAAACATATTTGTTATTTTTTTTAACAAAAGTCGTTCTTAGAAATCACTGGTGGTGAAATGATCATTATCAATGATAAAAACTCGTTAAATAAAATCAAATAAAGTTATTTCGAACATATTATTATCAAAATCATATTCGGTACGAAATTTTACTTAATTTTGACTACTCACTTGTTTGTCATTGATCACATGCATTTGGCAATCTAGCTGCGAAATTAGAAACTTGAAAATAATATCCAACGATTTCTCTTAATCACTTGAATGATGACAATTTTAATTTCCAAAATTCTACAGAGCAGTTTCTGAGTTACAGACTGTATATCCTACAGCCACCGACAACCGGCTGGCGTCCTTTTATATTTAGCCACCCGGTACTTTTAGAAATCAATGAATATTTATTAAACTAATAATTAAGAACAAAAAATAGATCTAAGATTATTAAACATTTACTGAGAAAATTAATTATTAAATATTTCCCTTTAAGACTGATACGCCTATGGATATTTTCAATTCACCCAACAGATGATGACGAGCAAGTCGCAATGTATAGCTCTCTGAGCAATTACTACTAGAGGCAGTCTTCTACCTTTCCCCGCGCTAAATTTTGTAAGCAACATCTACTCCCACAGAGGGGGAAAATCCCTTTCCAGTAATTAGCTTATTTAATCAGCATTGTCAAGTTTGACAGCGCCAGTTCTGACACTCTCTGGTACAAGTCAATTTTTGATTTGTATTTTATGAAAAATATAATTATTTATAGCGTTGTAAATGTATATTTAAGATTTATTATCTCTAATAATTTGGTGAAAATATGCTTTATGTGTAAGAGACCTGTTGAAAATACTTCAAGATTATATCACAAGTAAATACAAACAAACCTAATTATCAGAGGCGGTGCATTAGGCAATCACCTTTAATTTGAATTTTTTTTTTAATTTGGTGTCATCGGTATCGATTGCTAAGGTCATTAGCCTCGTGTTCTGTGTAGGCTTTGTTACTGTTTCCCAGCGCCACTTTAGGAGCAGCACTGTTAATTAGAACCCAACAATTTTTTATTGTAGGTTTCCTTTTCTTGATATGATAAAAATAAATAAATGGTTCCAAAATTTAGGAATTCAACAAGTAGCCACCTGAATAACTTTTTATGCTGATGAAGATTTTTATTACAGACCTCGGGAAAGGAAAATATTAAAACGCAATTTCAGTAAATTTTCGATGAGAGAGGTATAATAATCAATCCTGTCACTACTTCCTCACCATATTCATCTGCTACTAAAATACTAAAACAGCAAGGGAAGCATAGTAAATTTAAGTTTCTTTCAAAAAGAATGTTTAAGGAAAAAGACAAAGCCATTTTTTGTTGACAATTTTTTTTTAAACTAATTTAATCGACTAATTTTGTATATTGTTTAAATTTTCATATTATGTAATTATTTTTAGGTTTAAACAAATTAAACCTTAAAGATATCAAAAAACAGCAAAAAGGTTTTAAAATTCTTAAGAAAACTATTCAGAGCCAAAAACAGTAAATAGTTAGTTTTCGTGCCCGGAATATAAAGATATAGGTATATTTGGATATTATGAGTGATTTTTTAATTCTATAAATACAACCTAATTTGCTTCTAAATCACTTATGAACTATATTATGTAGTGACAAACTAAACAAGAATATCACATTATTCATGTATTTTTTATTTACTAAAAAACGTCCCACAAAACATTGAATTTTTATCATTGGAATTAATATCGCTATGCTAAAACAATACTAGAACACCTTAAATAATGCGGATTTTAACTATTTTGAGTTATCCAGATCATTATGATCTAAAAAATGTCTTTTATGTCATTTCTCTGAACACAGTGGCAATATACATTTTAATTAGTTTTTTAAGTCCTACTGTTTTCTCTAATTATCTAAAAAGTATAGAACAAACAAAGACTGTTTTAACAAAAAAGAGATATACCTTTAATTAAACAGACAATTAATTAGTCAATTCAATTATACGATAACTTAAAGTAGAACTCCAGAAAACTTCTAAAAATGTGTTTAAATGTGTTTTTACGAGAACAAGGACATCTTACAAAATAAGTATTAAAAAAAAGTCGGCACCTAATAATATTGACGATAGGTTTTTATAATATATATTATACAAATCACAACGAACTTCACAAAATGACATTATTAATAATTTAAGCAATAAAAAAGTTAAGTACAATGATGACATTAAAAGTTAATTTTCTTGAAATTACTTTTTTTAAGTGTCCCAGTACCTGCCTACTATTGTTCTAGCACAATGATATTATATGAATGTGCATTGTGTGATATATCTTATATTTTAGGAATAAAATAATAATTTTTGGGCAGGTTTCTGTTAACAACGATTCCAAGAACTTTTGAAAATATTTTTAACACAAATATAATTCTCAATTAAGAGCTTTTGATCTAACATTAAATGTTTATTCTCCAAAAGGTTGCAGCTACGTAAGAAGAAAGTTTAAGAAGACTTACCTCTTACCAGACCCAAAATATCAAAATGCTACCAACCAATTGATGGTTCTCTTGATTTCCATAGTGAAATTCTCCTCGAAACTACTAAAACAAAGGTGGCAGAGGCAACCGAAGAAGGCAAAAAAGTCTTTTGCAAAACAAAAACAAGAAATTTGTTAAAGAATGTAATTATTGTATGAAGATTTACCATTTAGAATGTTCGATAACGTTTTAAGATTATAAAGTTCTATATGTATTTTCCTCTTTGATAAAATATGTTTAAATTTTTATTAGGACCAAAAATAAATTATAATTTTCATTTTAACTACAAAAACCCTCATAATATTAAAATGGGAAAACGTCAGATTAGTTATGTTCAAAGATCATCAACTCTTTAAACATGTATTTATTTAAAATGTGTTACTTTTAGAAGGTATGATATTAACTTTCTAGTTGTACATGTACTAATCTATTTCATTTTATCTCTGTTTCAAATTGATTTTGATATTAATCTTATCTATTTCTATTTTTTTTTATGTTCACATATATGTTTTTTCATTGAAACAAACGTTTATTAGTTTATTAAATATAATGAATTCAAGTTGTTTTATTATATGTTTGCATGAATAATTTATTTCCTTTTAAAAATATATTTCGAAGATAAAGCCAAAAAAAACGGTGAGCGAGAATAAAAAATTGGACGAAAATGACGATATTTACTGGAGCTTTCATCTACACACTTCTTTTTTAGCCTATCTACACTTGAGCCAGCAATATTCGTCTTCCCTTCATCCTTACATTCTCAAGATTAACAGAGAAAACGCAGAGTCCTCTTTCACATATCCAGACCTTCTTTGACAGGGACTATACCAATGCTTTACATTATCAGCCTTATTTGTTATCCCGAGCAACTTCAATACATTCGTAATTAAAGATTCCGTACCCATTTTTCTTATTTTTAGTTAAGTTTGAACTGCTCTTTTATTTTTTTCCGCAGCTTTAATTCTACAATACTGTAACCTTACATCATGGATCCATTTTTGTGATTTATAGTATTTAATTTTAATCGTAAGTGACCAACCTATTCTTATATTGTTCCTATCATAATAATTAAGGATTATTGTATAACAGGCCTGAAGATGTCCCTGTGAGGCCCAAAACTAGTCGCTCCTGTATTTATTTATAATAAAATTGATGTAGGTATTTATTTTGAGGTTTTATTCTTTAATTGAAAAAATTAGACCTTTAAAGTGATTTTGTGTTATATCCTGCATCAGATACATATAAGACGGTATACATTTTTTAAAAATAGTTAAATTAGCGAATTTAGTTTTTTACAATTAAAAAGTTTGGACAATGTGTGTTCTTACAGAGAAATGATACACCACTGAACTAAAGGGGTTGTTTACCTTCCCCCTTGTGCCTGCTTCCTCACTTCCTTTACAGATGGTGCAAACACAACAATCACCTACAAACTCGTTTCACGCTCCCTCTAGTAGTAATTGCTCAGAGGCAAAGCCAATATAATCGTTTTTCTCACTCCTATTTAGAGATGACATGATTTTGGTATTGGCTTCACAGAAAATACACTTTTATGAATAACTAGTTGGGAACATGGTCAAAAACGGGGCACAAAAATATATGTATATCAATATCAAAATATACAGCTGGAATTATTTTTAATACAGTTCTTAATAGCTTTAGAAATTAGGAAATGGGGTATTCAATATTAAAAAAACGACCTAAGGCGTCCACTATCATAAAGGAAGGTGGACACTTTGAACATCCGGTCAGCTTACATTAGAAATATGTAAAAGAAAATGTTTAGTGAATTAGAGATTCCTAAAAAAATACAAACCAAAATTTGTATTTTTAAAATAAGTAACTTTAAATTAAAAAAAAAATGATCTCATTTAGGTATGATTTGTACAAAAGAAGTTTATTTTATTTTTGAATGCTCTATGTTCACAATAACCAAAGCAACACGTATATCAGTGGATGTACTTTCATGCTTTGGTCGATAATAATCTAATAACTTTAAGGTTAAAAGAAAGGTTTTTTTATTCAATATTTCCATGACTCTTATTAATTTTACTTACTCATCTGACATCCGTGAATCTTCAGTCCATGCCTTTTTAGGCTCTTTGGTGTCCAAAGACGTAACTTTATGAGCATAAGGCCCCGGAGGTCTGGCAGGTGCAGTCGGAATCTTCCCTTTGTCTTCTAAAGCAGGTGGTGACTGAACAGCTTGTTGGCTCTATAAAAATGAAAACATTGGTAAGTATATCACTATATAATTCCATAAAGGGTGTAACATAATTATTACCAAATACATCCATATAGATCAATATTTTTCTCAACTTACCAAATATTTACTTGGAGATCTAACAAACTTTCTCTCAAGAATTCCCCTTTGTTTCACCTCTGTCACTGTTTGATACTCTGTACGACCAGAATAAGTAAATTTCGAACCAAGTGATAATGGGAATTTTCTTTTTACTCTCGGCGAGTGTAAGCGGAAGAAAGTGTGATGTTCTACACATGATTTCCAAAGGGTTTTTGATGAACGATATGTTTCCATATTAAAACCAAGTAGAGTGTCATAAGATTCGGACTAAAAAAATAGTCCAATTAAATAACGAAAAAAAGCCCCTTCGAGCTTACATTAATTTGTAATTGGATGAAACAAAAAGGACCTTGTGTATTTTGATGTGATCTTTCCGAAAAAAAAAAAAAAAAAAAGATGTAGCAGTTTTTCATTTTTTTTTTAAATTAGGAAAAACCGGGTTTTCCAGAATTTTCCATTGTAAAAATGCTAATTATCTGGGCAAGTATCATTCCGATAGTGAAAATAATTGCATCATTCGAAAGAGGAGGCAAAAATAGTTCATTGCACAGGTAGTTTTAATGGCGAATTTCTCGCCGCCAGAAGTGCTTTTACCAAAAAGTCGTTTTTTCGTTTTTTTGATCAGAACCATGGACATGAAATTTGCGATGAATTTGTGGCGAAATTATAAATGTTAGACATATGTGCCCATGAGAGAAGTTGCGTATTTTTTTGTTGGCTCTCAAATAAAATAAGTCCCGCGGCGAAATCTGACATAATTTTTCGGGAATTCGCAGGAAACCAGAGGCGTAATTTTTTTTTAATTTTTTTCCCATATGATTTTTTCCGGGTTTTCCGAAAACATCTAACAAAAAAAATATATTTGAAAAAACTAACTTCGCCATCGAAAAGAGCACAAAAAAATACACAAATAGGTATACTTTAAAAATGTTAGGAAATTAATCCTAAGCCTGAGTGTAGGTTCCAACTTGCTTGCTTTTTGTTCGCTAATATCTGGTAATTCTATATTTTGCACAAAACTCAAGAAACGTCTTATAACAAGTCAGTAAAATACAATTTAATAAATTTTAAGCCTAATAAGTTTAGATATGTATGAAATTTAAAACTGGAAAACGCAAAAAAATCAAATTACAGTAATGTAGTGTATACACAAGTTTTGGATCCCGCGGAGCGTGTGTAATGGGACTTTTGTCGGGAGAATTCTACAACTTAGAAGAAACATACACACTTTAAACTTTGTATACACATTTAGAAGACATGAAATTTGGGTTTGTTTAATTTTCAGACAAAAAAACTAAAAATTGTCAATTTTAGACAACTTTTCTCAAAAACCGTGTTTTTTTGGTCGTCACTCAATGAACAGTGGTCAAAAAATTAGATAAAACATATTTGCAGAATTTTCCGTAATGTAATCGTATTCTAGACACAATAGAGTACTCAAAAAAAAAGTTTTGAGCCATTGGGTGCATTTTTGGCATTTTTGTGCCACTTCAAACTTTCGAAAAAAAATTTAATTGTTTGATATCTTAGCCAATTATGGTCCGATGTCGGTGAAATTCACACACACATAAGATTTCACATTTAAGAGTAAACTTTGTAAGTGGCATTAAAAAAATTCAAATAGTTTGGCCATTATAGGCAAACAATGAAATTAGGACTGCGGTGCATTTTGCCCTTCCGCCATATGCCAAATTTTGGGATTTCTCTTGCCCCCTTCTGGGAATCACTAGTCACATCCCTTAAGTTCAAAACGCATTTTTGTTTTTTCAAATATCTTAATTTTTAACAATGTTATAAAGAATTTAGTGTTTGAACATTTAACAAATTCAATTTTTCGACTTTCGTCGCCTCAAAATACTAAACAAATTTCAATCGTCCATACCGCGAGAACGGTGCATCGGATCAAAATTTCTCAAGAGACATAAAAATTAGCATTTTTCCTAAGCTTTCAAATGTCGTAAACTGCGTTTTAAAAATATTGATTTATTTCCGACATGCGCCTGCGCAAAATTGACAAAATCCAAAATTTCGGCACTTTCGAAAAACTGCTACATTTTGTTTTGCCTTTTTTCGTAAGATCACCTCAAAATACATAGAATCCATTTTGTTTCATCTAATTACAATTTAATGTAAGCTCAAAACCCGTAATTTAATTCGATTAAAATGTTTGTTAGCGTTTTGATAAAATTTTAAATATTTTAAATTTGATAATAGCAACACTCCATTTTTATTATAGTAACCTAACTTTGAATGGTCAATTCAATTGTATTGACTTTTTCAGAAAACAGTCATATCTAATTTAAATAGTTTTTATATAATAAACATAATTCCAATAAAAACTCTTGACTTTATTTATGTAAACTCACCGGTTCACGACGAAGTTGTATAAAAAATTGTTTTCTTTTAAATGAAATTTTCATAATTTTTGACCAAGAGAAAACGTTTATTCTAATGTTATTTTGGAAGACAACTAGACCTAAGTGTGTAACGCCCAACTGAATTTCTTTATTTGCATTGTCCTTTGCTTTATATAATTCTACACCATACATTTCAAGACGTTTTGCATGGTCCAAGAAATTAAATTCAGCATCTGCTGGTAGTTGACCCCTTAAAAATTAAACATCATTACTTTTTAACAATTCTACAGATGGCATTTAAATTGATAGCTTAATTAATTTTTTTATTCATAGCTTACTTGTGAAGTTTGTGCAACTCTGATATTTTGTTTTCAAGATCTTCTGTTTGATTAGGAATAAGTTGCAAGTTTGATAGATAATTTGATCCATGTTCTTCAGGCTGATAATCACCTAATTCGGCTGTAAAAATAATTAATAATGTAAAAGATACTCAATATTAAAAGCATTTAACATTTGTATCCATCCATTATAATCAGTGGCGCCTTGTCCTAAGGGGCCAAAAGGCCGTGGCGCTAGCACAAAATATGTCGACAAATATTCATTTTTTTTTTACTTTCTTACTTTTCTGTATACCGATAAGGAAAGTATAGGAATCATGATTTTTTGTACCTCGAGTTTTCGACGAATTTTGATGTTTTTGGTGCCCCTAAATCTGTTTCGACTATTTTCGCGTTGATGTCTGTGTTTGTTTCTGTATACTCGATAACTCATGAACAGATTCTGAGAAAAACACCAAATTCCAAACTTAAGCTTTAATCCATTTTGCGTTGAGCTGATAAGATTTTGGACATAGTCGGAACATCTAAGGGGGTACTTTATGGGTGGCCGTTTTTCTATTATATGGACTATATCCGTTATTTACGGTTGGAGAAGAAAATTCTTCAAATGAAAGTTGCTTTTAATATTATTTTATAATTTCTATAATTTATGCTGTATACGAAATTTTCCTAAAATGGCCCGTATTCAAAAAATTTGAAAAAGTAAAAAAAATATTTTTAAGAAAATTGTTTAAATAAAGTTGTTTGTAATGTCATTCTCTATAATTCTTGCCTTATACATATTTTCTCTAAAATTGACCATATTCGACATATTTAAGAAAAAGTGCAAATTTTCAATATAACTCCAAAATGGATAAAGAGAAAAACATGAAATTTTGAATTTAAACTTTAATCCATCGTGTGGGGAACTGATTAAATTTTGGACAGAGTCGGAACATTTAGGGAGTACATTATAGGGTTTTTCTATTTTATTGAATATATCTGTTATTTACGCTTGGAGAAGAAAATTCTGCATATAAAAATTGCTTGTAATGTTATTCTCTATACATAATTTTAATAAAATGGTCCGTATTCAAGAAATTTGACAAAAATTGCAAAATTCGAATTTTTAAGAAAATTGTTCAAATAAAAATTGTTTGCGATATCATTCTCTATAATTTTTATTTTATACAAAAAAATATAATACATAAAATGAGTAGTATCCACAATTTTTATAGTTCCACGCCATATTTGTCAAAATTATCAAATTTTTAATTAGTAACGTTGACAACTGCCAAATTTGAAGTCTAACCATCTTTTTAATTATTTTTCAGTCGATACCTATGCCTATTGATGATGTCTTTTTTTATTTTAATATCGTTAAAATCGACAGTGTTCGGCTTAAGGTAGTTATAACCATCCACTTAGTTTCCTTGAAATTTTAAGTCACCTACCATCAGTCCATAACATTTTTTTTTACTCAAATATTATGAGAGGTACATGTTTTTTTGCAAGAAACAAAAAATGCTACAATTACAGCTCCCCATAAGAAAAATGAAAGAACCGGGGCGGCCCTCAAAAAATATTATGTCATTTATGGTAGGATCAGGGTGGTTTTTACGCTTCCATGATTTCAGTTGGCGTAATTTTTGCTTTGAACAATGGCTCTTCAATTAAAATAGCTACATACCAAATTTTATAAAAATCGATGGAATCGTTTTTGAGTTATTAAAAAAAAATTGAAAATTTTCTTTTAACTTTAAAGCTTCCTCACAGGTAAACGAAGCACTTTGTAATATAGATAATTTTGGCTCAATCGACTTATTCTAATTTCACCAACATACAGTAGCTCTATATGTACATGGAATTTTGGGACAACCTGCATATTGAAAACAGTTACGTCACTCATGCAGAAAGTACGTTTTTAAACGTTGAGTAAAATGTTCTTAATTTTTCTGTATAGTTTTGTTTTTGTTATTTATTATTTTGTAAAAATGGTGAATATGCATTACCGTTTAAATAAGAATACAAAAAAATTACCCGATTCATGGTTTTTTAACGACTTTTAGGTCAAAACATGGTCGTCTCCGGCGGGACACCCGTGTGATATACTGGCCTGGTACTAACTGTATGTTAAGACACGAGACGCCACTGATTATATTGATTTAATTTATTGCAGTAAAAAAACTTGGCAAATAATCACTGATAATTTACATAGAAAACTTGGTGGAATTGTGTTGTTTTAGCATAGGGAGCAGAGATAACACAGACAATCAATACGCTATCTATTTGTAGGTCGGCGGCAAGGGCACGAAAGGTGAGAAAAAAGAGAGGGGATAAAGAGAAGAATTTTACGAAGATACAACTCTTTTTATCAATGAATAAAAGTGTAAGGTGCTGTGCGCTTATAATAAACAACGTAAATATCCATACCGGTGAAAGACCTGTTGCCATTCCAACCTAACATGACTAGGTTTTGGAATTTATTGAAAATTATTACATCTAATTTAGTGAAATTACATCTAATTTAGTTAAATTTGATATAACTAATAATTTAAAATTGTTTCGATTCAGTTTCAATAAAATAGGTTGAATTATTTTAGCTTTTTTAATATACGTAAATAATTTTTTAAACAAAACGAGAATAATGAAATAGGCATATGACAACAGTGGATATTATACCATCCTGTGTCCCTTAGAATATGTGTTATTCAGGACCGCACGATATTTGTTAGTAGTTACATCTCCTGTTATCTCTGATAGGGGGTGACAATTTTAAAAACTTACAACTATATCTCATGAACTAAGGATGATATCATAAAAGTGAAACTTAATAAAAACAATAATTTATTTTGTACTACTGGAGTATAAATATTTAAATATATTTTAATTATTATGTACTTTTGAACCATCGAAAATACATGTAAAAAACAAACAAATATTATCCTGATAGGGGATTATAACATTTATTTTAACAAACCAAATAACCTGCAGACAATAAAACTGACAGATGTGTTGTCTTTTAACCTAACTCCGAACATAGACAAACCAACCAATGCGAAAAACTGTATTGACAATAGTGTCTCCAATATTGAGACTTTTACTCTCACAAACGTCATTGAAGTCAAAGGCCTGTCAGATCATAGCTGTATCTCAATGTCTTTTCAATTACCCATAAAAGTGAACAAACCAGAAACAATAGAATACCGTCCAATAACGAAAATGGGTCTAAACAATTTTTTAAACATAAAACAGATTAACTGGACTTTTGTGACTGACACTAATACATCAATAAATCAGAAATTTAACCAGTTTTTGAAATTATGCAAAGAGGAACTGAAACCTGTTTTCCAGAAAAGACAAAAACTAAAAAAACAGATAGCTTGCCAATCATTAGGTACACAGAAGAACTTAAGCAGATGAGGGAAACAATAAATTTTCTGTATGACTTATTTAAGCTGCGAAACACTCCTGACATCATAAACACTTTTAAACAGGTACGCCAGGTACTGGCTGCAGCAAAGAAAAGAGCAAATGACAATGTTATTACAAATGCCTCAAATCCTCAAAATAACTGAAAATCAAAACGGAAAAAACTGGACACTAATCTCACACATATCAAACTTACCAAAAACCAATTTGACGTTTTCTTTTACTATGGTAAGTTGCACCACTGTTAAAAATATAATCTTAAACTTAAAAAACAAAAACTCTCTTGATTGCCATTTGATGAATGCAAAAATATTAAAAAATATTTCCTCAGAAATACTTTTCCCCTTACGATTCTCTTTAATAAATGTCTGACACAGTCAATTTATCTATCTATCAGTCTGAAATGCTCTAGGGTGGTCCCGGTCTATAAAAAGGGCTGTAAAAACGATCCTTCCAATTATAAGCCTATTTCTATTACGCCTGTTATTGGTAAGGTACTAGAAAAAATATTGCAATCACAAATAATCACATACTTTGAAACAAATAATTTATTTAATAAATTCCAGTTTGGTTTTAGGTCCTCTAGAAGACATGTTGACGCTATTAACACTTTAGTAAAAATAATAAATCAAAGCTTTGAAAAAAAGAAAAAGAATACACAGGTGTTCTATTCTGCGACTTAACAAAAGCTTTTGATTGCATTTCACCCAGGTTACTTATACACTAACTGAATATATATGATTTTGATTTACCGAGTAAAAATATTAGACATTTATCTTGGTGAGAGGAAACAGTATGTAAATATATAGAAAAACAAGTCAAATCTAATTGAGATGGCTCTAGGGGCGTCTCAGGGCTCTGTGCTGGGGCCGTCATTGTTTATTATCTACATTAACGAAATTGATGATTTAACCAGAACAGAGACCCAGAGGTACCTAAAGTACCTAAACTTTGAGGACGACACAAATGGGGTTGATGTTGCTGAAATATTAGTTGATTTAGTGGGAAGCCTGGATGAGATGCAGTCAAAAACAAAAGAATGGTTTGGACAAAACTTAGTTTTAATGAACAAAAGAATGTATTTTTCTATGAAGCCTATAGATTAGGGATTGCAAATTTACCGAATTTTAATTTACCGGTAATTCGGTAAATTATTTAAAAAATTACCGAATCACCGGTTCTTCCGACATAAAAAAAAAAACAAAGAAATAAGCCATAAAATAAATAAACAAACTTTAATTCTTATTGAATAATAACAGAAAAGTAAAACTCTAGGTAAACTTAAAAAAAAACTAATACATATGCCTAACTTAAAGTCTAGTAACAGGCCCTAAAACATTCAAAATAGTAATGAAATTTTGTTTAATAAAAAAGGCCCTTAGAAAACACAGCTTATCAATACTATTATCACTTAGTCATGACCTAATCTTAGTACAAATTGTTCCTGTCGCAGAAAAGGCTCTTTCAGACTCCACACTAGTAGGCCAAGTTGTCATGAGTGCTGCGAAAGCCATTTTTAAGTTTTTCCCCTGAATTCCCTCCTTCCAAAAATATTGCATTTCTGTTTTCACACATTGATGAACACTGTTAAGCCTAACCTGCTGTCTTCTAATTGGAAGAGTACTGTTTACATCAATTTTCTTTCTTATCGCTAGTTGAAGTTTTTCTTTAATCGACAATGCAGCATTATCCGATTTTGATGTTGATGGACCCAAAACCCGATTGAGGGGGATGTTATCCTCATCAAAGGAATCATCGAGGTCAATGCTATTTGTATTTTCTGAAGACTCTTCTAGGTTTTGTTTTGAAATCCGCCCAATTACTTCCACTATTTAAGAGCTTAAATATTTCACAATCCTCACTTGACAGTTAACATGCCGCGACCTGCGTTCCCGTTCAATCTTTGTTTACGATTCACCCCGTCCGCGCTGCCGTGCATCATAGAAACAACTGATCCGCGCTGTTGTCAGCTTGGCATTTTTTACCGAAATTACTGGTAAAAGATGTCGATTTCTTCGTCAGTAATTTAAAGAACTTTTAAGGCGGTAAATCGGTAGTGCAATCCCTACTATAGATGTGCCCAACTTTGAGACTGTCAGGTATTTGGGAGTCAATCTTGACCCCAAGTTACCTTGGGAAAAACACACTAAGCAACTAGCAAAAGAAATATGTTCCGTAGCTTACTTGCTATATAATTTATCAAAAATACTGTCAAAAAAAGTTCTTCCTAATGTATTTCACGCATATGTCCAAGGTAAAATTTCCTACGTAATTTTAGCTTGGGGCCACGCAACATCTATTGATAGACTATTTTTATTACAAAGGAGATATATGAGGATAGTCGATGGAAAGAGCTACAGGGAGGACTGTAAGGAGAGTTACCTAAATTTGGGTATACTAACATTGCCATCTTTATTTTGTATTCATTGAAATATGTAGTAAATAATTTAACAATAATGTACATACCCACATGACTAGAAATGCAAAAAAATATACACCTTGAATACCATAGAATGGAAAAAACCAGAACTGGAATTTCTTACTATGGCCCAAAGGTCTTTAACAAATTGCCCCCTGAAATACGAGAACTGTCTCCAAAGATTTTTCAAAATACATTTAAAAAATATCTTAAATCTAAGGTTTTTTTATTCAATTGAGGAAATATTAAACCACAACTTTAATGATTTGATAATAACTTAAAACAAATATTTTTCACATTGATGTAACAACATAGTAAAATCAGGTGGCTGTCTTGGAACTATAAGTGTTTTTATGTTACCTATTTGTACAATGTTTATATGTACATTGTTCCTTACTACATTGAACATTTTTTATGACTTAATGCTATTTTAATTAGGTACCCATGTGCTATATTATATATTTATGTATTTTTTTATATTTTTACTTAAATGCCTAATATTTTAAAGTGTTTACTATTGATGTGTGTAAAATTTTTTGTATTTTAATAACATGAATAAACTACTCTACATTGAAAAGCATTTTTACTAGCTTTTCAAGGATGTATGACAAGAGGGTTTATGTTTATTTCTTTTTGTTAAGGTAGGTGGCGAATAGAGCTGAGTTCTAAGTTCCCTTAGGTACCCTAGAAACAATTTTAAGCATTTTCTGATTTAATCTTTAAGTGATGAGATATAGCCATTTTAAGTTTTTATATTGTCACCACGTTTATATAAATTGACAGGTAAATATGCAAAAAGAATCTTTGTTCAATTAGTAAATATTGATACATGATATTAAAAATATCAACATTATAAATAATTAATTTCCAACTTACATTGTACAGTATAACTAGCTAAAAGTATGGCAGTACTAGGAGGTAAATATAATTTTCCCTCTAAAATATCTCTTCTTAATTGTAAATAAAATTGATATCGTGTATATTCTTCTTGGAGTTTACTTGGATCGGATACATAAAACTTAACTCTAAAATATATTGCATATTGGCATGTTCCCAGCTGCTTCTTAATTGATTTGGACGGATCTAACCAATGCTAAAACATTTATATTTAGAAATTAAAATAGCGGAAAGTTAGTAATAGCATAAAATATGGGAAATATTTTTAAAACAAGAAATTTTTCGGAATCGTACAGGTCAATTTAAATGTTTCTTGTAGATTGTAAGAGTCAACAAATTAGGAGATCGGCGCTACTGAGGCCGTCGGTACCACATCGCGCCCGTCGCAGTATCCAGGAACACTTGAATTTCGATCAAGCGAATGCAAGCAAGTACATTAGTGCCCATTGAAGACATTCATTAATTAGAATTTAAACATTGTTTAAAAGGTTGAATGCCGACCACTCACGGGTGCGAGGTGAAGGAGAAATACACAGTGCCGTCCACGCACCGATGTGAGTCGTTTCCATTATGATTTGCAATGCTCAGTATGTAGTTAGTACCCCGCAATGACCCTTTAGTTACAACTGGAAGTCAACCTGTTAAGAGATATTTAATAAAACATTATAAAACCATGTTACCATATGTTTTGCAAAGTGGCTATACAGGGTGTTATAGTATACACAGTGAAAAAACAATAATTTTGAAGTTAAATCATTTAACTTCTAGCAATATGATTTTATTTGGAAAACTGAAAAAGTTGCCACAATTTGCTATATTTTTCAGATGGTTTGGTTTATTTACCTAACTGTCAATGACAACTTGTAAAATTAACACCACACTTCTTTAACTTGAAAAATTATTATTCTGTAATTTTTCCATATTATTCGGAACTAAGAACTCTATAACTATCATTTTTCAAGCTAATCCATAATTGTTAAATTATTATGATTGATAAAAAATACAGAAGAGAAAAATGTATTCATTAGTTTACTAAAGCTTGATACCCCTCTCTGCAGTCTCCAAATGGGCAGACATATCTAAACAAAAGAAATAAACTTTCTTAAAACGATGTATGTTATATTTTGTCTATGAATACACCATTTGAAATCATTCCTTCCTTGAAAATTATATCTTTGATTACTTATTAGGCATTTATTGGTACTTATACCTGAAGCAGATAAGTTGTAGATATTTTAAAAACATTTTTATTCACTTATAACTAAAACTTGTAGTGTGATGTGTTACAATTATTATTTATTACTTTTTTTTTAATTTTCAGAGTTAATTCATCTATAAGTATCTTGTAATTTGGAAGCTAAAGCTAAACCACAATGGTTCAAAAGATAAATATATTAATCACTTTCTACAACTAGATTTATATCATGCATTTGTTTATTATAGTTGGAACCCAGTACCTGACACTGAACAAAAAAAATAAGTAATTTTCAAAAAATGTTATTTTACAGCTGCAATGTTTTTACTCTTATAACGGGCTGTAAATGTATATCATGCAATATCAAAATTTCTGTGGAAACCTGATCTCTTCCAATACCAGTACTTTTCTTACACACCCACAAATGACTTCAAACATTTTATATCAATAAAGCTAATGATATGATGCTAATTCTATAAATATATTTATATTAAACCAAAATTACATATTAAAAAAAAAACAATTGATATTAAGTATTTAAACTAAAAAACAAAATTCAGTTATAACTTACCATCCACACTGAACATCGATTTCCAGGCAAACTGCCATTATCTGAATACTGTAGGCCAAAATAATCTTTTTCCACTAACTCAAGGTGGTGATACACTTGTTCCAGTAAGATGGACCCTTTTGCACGTTTCTCAACATGAAAAACATGCTCAGTATCATCCAAGAATTTTACTGTAATACTGAGAGTTTTTAATTTTCTTTCTCTTGCTGCAGCCAGTTCTAAAGCATGTACGTTATAGGTACCACTAGAACCACTGAATGCTCTTTTAGAGACACTCTCAATCATTCTTAGACATTCAGATTTGGGCAGATAGCATTTTTAATTGCATTCTGAAACACATAATTTTTATCAATATTTAAATTATAGATGAAATGAAAACTATTGCATAATAAAAAGCAAATTTATGTGAAACAAAAACAAAAGGGCCAACATATCTCCAATAAATAAGCCAGATAGATGGATATAAAATTAAAACAAAGCAGGGCCAATTGTTGAGTAGTAAAATCTAGTTTTAAATGTTTTCTATCAGCATATCTAGTATTTTAATCAAAGCTAGAACTAAATAAAATAAGTCTTACGTTGCACCTCCTTGTAAAACTTACCTTTTCTCAATTCTTATTAACTTTATGACTAATCCAATTTCAACTCCAGTTGTTAACCTCATTGATAAATTAATAGATATGCAAAATTACCTGCTTCATAAAAGGAAGCATAATAATTATTACTTATAGAAATTTATTGCTTTTTATTGATAACAATAATCGTTAACCATTAACCTCTTGCTTCAGTTAATTTTTAAATTGACGGTATACATTTACCAAATAGGAAATATAAAAATATTAATTACCTAGGAGATTATTTTCTACATCTATCAAATCATGGTTTCTTTAGCCAAGGTTTAGTAATTTAAAAATAGTTCCGTTATTATTTTGTTAAACACATTCCTTTTGGTTTTCGTTTTATTGTAATTTATGTTGAGTTGTTGAGGAAATTATTTTATATTATTTATTAGAAACCCATCACAAACTCTTCGCTTTTTTCTTTTTTCATGAGCTCAGAGCTCGCTGTCAAAGTTGTACAATGTCATATGTCCACTTGTTGCAATGATATATAGTTATATAGATTACTCACCCGTCAATAAACAAGAAAACGAAGGCGAAAAAGCCAGAATCGATCTAGCCCAAATGTGTTTTAAAATCAAATTTCAGCCTTTGTATATATTAAAAAATAAAAAATATAATTACCTATATTTTTACTTCAAAACAGTCATTTAAAAAAGATATTTTTTGTGTTGTAAAGTCAAAATTTCCATATAATCATAGTCAATAAGAGATCTGAACAATTTAGCTAATATGCAAAACAACTTTGAAAAAGTATGTAAACAAGTTTGATAAACGATATAAACAACTTTGATAGGAGATATAAACAGCTTTTATAAAATTTGTAACTAAATTTATTTGGATTGGACCAAAAATATAGGTACATATTGTCACTTATATCTTCTTATTGAATTTTTTTCTACATTTCATAGCAGATACACAATTAGATCAAAATAGATTCTTTGTAATATTAATTGATTGTGAATTATTCGGTGAATAAAATGGCAAGCGAATTTCAGAAAGAGAATAATATTCTGCTTGTATATAGTGTTAGTTTTTAATAGTTGGTAAAGTAAAACATATTTTTCGTAATGTTCAAAAAGCTGCGACATAAAACGCCAAAATTTATATTATTGTTAAAATCTTTTTTTTTATTTTGGACCATAGCATCGAAGTAAAATATTACTAGTGACTATTACACATAAAGGTGTAAAAACAACAATATAAAATTATCGTGCAAAAATCTAAAATCATACATTAGTACCTACTAATTATTGAACGTTATTGTTTTAACAAAATATCATTAGGATATAATTTAAACTCAGTGGAAAGGTTCTATAAAATAACTTGTTACATAACAACTTGCATATATGTATCGTAAGCTTACTGCAAAAAGTGACCAAGTCAAATTTTATGTGATTCGAGTTAATATGACCAAATCACTTGTTAAAAATTGACAAAAAAAAATGACCAAGTCATATTGATCGAATTTATTTAGTACTTTGAGGCAGTATAAATATGACTTGGTAAGTTTTTTTTTTGGTAAATCTTTCTTTAGCAAGTGAATTGTTCATATTAACTCAAATAATATAAAATTTGACTTGGTCACTTTTTGCAGTAAGCCCACAATATATGAACTATAATAAAGGGATATATATATAATTGCACTTTAAAAAATTCTTTCAACTATGTAATAAACTGATGACCGAATCGAACTTTGCATTTGTCTAAATTCAACTTTGAGCTTACCCATTATAAAATGGCACATTGGATTCGGTAGAGTAAGTGTTCTATGGATTCGGTATACTGAAACTTTAAACTTACCCAGTATAAAACGATACAATTGTTCTTTGGATTAGATATATTTTAAACAATATGCCACTATAAAATGATAGAATTCCAATTTGGATAGGTACTAAACTTTAAGAGAAGTATTAATGTGCAGGTATGCTGCCCACTTATATAGCCTTTTTTGCTTTGGTTGACCGTGTTCTTTTCATTTCATGCCGAGAGGTACACTTTTTGCTTCGATGGGCATTTTTGCTCGTTTTAAAATGACCAACATACTCAAAGAGTGTTTGCAAAAATTGAACAAGTGCACCAAGAATTCACTTAATTTCGAAAGAAAAAGGGGACGTATTTGTCTCTTAGTGTCCTTTTATTAAAATAAGTTATAACTACTACGTTTCAAAGTGCGATGTATCGTTTTTTCGTGCCAAGTGTATTTATAGGCTCGATTATTCTTTTTAAAGCTCAAAACTATGACAATAAGTTATTTCTATAATTTTCATGTTCTATCAGATTTAATATTATTAAATAATATTTTTTCAATGTGCGTTTTCTCTGTCATTAGTGCCAATATATATATTATTTTTCGTGTATTAACTTTCATAAAAGTTTAACACATTTTTGTAATGTTTATTAATTCCTTTTTAACGCTATTTTGGTCTATTTTAAAGTTCATTTAATATCAACCCTATAATAACTACTTAGTACAAATCAATGTTCCATTAAATACTGCAATACCAAAATTAATTTTGTACATTATTGCCTGATTATTATAGGACCAGGATATTTTCTTAGTTAAGTTGGACAGTCCAATTTTATAGTAACATCCTACAATAGTGTTAATTAAGAAATATAAACTAGTAAAATCCGCTTTTTGTCGTTTGATTTACATATTAAAATGCCGCGTTTGAGAATCCACATCGGATGCATCTGAGATGTAAAAAATCTTTGATCACGTGATTCAGTATACGTAAATGTAATGGGACAGATGTGTCCGATGTGGATAAAAAAACGCTCGAGATGTAAAAAATGCATCTGATGTGGATTCTCAAACGCGGCATATGACCTACCTTTACATGTGGATGATCAATCTATTAACCATATATTTCATTGGCTGCTAAAGAGCTACCATCACTTGGCGTAATCTATGCTACCATCAGTACCAATACAAAAAAAATGTAAATATCACATACTTTGATTTTCTTTTACTATACGGAGAATGGTCGCACTGCGCAGTTTTCTGAGTGCCTTTTAAAAGGAGATAGAAAACTCCGCCATTTTGAACCCTTATTACGTGTTGCCTACATCTTGGCGCAATATTTTTAATAGGTGCGTTTGAATCATCCGCTTCTGCTTCGGAATTGTCGGTTTTCTTGTTTTAATCTGACAGGTTAAAACGACTAAACCGACAATTCCGGAAGCAGAAGCGGATGATTAAAACGCACCTGATATTTTGCTTGCTGCTGTCAGTGTCAGTGAATATTATTTTTGAAGTCACAGTTTATTGCTAAAGAATGAGTTAGCTCACTCGGACCAGTTGAAAGTTCCAAAATAACATCCACTCCAGGATACCTATTCTCTAACTCATGGGAGCACTCCCACACTCCCATGCTCCCATACTCCCATGCCAACGTTGCCAAGTCGACAGAATAACTTTGATCTACTATTTAAGGACCGATCCACCGTTGTGTCAAACGAAGTTTAAAATGACATTTTTACATTAACAATGTCATTTTAATCTCCGTTTAACTCAACGGTGGAATCAGCCCTTAGTAATTCAAATTTGCTTTGTGATAAATACGGACCTAATCTGGCAAGCCCGCAATTCTCCCTCCCATAGTATAAAATCTGACCTTACTACGCATGTACCTGGGCTAAAAGTGAGTAAGCACGATATACCCACCTAAGAGTAAGAGAGCAAAATATATGGGAGCACTCCCATGGGAGCGCTCCCATGACTTAGTGAATAGCTATCCAGGGATACAAATTCAGGATACGCAGAAGACTGCTGTTTTACTATAGGCGGTTGTCATATATTGTATTATCCGAGTTGCACAATGTATAAACTGAAATATTGAGATCAAAAGTGCCGACGCAGAGTGAGCGATCTGATTCTTTAGCTGTAAACTGTGTTACAGGGTTCAAAATGGCCGCGCCCTATGTTGGGCGTGTCGGACCTCTCTCTTGCCTCGTATAGTAATCGTATGTGGGTTCGACCAAATTCTATTCCCATTTGACACTTGATAGATTGCTAAGGTATGTGTTTTGTGGATTGACAACAGTCCACAGTGTTCTGTGCAATGAAGTGGAGAGGGGTAGAATGATAACTGTCAATGAAAAAGTCTGGGTCTGGACACTCATTGCGTTCGGTCTGCCAAGTTCCTTTAACTCCTTTAACACTTTTAACTCCAAACGACCCTTTTAGCGTTAGGTTTAGTCCATGGAGGAAAGATTGGCTGCGTTCATCCGCGCCATTTCAAGGAGCGCTACAAAAGTAGCGATCACTTACGCTACCTGATCGATCTTTATGCACGGATGAACCATGTTTAAAAGTGACATTTGATTTTGGTTTATTCATTTTACTTTTGAGTTGAATGTCTCTGGTTGAAGATTTGTTTGTTTATTTTTCAATTGCTAATATGCTAATATAACCCTACTAGTCACCAAGCAAACCGTGGACGTAAGTGCGTAAGACAGATCAGTGATCACCGATCAGACGTAAATAAAAGGTCTTTTCCTTTGCATTGAAGGTGTAGCAATGAGCTACACCACTTCTAAAAATATCGTTCCATCCATACAATTTGTATAAATGGAACGATATTTTCAGAAGTGATGTAGCTCAGTGCTACACTTTCGATGCAAAGGAAAAGACCTTATATGCGCTACTTTTAATGGCGGCCGCTCCTTGAGCGAAATGTCAAAATACACCGTTCATACGTGCCACTCGAGAGCGCTACCAGATCGATCAGGTAGCATATGGCGCGGATGAACGCAGCCATTATTAGGTTTAGTCCGATTAGTGATAGTTTAACACGCTTAAGGTCCGGTTTTTCAATCTCCGGCTATTTAGGATAGCTGGCAGCTACGGAGATAGCCGTCAGCCACTGACTGTCAAAACGTTTTTCGACCTCCAGTTATACGATAGCCGTCAGCTATTTTGACTGTAACCGTAACCGACACTTGCAAGTGGTAATTTCGTATAGATAGCCGCCAGCTAATTATTGTACATGCGTATTGCGTAGGACGTTGTTTGTCAAATTTAGAGGTTAATATTTTTATTAATTTTATTTCTGAAAAATGGGTTTCTTTGAATATATTCACAGCGACGATGCCAAAAAATAAATTATTTAAATTATTGAATATTAATCAATGATGACCGTGTAATCCGTGTGTTGTAAGGGAACGGCCCATTTATTTCGATATCGATGAACTGAATTTTATTTTTTTTTGTTTTTTTGTGTCATCGGCATCAACTGCCATGGTTATTAGCCTCGTGTTCTGTGTAGACTTTGTAACTGTTTCCCAGCGTCACTTTAGGAACAACACTGTTAATTAGTACCCAACAGTAAATGGTCGAGTGGGGAATCCTACCATTCACTGTTGGGTACTAATTAACAGTGCTGTTCCTAAAGTGGCGCTGGGAAACAATAACCAAGCCTACACAGAACACGAGGCTAATAACCATAGCAGTTGATGCCGAATTATTAAATTTTAGATTTTTCTGCAACCTTCGTTTCCGTGATATTGCATTTTCCGTTTTTTTTTTTTACATTTTGTAAGATAACCAAATTTCAATAGTAGGGCTCTATCTGATTCCGCGTAATTAGATATTTTCTCTTTTTTCTAAATCACCAATTGCCCAAAAACAGAAAATAACAAGATCTTAAAGAAAAATGGAAGCAAAATAGAACAATTTTTATGTGAAGGTCGGTGACGATCAACACAAGACACGATATGTAAAACGGAAAATTTAAATTATCCAATAAAAACCATTTAACAAATTAGCAGAAATGCCAACCTGTCTAAGAATAAATAAAAACTATTAGACTACGTAGCTAGCAGTTAAATTCGTGATGAAAAACACTTCCATCCATATTCCATCGGTAACAGGGACTTTGACTGCCAGCTAAATATAGCTGTCGGCTACGTAACAGCCACTTTGACTGGACATTGAAAAACCGACCCTAAATGTCATCTAAAAGCACCCTAAAATTTGTCCCGCTCCAGCCCCTGACTGACCGAACTCGCCTACTATGCACAATTTCGTTTTGCACATTTTGTAAACAAAATTCAGGGACGGTTTAACAACATTTTGTGCAACAATTATAAAATAGTGCATCGAACAATAATTAACAAATATAATTTAATACTAAATCGGAATAAAAGCATAAAAAATCATAAATATAATCAAGATAACAAAGAATTGACGCCAAAAAAGCTTACAACAGCCAAAACACAAACAAAAAACAGCTGAACATGAACATAATCGCTGAATAAAGTCGATCCTGGAATTTGTTTACAGTGCTTTAGGGTAACCTCTCCTTGTCATTTACGTGTGTAAGAGTGGAAGGGTGAATCACGCATAATTTCTACACTCGTGATGGATGCGCAGACGGTACCTTATCGTTCTACCCTCTCTACTTCTTTGGTTCTGTGCAGTCCACCAGAATAAGTGTTCTGTGCAATCCATATCATATGACTCAGTCCAATTTCTGTCATATTTCTGTGGTCCAAGTGTTCTGTGCTCAGTCAAGTGTAAACAGAAAATAGTAGATTATGGAAAAGTTTTTGTATACATTTTCTATATATAAAAAATAAAACGTGAAAATGAATGTTGATTTAAGCAAATCTAGCGTTGTTCAATGGTTTGAAGGAACGGAAAAACACCGATGTGGTTATTGTAAAAATCAGAGTAGTGTATCAATGGGTATGTGAGAAGAGGATTTCCAAATATTACCTAGAAATGAGATACTTTTTATCTTATATAACTAAATATAGAATTAATTTATACATTATAGAAATCTATGTTGCATTTCTACCACAAACTTCTAATTTCAATTCCTACCCATTCAAAATGACTTTAATTTTATTAACATTTTAATGTTAACTTAGAGCCCAGATAAGTACTATAGACTATAGTTACAGAAAATATTCAAAATCTTGTAAATGTCATGATTATAATAAATAAAATATAAGTAGTCCATTTTTCATTAAAAAAAAAACAATTTTCAAATAGGGTTTATATAAAGTGAGGCCCATTAGTTAACTGACAAAATAATTGTTTGCACTGATTTTTAAGGAAAATCCTGATACAGATCTATGTTTTAATTCTAATATAATATACTATTCTGCCCTGCTAAGACAAGAGGTTGTATCTACAAAAATTTAGATTTCAAAATTTTTACACATTTGGTAAGCTTGCATTTTATTTTATTATGATACAATGTTAGAAAAACCTATTTGCATTAGAAATCAGTTCAAATTACTTAATATAAAAGTTAGTCAAAACTGCAAAACTTACTTTACGAGTTCTAAAATGATGTAATTATGTACACTTACTAAACATTTTCATTTTGTAGATAGTACCTTTTGTTTAAGCAGGGCAGTATAACTATTTGAATAGCATATATACATCTTCTTTCAATAATCCCCTTGGAATGGAAGCTACCCCTTTAAAAATTTTAATATTGTCAGCAAGTTAAAGGCTTTTTATTTATATGTGGACTTCCAGTTTGAATACCTGCTGTAAATTATTTCACTTTAACCCACCGCTATTCCTATTATGCAGGCCTAACACCATACTTTTTTATGTTTAAATTATAGACTATAGAGAACCATTTAGCTCATCATTTAATTTAAACATTTTAAAGCTGTTAGTGCAAGGGGTTTGAAGGGGAGAAGTAGAATTTTGTTCAAGTAGTGTAATTTTAGAATTAAAAAGCATCCTGTTTTAGGATTTTTCTTGAAAATCACTTATTAGGAAAAATTTATTAGTTTCTTAAGAACCTCACTATAATTGTTAGTTACTAAAATTCCAAATAATTTATCATTCACTAAACAATTTACATTTAATGGTTGCTGTTATGCCACGCTGAGGATATTACTAATGAATTAATTTGATATTGATCTGTTTTCTTTTAATTCATTAAGTTCATTTTAAATATGGAGAAAGTACTTTTAAATTAAATATTAAATAGTAGATGTTTGTTACAGTATTGGTTTATTGATATTCTATCTTTACTGGTGTTAATGTATTTTGAACATGAATATTTAATGTAATTATATATCTTTTACTTTCCAGTAAGCTTTTTAAACCAACACTTCCAGTGTTACTTGTTTAAGAATAATATACAGATTTAGAAATAAAACTTTTACAGTATTGTTAAACTGTAGAGCAGAAGATTACAATTTCTTCCATAATATTGAGCAAATATGTTAAAGTAGCATTGGTAGCTTAACACTGAGTTGCATCAATAGTGCACTTCTCTTTTAGTTATCTGGTCATATACAGTGTGGCCCTAATTGGGCCTAAGTACATGTATGGGGATCTTGAAAACTATAGAATACAGAAAAATGGTTAAATGGGTAAATTTTTATACGAATATATTTGCAGCTTAAAGCTGTTTAGTACGCGATTCTATCTTTTTTTGTTTTTAAGATATTAAAAAAAAAAACAAAAAAGTTGCATTTTCTAAATTATGCTGTAGCTTTTTATTGTTCACTATTTTGGCAATCTTTAAAAACATTTTTGAAGTAACTTTTGATATAGATTTCAGTTCTGCAATTGGATTTTGAACACGACGTTTCAATTATTTTATACCATCTTCAGGTTAATTTTTTCTTATGGATGCTATATTGTATTTTATACTTAAAAGGTAGCTATTCATATCAGATTTACAATGATGTATTACTTATTGGGAAATAAATGAAATTGGCTTTAAAAATCAAGAAAATTAATTTTCGCAACACCTCAAATTTGACAACAGCACTATCTCCAAACTCATCCTAATGTCTACTTTCCGGTCTTGATCAGCAAAATGTTATTTTCTGGAAAATTGTTCAGAAAGTGTATATTTTCTGGTCGGTTTTAAAAAACTATTTTTATAGATTGCCAAAATAGTGAACATAAAAAAAAGGCATAATTTTGAAATTGCAACTTTTTGTTTTTTTTTTAATATAAAAAAAAAACGATAGAATCACGTACTAAACGGCTTTAAGTTTCAAATATATTCGTATAAAATTTTTCCCATTTAACCGTTTCTCTATATTCTACAGTTTTCGAAATCCCCATACATGTAGGCCCATTCTGGGCCACACTGTATTGCGATTGTGTACTCTTTAAGTTTTGGTGTATTTATTCTGTAGATGTTTTCTTCCCGAATCTGTATACTGTTATTATTTGCATATTAATCTTAATTGTCCAAAAACCCATTTGTATGCTACTGTCTACATTTTATACAAATTGCATTTTTTTAATCTTTTACCACTTTTAATAAAGTGGCTAGGATTATAGTCAAACTATATCAACAATTACATAAGGACATGTATCATTGGTACTGCAACAAAAATACAAAAGTCCATTAAATGCAACAGAAATGAATTATTTAAGAAAAATAGTAGAGGTCTGAGCATTAGAATTTTTCAGAACAATTCTGTTTTCTCCTTATAATGATTTAATTTGATTTGTAATTAGATACCTATTGTAAAATAATTAAAATTTTACAGTTTTCTTAAACACTGGTAATATATTTTACTATTTATTTATTTTTTGCAGGGATGTGGGCTGAAAGCCTTACAGTTGATGATTATCAAGATCTTATTGATCGAGGTTGGAGGAGATCAGGTAAATATTGCTACAAACCTATTATGGAGAAGACATGTTGTCCATTATATACCATCAAGTAAGTATATTCATTATTTATTAGACTCGATCTGATTATTGTTTTGAATTCATTTTATTTTCTAGTTTTTTTACATCTTATAGAAAAATTCCACTCAATATTTAAGATTATTTGATATTTTTCAATTGCCCTTTCAGATGTTTTTTAAAGCTTGTTTCTGTATTCTATCTTAAAAATCAACTGGATTTCTTACAGATGTGATGCCGTTAATTTTTTACTCAGCAAATCACAAAAAAAAGTTATAAAAAAATTTAACAAGTTTCTGAGAGATGGTGAACTAAATAGTAAAGACAATTCTTCTGAAAGCCACATCATTGAAGAATCTGAAAGTTGTATTATTGTTCCTAGAGAAATGCCTAAAATTAATTTAGATACTGTTAAATCAGATATTTCTGAATGTATGGACATCAACACTGTATCATTAGAAGGCGCATCTAATTCTGTAAATTGTGAAAAATCTGAAGAAATTTCTCATAAAAAAGATAAAAAAATACAGGAAAAAACTGAAAAAATATGTGGTAAGTAATTCATACATCTCATTTTTAAAACAGTAAAAAACATACACAAACAATTTTTTATTTCTATATTTTATTATTCTAATATGACAAATAAGAGGTCTATAATAATTACTCCATTATATTGTTTTTATAAATGTTGATAATGTGATATTTAATTTTTTTAATTTTTTCCAAAATCACGAAAATAAAAAATAAGTAAGAAGAAACTGGTTTTATATTAGAATTTAACCAGCTTAAATAAAAATGATTCTATTAATGCATTTTTGTTCAACAGATAAAATAGCAAACAAATCTAGTCAAAAAAATGTACATTCAAAGACTTCCTTAACAGAGGAGGTGGTGGGAGCCGATCCTAATAAACCACCTTGCAAGAAAGCCAAATTATTAAGGATAGAGAAAAAAAAGGCAAAAGCAATAAAAAAAGGAATATCATTTGAAAAAACACAAACAGTCAAAACTGGAAAAAGCCTTGAAGAATTTCTTGAGGAAGGTGTATCAGATGATAATAAAATTAAATTGAGAGTAAGTTCTTTTAATGAGTAGAAACACTTATATATATTGAATATATCCACTAATACTTTGTCAGGTATACCTTGTTTCAATTTTTAATAGATCTCCTTAATTCCAACTAGTATACCGAATTCAAGTTGGAATGAGCTTCAAGATATCGAATTTGAACTATATAAAAAATATCAGATGATTATTCACAACGACCCTCCTAGTAAATTAACACTGAATGGTTTTAATAGATTTTTAGTGAAGTCTCCTTTGAAGGTAATTATTTGAAAATTATCAAAAGCAGAGCAAAGTGTATAAAGGTGACTTTACTTAAAATTCTGTATTCGCAAAGCATTTTACTTACGTATAAATCCTTGAAGATATAAACGTCAATTCTGAGAAAAAGTAGGTGTGGACAATGACATGATTTTTTAATCACAGTTTGAATCGTTCTTTTTATTAGTAAAAATTCAAATAAATGAGGTTACGTTTCCTTAAATTAAATGTTCGTTTATATTCTTCATTGTAAACATTTAAAGTATCAATAGAAAAACATATAAACAATGTCAGTTTCCCAAGATTAAAATACTAAAACTTTATTGGCCATTCATTATTATGACATTTCTATCTTTAAGGTCTACGTGTGGGTAAATTTAAAGATGTTTTGTGAATTGGGCTGAGAGTGTTTTTATATGTTAAAATATCAAAATTAATTTATATAATAAGTAAATGTAAATGGTTGTAAGAAAATCATCAGCTCACACTATTATTACATTTTGTGGAAACCATTGATGTTATTTTTATCACATTATTACTAACAAATACCATAATTTTATCCATATAGATAATACTTAATCCTAAATCAATTTTATTATCTTAATAAGGACTTAATGGTTTTTATAGACTATTTTGGAAAGAATGACATCTACAAGTGATAACTTCAGTTTAAGTGCAGAATTATACAAAAAATATCAAATGAAAATTCACAACGATCCTCCACATGAATGTAACGAAGACCAGTTTTATAATTTTTTGGTTGAAACACCTTTACAGGTATATTTTGCTCTGCTTCCTGGTGATAGTTATATTTATTTTATGGTCTATTTACAAGATGCGCTTTTGCTGCAAATGACTTTTTTATGTTTAATGTGTATTAAAGTCATAATGCAGTGCATTAGTGATGACGTAAAATGAGTCAAAATTGTTTATTTATTAACTATCTAGTTTTTGAACTGTTATTTCATTTAAGTGATTTTAGGTCCTAAAGTAATTAGATATCATTTTAATTTAATTTTTGTGTAGTAATAATTCTGTACTACAATAAAAAAAAAATTAGTTTTATACCTTTAAACTATTTTTTATGCCCTTCAAACAATATAAATATTAAAAAAAAACTCAAAACTTTTATGTTAAAATAAACAAACAGAACGATTTGTTTTTGATTGGCTCACTACCACACTAATGCAGCGCATACTAATAGTTCATTATACTGTTAACAATATTGCAAATTTAAATTGAGTAAGAATGTTTATGAGTTTCACAGTATTATTATTGCAATTTATGTCTTAAATAATTATAAAATACTCTTTTTCAAATTGGCACCTCCATATATTAACGCTCCTCTATAAACGCTCTGTTTTGGGCGCTTTGATAGCGTTGTTAGATATGCAAAAATATGGAAAAAAATATCAATGAGGGCTTACATTATATCCAATGACGAACAAATACTAGATCAATTTTGTTTGCAATAAGCAAATTGCAAACATTCTCGTTCTTATTCATGTAGTTGACAAATTATTACATGATAGTGGTTATAATTTACTCAACAAAAGACTCTAAAACGTCTTTCAAAATTACATTATGGAAGTAAATTTACATTCTTAATGCCAGTTATTATCAGTTTAATGTCTTTTTCTATTATAATTGATGGAAAGTACGCCATTTATTTTGTTGTGACAATAGTGTAAAGCATGCATCTTAGTTGTAAGTACTGGTTAATTAATAAAATGCTTGCTTGGCAAATACTATACCCACTCAATTTAATGGGCGTCTCGCTCTTTCTAATGCGGCAGCCGAGGCGACATGTTTATCTGTCTAAAATAAAATACCAATCGAATTCTTGCAAGTAAACAAGTGCTTATTTATGAATGAAAGGATTAGTCTAGTAGTTGTTTGGCGTTGATTATATCATAAACAATTATAAAAATCTGTTTAAATTTGAAATAAAACAAATCGTAAGTTAATAAAAGAGCTATGATTGTGCCATATTGACTGAAACGAAAAATAATACTTCAGAGTCTTTAACAATACCCATATCCCACTTAACTAAATTGATGTCATCAGTTGGTTAAAAGTAATATTAAAAACTTAATTCCATTTTCATTTTTATCAGATCATGTGGAATACATGCATTGTTGAAGACTCTTAAACATTCACGTTTTGAAATAACACTTTGAGTCAAATTTAGATCATTTAAAATTGCTCAGTTCTGATAATGTGGTATTTCAGCCTCAGAGCTTTCCAGAAGATATAGATGGTCCAGGTTATGGGTCTTTTCATCAACAGTATTGGCTCAATGATAAACTAATTGCAGTAGGAGTTATTGACATTTTACCAAGATGCGTTAGCTCAGTTTATTTCTTTTATGATCCTGATTACCGAAGTTTGACTCTAGGCACTTATGGATCAATGAGGTAAAATTACTATAGGGTTGATCCCTTTGCGCTGCACCTGACCCATTTATAAATCAAAAGAATCATTTATCTTCACGTCGTATTGTAATCTGTTATGTATAGACTCACACTAGAAAATTACAAGTCTGAATCTATTGAAGGCCTACAGTAGACGCCGGAATTCGAGAGTCGCATTTCAGTATCAAAATGGATCGTGTCGAGCAACGAGTGGTGATTAAATACGCCCCCAACGCAAATTCATAAAGGTTTAGTGGATACATTAAGGGAATCTGCAGTATTATATGACATAATGAAAAGGTGATGTCATGAGTTTATATGTGGTAGATGGTCATATACAGATGAACATGCAGATGGAGCGTCTACAACCACAACTACACAAGAAATTGTTAAAAAGGTCCATGATCTTGTGCTGCAAGATCGACGTGTGACTATTATTAGTTGAAGACATTGGTCTCTTATACATGTGGTATATAATGTACTTACTGCCGAATTGGACATGAGCAAATTGTTTGCAAGATGCGTATGACGAATGTTAACAGATGCACATAAGCAAACTCACTATGATGTAGAGACCAAAATACAGAGCAAGGAGTTGGCACATCGAGGATCACCATCGCTGAAAAAATTAATCAAAATGCAACCTTCAGCAGAGATTCTGAAAGCATAATTTTAGTAGATTTCCTGCAAAAAGGAGCCACAATTACAAGTTCTTAGGAAAAATGTTGGGGGAAGTTGCACAAAGGTGTTCTTTTGCATCAGGATAATCTACCTAGTCACAGGTTCGCCATTGCAACAGCTGCAATTGTTCAAGCAAGCTTTGAATTAGTTGAGCATCCAAAACTTAAAGAACACGGTAAATGTCATATGTGCGGTAAATCAGTGGTTTGCAGAGGTTGAACAATCTTTCTTGGAAATGCTAGAAAGTAGATGGAAAAAAATATGTTAATCATAATGAAAACTGCGTTGGAAAATAAGAGTGAGATGTTTGCAATTTTTTTATTGTAAGTGGGTCAGGAGTGGAGCAAAAGGATCAGCCACACAAAATTTACACCTACCCTCTTATTTGACCATAAACTTAAACAATGATGCAGGTTTATGTAAATATCTCACTATAACGAATTTTATGGTGCTCAGAACTAAAGTGGATCAAGAATAACAACTAATTTTGAGATAATCAGAGTTTAAGATCATTTTCATTTATAGTATAGCAGTGATTTGCTATAAATTAATTGTTATCAGAAGAGTACAACATGAAATTCTGGTCAGAGCACTATTGATTATGAAAATTGTAAATACAGAAATATACCATCTTATTTCATGGGGAAGTGATTTGTCCCTTGCTTGTGGCATCGCAAAAATTCATAATTTTTAGATGAACCAAGGACTAAAAAATTAGGTTTAATTTTTTGACTCGATCCACTTTACTTCTGAGCGCTTCATATGCTTTTAAATGTACTTATATTATTTTTTTTCTAAAGGGAAGTTCAACTAACAAGAAATCTACAAAAATCTTTACCTAATCTGAGTAACTATTACATGGGTTTCTATATCCATTCCTGTCCAAAAATGAGGTACAAAGGAAAATTATCACCGTCATATTTAGTTTGTCCAGAAACATATTCTTGGATACCAATCGAAAAATGTATTCCACTTTTAGAAGTCAATAAATATTCCAGACTAAATGATGACATAGATGCCCTAGATGATAATGCTCCTTCAGAAGAAGATGTTTTGAAAACAAAGATTGTTTATAGATTCCGTTTAATGTCTTTCAGAGATTACAAAACAATAATTGATGATGAAAAATATAGAGAAATTGGTCATTTGGTTGGAAAAACATGTTTGAACAGCCTTATATTTTGGGAACAGTAACTTTCCAGATACTTCCAAAGTTAATAATAAATATTTTTTTCACTTTGAGGCTTTTTAAATTAAAAAAAAAAAAACTTTGAAATTGACTGTTTTTAATTAATGATTATTTTTAAAATGTTTGTCATTTTCTGGTGTGAATAAAAATTTATTAATTAATTGAGCAAAATGGTGACCACTTTGAGTCCTACTGCAATATTTCTTAAATTTAACAAATCACCTTCTTACTAATGATTGTAAATTGGTGTGTGATGCATTGAAAAATTATAGTTTAAAGTCCCTTATTGCGTACTTATGAAAAATATACTAAATAAGATTTATGTATTTTCTCGCCAAATGCAGGAGCAGTCACACTAAGTTTTTAATAATTTATTATAGAAGTAAACTATTAGGTTCATATTAAATCTTTAATAATTGGAATAGAAGACATTGCTATGAAATTATTTTTAAAAGATAATTGATATTTTAATTATTTTATGTTTGTAATTTTTTTCCATAACATAAACTATTTAAATTGTACATATTTACCGTTGTTGTATATTATCCAATAGTTTGTATTATTTTATTAATTATATTTTAGATAATTTATTAATTTTATTTTGATGAGCAGAAAATAAACATTCACTTACAGCAAATTTGTTGTTAATCTACCAATTTTGTAATCTCCAGATTTATGATAAAATATATTATTGCAACTTTACCAGAAAGAGACATGAGTCCAATATTGTAAATTTTACAGGAACCACAAAAAACATTTTTATTCTAAGATTCGCATAGTTGCATGATTCTAACAAATAATAAGTTTGATGGTGTTGATATATATAAATATGTTACACAACATGCGTGGGTTGTGTCTTGTCAAAAACGTATAGTTTTCACTTCACGTTAATTTGGGTGTGGCGGGTTGTAACTTTACTAAGATTTTTTGGCTTTATGTGAAAACTTTGTTATAGCCAATAATATATAAAATGGAAGACAAACCGTAAGTAGAACAATTTATTATCTATTTTGCTAACTGACGCATATCTCACCGAATATTACGTAAAGTTAGCATTTGCATTCGTTAAATTAGAAATTAAAAAAAGCTATGTTTTAGTCGATTATGGTAAACATGAAAATCAGATGTTTAAGTAGAAAGCACAGAAACAAAAAAAAAAGATAAAACTTGTATCAATAATTGTATGCACAGATTGTGATAAATTTGGTAAATGTCATCTAGTTTTAGCTCATTTCGATTACACAAAAACTAAGCATATAGGTTCTGGTAGGTATGGCTATTGTTAACAAAAAGTTCCATATCTTTTGCAAATGAATAATAAAGACAAATAATATTTTTAAAGAAAAATATTCCATTTTGTTCCATTAATTTTATAAATTTTACGAATAGGGATGCTTTATGGGTAAAACAATGTCAATAATTATAATAGTATAAAATATTGTTGAGACAAAGACATTTATTACAAATGAATTGCTTTACTTTTGATACTAAATAATTGTAATAGTAAACTTTAGAGCCAATAGGGAAGATTGGAGGATAGCCAAACAAGTGGTGAACTATGATAAACTGAAATGGACAATTAGCTCATGCGAACCATATAAACCACCGGGCATAGACGGGATTTATCCAACAATGTTACAAAGAGGTCCTGATATTTTATACAGCAGACTCTGTAATATACTCTGGCCTTTGGACACATACCAAAAGCTTGGGTAACTTTTATACCAAAACCTGGGAAAATGGGACAGGAAACGGCAAAGTCCCTAAGACCAATAAGTCTTATGTTCTTTGTACTTAAGACTTTGGAAAAACTGCTAGATAGGCATATTAGAGACAAGATATTGGTTCAGAGGCCAATATACCAAGACCAATACGCCTATAGTGCAGGGAAATCAACTGAAACAGCTCTCCATCAATTAATAAAAAGGGTGGAGAACACTGGAAAACAAGGAGGTAATGCTGGGAGCATTATTGGATATCGAGGGTGCATTTGACAATACCTCCGTTGAATCGATCATTAGATCTCTTAAACACAGAGGAACCGAGGACACATGCGTGTCCTGGATCGACTCTATGTTAAGGGAGAGAACTATACACACAACCCTTATGGGAGAGGCAATAGCGACATGGGTAGCGAGAGGATGTCCGCAGGGTGGAGTGCTGTGTTCACTCCTGTGGAACCTTGTAGTGGACCGGCTGCTTAGGGCTCTCAAAGATAAGGGACATAGAACCCTGGGATATGCCGATGATCTAGCGATCATGGCACAGTAGTAAGAGATCGAATGCAAGAGGCTCTAAATATAGTAACAAAATGGACAGAGGCGGAAGGACTAAACATTAGCCCAAATAAATCTGACATAATTGCATTCACCCGCAGGAGGAAATTGGAGGGACTAGGGCCTCTAAACCTAAGAGGTGCAAGCATCCAGCTTAAGGGGGAGGTAAAATATCTCGAGACTTACCTGGAACCAGCATCTAGAAAAAACCACAAGGAGAGCGGAAACCTCGTTAATGATGGCAAGGCGATCCTTTGGAAAAAAAATGGGGGTTAAAACCAGACATGGTATATTGGCTTTATAACATGGTGGTGAAACCGATAATAACATACGTAGCTTTGGTGTGGTGGCTAAAGACACAGCAAAGGAAAGAAATAACGAGGCTAAGCAAGGTACAAAGACTTTCCTGCCTCGAAGTAACGGGGACAATGAAAACAACCCCCACTGCTGCAATGGAAGCACTAATAGGACTCCCCTCTTCACTATGTGATACAAGGGGAGGTAAGATTAGGTGCTTACAGATTAGGGAATACACTGGGAAATCTTGACATTAGGCCAGGTCACATGAGTATCTTAAGGTTAGTGACAGGAGACGTGCTAGACATGAGACCAGACCACATAACCAAGCAGTACTCTTTTAATACTCCATTTGAGGTTTTAATACAGGAAAGAGCGGAGATCACCATAAGGGAGCCCAATGCCCAACGACAGGAAGAAACCTGGTATACAGACGGGTCTAAGACTGCGGAAGGCACTGGGGCAGGAGTATTCTCCAAAAACCCTGATACCATAGCTATGCTATAGGAATACATTCCTCGGTATTTCAGGCCGATGTATACGCAATTTTGCAATGTGCAAAAACGAACAATGAAAGAGCTGTCGAAAATCGGCATATTCAAATAATGTCAGACAGCCAAGCGGCACTTAAGGCCATATCGAGTCAGAAAGTTACGTCGAGGCTGGTATGGGAATTCATCGAAGAACTAAGAACACTGACAGACCGAAATAGAGTAAAACTATTTTGGGTGCCAGGTCACCAAGGGATCGAAGGCAACGAAAAGGCTGACGAACTTGCAAAAAGAGGGTCAGAAGAAACACCGGAACCAGACACAAACCCAGGAGTACCAAAAAGTACAGCCCGGGGTTTCATAAACGACTGGATTCGGGAACAACATATCAACTATTGGGGAAGCACCCCAAAACAGGCACATGGAAAAAAGCCTTCATAGGCAGACCATGTCCCAAAAGAACTGGAGAACTACTCTTAATGAATAGCAACTAGTTGAAAGTGATAACAGGGTTCATGACTGGGCACGCCCCAGTAAAGGGACACTTGAACAAAATTGGCATGTACAATGGGGAACTCATGTGCCGACTATGTCACAAGAAACCAGAAACGGCCAAACACATACTGTGCGAATGCGAAGCTCTAGATCGCAAAAGACAGGCTCTTTCTGGACAACCCCAGGTTGATCCAACAACGTATAGAACCCACTCACCCAAAGATCTGTACAAACTTGTACAAAGGTGACAGAGTGGGTGCTATGAACTAACATGGGGTAAAATACAATCAGCCAATAGGCTTCAGTGTTATTCGGAGACGAGCCCAGGAGAAAGAAAAAAAAATAGTAAACTTTTGTGCGACTTGGCAACAGTGTAAGACGTTTGTTTAATTTATAGTTTATTTATTTAAAACACTTTATTTACAATTTATTTATAACGTACTAATTAATTTATATAATATTTAGGCACTATTATATCTCTCAATTCTAATTTATTTATTACAATTTATCTTTTCTGTCCAACACTTACATTGAATCTTATCGTCCGTCGACAAACTTGTGCTATTTATATAAAGCCAGCTGTGTACCAGAACACTCGGCTTTCCAAAGGGATCACTCCGGGAGCTTCTCGAAGCGGTGTGTTTGTCTCTATATGGCCAGCGCTAGACTTCATACCGCGGCAAGGAATGGAACTAATATATATGAAAAATGAGCATATACAGGGTGTTTCATAAGGAATGGTAAATATTTTAAGCATACTAATATTTTGTTAAATAACACTGAGTCAAATGTTATGTTCTGAATGGAGAATAATATTATTTAAAAAAGTATAATTGAGGTAATTAAATTTTGAAAATTTATATTTTATCGGGCTTAGGTTAAATTAAATAAGTAATTGGGACCTCTATTATTTTCAGTTTGTAAAACGTATTTTATTTTCGTTAAAAATGTACTAATATGTGTAGTATTTTAAATATTTGTTAAGTCAGTATTATTAATCTCACAAGAATCATGACTAATTTAGATGAAAATATATTGTAACGGACAATACTTTTGTTGAAATACTTATAGTCTAAAAATGTACAAGATACAGTACTAGTAAATTGCGATTTTTAATTAATGTTTCCAATTATTTATTCATATATAACTTGTGTAAATAATGTTAAAAAGATCTAATTTTAAGCTAAGAGGCACAATAAGTTCATAAGAGTGTACGATGAATTGTAAATTAATACGAATTAATAATATAGATTTGGAGTATCAACATACCAAATTTGACTTCACGTGCAATTTTATATCATTAACAAAGCTTTTTTGAGAAAAATTTTACTGGAAACTTTTAGAATGGAGTCTTGTGTGATTAGTTACTGACACAATCCACACTTTGGGAAGTCCAATCCTAATAGCTGGATACAAATTAAGATGTCAGTGCAGACTACCTCTGATCCTAAAAAAATATTTAATTTTAAAACATGTAGATGAGATTTAATGCATACATAATTTTAAATATGGTTTCTAGAAGAGTCTTCAAATATTTAGAATCTCAAAATAACTAAATATCATTAAAAAAAGTAAAAATAAAGTAATTTGTTGGTCAATAATTTTATGAAATATTTTACAAAAATTTGTATATAAAAGCTTTAATTTAAGAAAAAGCTAGGTAATTTTTGTAAATAATGTAAATTATAATTGTTACAATTAAAACTGTTTAGTGAAAATGACTAAAATAGAGTAAAAAACATTTATAAAAAAAATAATAAATCATCCTCGTACATAGATTTTGAAGAAAAAATCAGTGAAATTCACGTCAGTAGGCTGTGACATCAAACTTTATTCAAAGAATTAGGCATTCCAACGACCTGTCAAACAATAGGTGCCAGCCAATGAACTGGAGTTCATTGGTGCCAGCCAGTATTCGATCATGTATTGGACATGATCGAATGTGCCAGTGGGAAATTCTTGTATATCTAAGGGGGTAGCGACATAGTCTTGCAACTTGGACACTATTTTTATTCGAAGTAGTAGTCGCCAAGCCTGCCAATTTATGAAGAAATGTATAGGTGGGTTTTTTAAATATTATTTGTATTGTGTTTGCCATAAAATATTTAAATGTAATCCATTATTCATGATTTTACGTAAAGTAGATAGAATACACCGTATGTCGCCACCCTTAGATATACCAAACCTTCCCACTGGCAATTCATTTGTTTGGAATGCCTAATTTTTTATGTTTAATTCATATTCTAAACACTTTTAAAATAAATGGCGCTTATGTTATGTATGGGTATTAAATACATTGCGACCTAAAATATGTGGCAGAGACATTGTCTCTGTATATGGTTTCAATAAGTCAGGTAGATTTGATATGCTCCTAAAATATAGTGTCCTTGCATTCTGGATTGCTACACATTCAGTCAGACTGTGAATGGAGATTACGTTCTCCTCCTCACAGAATCTTCACTCGCTACCTTCTACTATAGTCTCGGTTATAGGTGTATAGGTGCCTTTTGAGTCGGCAATGTCTGGTAAATTTCCATTTCGTATAAAGTGTCAGTTTAAAACATCACCTATTTTCGCTAATCTAATGTATCCCGCTAGATTTGCGACCCGTTACTAATTTATACAGATTTGAGAAACTTGCTATTTGAAAGTTAAAGTGACCATTGACGGTAATAGTGTTAAAACGGAATTCACTTAAGTAATATACTAGTTATGATAACTTTGGCTGCATTGTAAAAAAATAATAGTTTTAGGAATTTGTTTAAATTAGACTCATTTTGTTGTTAATTTTTTTTCCTACGACCACTTAGGAATGTGACACATATCACACTATATAGTCCTATGGAAAGGGCCCTATATCACACGCGTATGAATAAGAATTTACTTTCCACCCGTGTAGGAATATGCTACTTTCCGCAGCAGCTGTCACAAAATGTCAAACAAATCATTTCTATTTTGATCTACGTAATGTCCATATTAATACTAAAATCGATATGATTGTTAAATTATTGAAATTGTTTTAAATTAGATCCTAGATATTTATTAAAATAACTAAGATATGTTTATTCTGGTTAAACACGTAACCGATTTGATCATTTTCAATTTACGCAACGTCTATTAGCTCAGATGGTTAGGGCGTCAAACTTACCAACTTTGCTATTTGAGACCTGGCGAGCGACCGCGTTCAAATTCTGGCGGGGCCAGAATTTTTTTTTGTTTTTTTTATTTTTTTTTTGTTTAGAAAATATGAAAATTGAATAAATACGATTATTGTTGATTATTTTTTTTAAATACATTTTAATATAATAACCTGGTTTTACATTTTTTGATGAAATTATTTTGTGGTCGTAGGAAAAATATTGTACATCACTTGTGTGAAAAGTGATTTTCCACACTCGTAATGTAATATACTATTGTGTAACTTCACATAGTTTTTCCAAAATGTTCTAGACTCACACTGGATACATTGTCCTGATCCCTGATCGTCAAGCAGCCTATATAAAACGGCGCGGCGGATATTTATTTTAGTTGTTTAGTGTCGGATTCCAGACCAAACCATTTGAATAATAATTGTTAATTATTTTACATGGTTTGTTGTAAGATTTGTAATTTAATTTCTGTAGATATATGACATCCAGATTACAAATTGCAGTGGGTTACCGTTTTGATAAAGGTGGATGATGTTGTCCTCAGTTATAATTCAAATGGCATTATCCCTTTCCACAGGAGGGGCCGCGTCCACCCTCGAATAAGCTCTTCGGAGCTTCAGGGGTTCCCTCGTAAGAGAGCGTAAATTATAGGAATGGTCTTATTGTAATGGTTATTTATTTTCACTAAGATACCAATTTATTTTATACTCAATTTAACACTAATTTATGTCTAAAATGCTTATACACTAATTTACTTGGACAATATATTTAAGTGAACAGAATACATATTATCTAACTAAAAACTGACTATAAAACGGCAAACTTGGGCGCTCCAAACTTTTTGTCGAAGATTATAGACGTTTTAAAACATATGCTAGACCGGTGCCCCGCGCCAGTGCTTCCACCGTTTTATAGAATAATATATGAGGTGTATCCACAGATCAGTGGGTGTATCCACCAAAATCGTTGTCTAGGCGCCTCGTCCAGCAATTCAGTGCATTCTAGATGGATTATTCAATACGACTGGCGCCGACCATAGTCGTCCATAAGGGGGTTACGGAGGTTGGTTTATTTCATCGAATATTCTTGATAACGGAAAAATGAAGGACGTAAAAATTCCAAATAAGGCCAGATAGGGACTTAATAAGGGATTAGAGCATGACCGGACGGGTCAAAAATGGTTCGCATGACATTGTTATTATTAGGCAGAATATAATTGTAATTTTTAGAAAATTTATTCTCAATAATAAAGATGACCAACTGCATTGAGTATTATTATATGCTTTTTGTTTGTTTCACAGTACTACTTTAGGAACACCACTGTTAATTAGGAGAATCAAACCGTGAAAGGTTTAGTGGCTGGTAATTATTATACATAGGCATTAAAATTCATTTTTGGTTTTTATTTGCTAATTTATGCTGCTCAACTTTATTTGGCATGGTGGGATATCATACATATGCCGCGTTTGAGAATCCACATCGGATGCATCTGAGATGTAATAAATCTTTGATCACGTGATTCAGTTTCAGTATTCGTAAATGTAATGGGGCAAATGTGTCCGATATGAATAAAGAAACCATGGAGGAAGGATAAAAGAAACGCTCGAGGTGTAAAAAATCATCCGATGTGGATTCCACGTGGATTCTCAAACGCGGCAATTTGATATTGGGTACCACATGGAGGAAGGATGGGCACCAGTAACAATTCAGAGTGAAAGATCAATTCTGTAAAAAGAAGAAATCTCAAATGTTCATAAACGTCAAAGTTGTTTATAAATATGTCAAAAGTCAAATTTTTAAATAACAAGGGATGAGGGTGAGTAATGATTAATGTGTTGTGTACTACATTAAAAGCTGTTAATTCAATAATTTGTGTTAAAGAGCTTTGCGAAGTGATTTGCTAACACTTGAAGTGTTAGAATAATCAATATTAACATGGAAACAAAAAATAATTTCTGGTGGTTAAAATCGCCTGCAAATGTTCAAGATAAGGAAGGAAATTCGTTGGTTCCTAAGTTGGATTTAAATTCCACCTCTATAGTCGATTTATTAGATGACAAAAACAGTAATTTTGATTCAGATGTAGATGTAGGTAGTATTATTGAAGAAATAAATAGAGTTGCAGCTCAAAGTCCCTTAGGCCCCTTTGAAAGATCAGTTAGCGGTAGAAGTGTTGATGATCTAATAAAAGAAGCAGAGAAAATTTACCATGAAAGTTCTAAAAGCTTTGATCAATTAAGCCAAAAAAGTAAAACGTCCCAAAATTTATCCGATTTATTATCAAATCTTTCTAGAGATTCTACACCTACACCAAAGAGTGTAAGTCCTTTACCAATGGACCCTGATCCACACAAGTCAAGTGTTTCTGATGATGATTATACAGAAGATTTTTCAGAAGAAAGTAGAATAGAATCTGCCAATATATCTCCTACCAATACAAAATTTAAGCCTCTAGAGTTGGAGGTAATTAACTATAAGGAGAATACAAAGATAATAAAATTTGATAATAAAGAAAATATTGGGATCTTAGGAACTGATAATAAAAAAAATATGGAGACATTAAAATTGGACAATAAAGAGGATAGTTATATAATAAAAGAACCATCTGAAAATGATAATTTGAGTTCTGATTTACATAATCAAAAGATCTTATCTTTATCAAAATCTCAGTCTTTGAATACAATTAGCGATCCTAACATTAAAAAAAAAGTTGTGAAGAGCCAATCAGAGATGACCAATTTGGGAAAAAATGTATTTTCACTCAATACGCCTGTTCAGAACTGTGAGGAACAGTACAACGAGTATGAAGAAAAATTATACAAATACAATGAAGATGTAGAGACAAAACAACACTTGATTGAAACTTTGGAAAAGACTAATGATGTTTTAAAGCTGGAACTGCAAGATATTAAGGTATGTATATAAATTACAGGGGTAATATTGCCTACAGAACTTCTTTATAATTAAGAGATAACATTCTTAAACATTTATAGAATATATATTAGGTCTCAATATTTCAAGTGGTAGGTATCAACTTTTTACTAAATTACCTAACAGTTTTGCAAAGGTCATTCAATCATTCGTAACAGCAGAATTAGAATATAACATATGTTTAAATCCTAGGCAGAAGGACTTCAGTCGATAGCCTATTGGACTGAATTTTCAGTTCAATAAATGATAATTATTATTATTATTTAAATCCATGGGGTAGAAAGGAAAGGAGACGTAATCAGGTAGTCAAAAGTGTCACAACGTCCGCCATATTTTTACAACACTTTTTTCACTTATGAGAATTTGTCTTGTGATAATCTCCATTCTCCATACTACATGGAAATAAACATTTTATGACAAATTATTCTTAAGAATAAAAACTGTTTCTTAAATGGAATTTTTCATTCTTTAAGTTATTATTAAGTGATGTAAATCTTAAATAAATAAATAAATAAAAATAAATAATAAATTTAAAAAAAAACTACAGAATTAGAACCTTACTATATTAGTGAATATTTAGATGTCATTGTAAATTTAAAATGTGTTTTGCTATTGAGGCCATTTCATTATTCGGTAGTTATAAATAATATTTTGTATGCCTCAACTTTTTTTTTTAAATATAAAGATCATTATAGAATGTTTTTGTAAGATATTAAATAAATTATATTTGAACTTACAACTCTAAAATACACAATTGATGTGTGGGAGAGAGCCACAGAAATGTCATTACAAAAACAGATTGTGAGATAACTTTTGATCTTGACTAAGGAAACTTGCAGAAATACTTTTAAAGAAAATAATGTATTGGCTTACACCTTTATAAACTTTTAACATGTGTATATCTATAACTACAATCACATATATTTTCTCATATGGTGATGTCTTCTATGGAAATTTTATTGATTCTTATACACAAAACCACATACAAAAAATACAAAATTATTGTGCTAGATTTATTTATGAACTTAAAAAATATGATCAAGTATTTTATAAAATTTATGAACTTAAATGTTTAAAAATGAATAATAAACGTCAATATAAGTTTATTAATTTCTTGTATAATGTCATAAATGGAAATAAACCAAAAACTCTTTTGGATAAGTTAGTTGTGACGTCAGCACTACACCCTCTAAATGTCCACTCTAGAAATCTTTTTTACATTCCTCATCATAATTCAGCCATGTTTCAGAAATCACTTACCTACCAATCTGTTAAAATTTATAATGAATACTTAATGAAACAAATACATCATTCAAAAAAAAAAAAAAAATAATTAAAGAATAATCTACTCTCACAGCAATTTTAATTCTATAAACTTTATTTTTCAAATATATTTAAATTAATTAATTTTTTGCAAAGTGAAAGCCTAAATCATTCCATCTCTAAATCGGTGTAAAAGAACCGATTATGTTGGCATAACATAGCGGACCGCTCTTCATCATCTGCTATGATATAATATTGAAAACATCCACGGGCGTATCAATGTTAAAGGGAAATATTTAATATCAATCAAGTCAAAATTGAGTCAAATTTTGTATAGAATATGATTTTGATATGCTCAACATAACTTTATTTAACTTTTTTTTTTTAAACAGTTTTATTTGTTGATAATGAGTATTACGCCTTGCTCTAGCTGTGAAGTTAGTAACTTAGAAATAATTTTCAGCAATTTCTAATAATGACTTTTTTAAATAACTTTAATAAAAGTATCTATCTTAAAGAAGAATTAAACAAATATATTATTATATAATTTCCTCCCAATGCAACAAAACCTCTACTTCTTTATATAAAAAAAAATAATCAAATTAAAATCATTTAGTAAAAAAACTAAGTTCCCACAAAAATAGCTACTTCTTTTAACAACTAAGAAGTTTTTCTTTATCAATAAACCAAAATGATTAGATTTTTTGGAATAAATTCATCAGTCTTATTTAAAAATAGCTTTGTTATATAATTGTTTTTATGTTTAGATGGAACTTAAAAAAACCCAACTTTCTATGGAACAAGCTAAACTTGGTCTAGTTTCTAAAAAATCATCTCCAGAAATAAACCAGGAATTGGAAAGAGCTAAGGAAGATTTAAAAGATTCTAAAGAGAAAAATACTTCTTTACAACTTCAACTTGATACTGTCAATAAAAGTCACCAGCTTCTAAAAACTTCATTTGATGATCTATTACATTCAAATAAAAACCTGGAACGACGTTTAATAGAATTAGATTGTAGCTTAGATAAATACAAAAATGAAATTTTAACTTTGCAACAATTAAAAGATAAGTTGATTGAAAATGAAGCTAACTTAAATAAATTGTTAGAAATAGAAAAACTGCAGAGTAAAAGTATTAAGTTGCAGAATGAAAAAGATGCAAAATGTATTCAAGATCTTAATAGACAAATTAAAGAAATGGAACGCATTGTGGCAAGAAAACATCCAGATTCTGTATCTGCTCTAATTGTAGCTGCAAAAGAAAATGCTACAGATACCAACTTAACAGCTAGAAAAATCTTAGAAAATAGAATAAAATCTTTAGAACAAGAACAGCAAACCAGAGAAAGCCAGTCTTCCAAAGTTTTTGTTGAAATACAGGAAAAGTTTAACCAAATGAAATTGAAGTACGAAAATCATATTGAAGATTTAGAATTACATGTTAAAGATTTGAAAAATCAGTTAAAAAGAAAAGGCGATACTTATGATGTTTATACTCAAACTCATATTGATGATAAGATACCTCAAAAGGAAACTTTTACAACATTTACACAAACTGATCCTGCCCCTGTACTTTTACCTACACCTACACCTCCTCCTTCAAAGCCTCAAAAGTCACTTGCAACAAAAAAGAATGAAGATTCTTACCTAATTGCCACCATACGGGGCCTTCAAACTGATCTAACAAACAAAGAAAAAGTTATAAATCGGCTACAAAAAGAAATTGATGACTTAAAAAAGACCAATAGAAGATTGCAAAAAGAAAGGGAAGGGAGTTTGAAAAATTTAATTGATAAAAAAGAATTCAAGAGTTTTCCTGATAAGTTATCACTGCAAGCAAGGTCAAATAGTTGCAGTTCTGAAAAAGATTTTGGGAAAGAAGAGCGCATTCTTAATATAACAAGTGAAAGAGATAAACTGAAATCGAAGTTAAATAAATTACAAGATGAATATCAGTCTTTACAGAGCAAGAGAATTCAAGATGTAAGTTAAAAAAATATATAAAAGAGAAATAATAGTTATTTATGTACAAAGTCAGCAAAGTGATTATTTATCAAACTATTCTGAGTTCGACAAAGACACTTTGCTGATGTGGTCCATACAAACTTTTATCGCCAACCGTAAATAATTATAATTAATAAAAAAGGAGATATTATAACATCGCATTTTAGTATGACAAAGTAACCAAACAGAAAAATAACAGTTAATGCAAAACAAATCAGTTATAGACTATTTCTGTCAGGCGGTCATGGCTATGTTGATAAATATTAGCAGCAGATAAAATATTTATTTTTACAGTGAGAGAAAGTGTTTACTTACCGTAAATTGCTATGGTAATGCATGGCTGTATTGACGGTTGGCGATACAAATATAACTTTCACGTTCCTTACTAATCCATTAGAAATTTTTATATTTTGCTTAACTTAGAATAATTTTCTTACAGTTGACTTCACTCCAGCAGGCTCATGAAGAAGAAGTTGCTAATTACATTGCCAGCATAAGTCCATTAAGGGAACAATTGGAAATTAATCAATTATCGGTATCCTCCTTGCAATCTCAACTTACTTCAGCTGAAGAAGAACTAGCAATTGTTAGAGTAGAAAGAGATCATTTGAGTAATAGATTGAATTTGCCATCTGGTACTGCAAATGTTGGGGACAGTAAAGTGGAAGGAACATCTTTGTTGCAAAAGGTAATATATTCCAAAAACTATTCTGTTTTCAAAGGACGCAGAAAAAAAACTATTTTGTATTTTAGACAAAAATATAATAAAAAAATTACAAAGTACCATTGCTTATTTCAGATTGGGTATTTGGAGAAACAGTATGTAGATAGAGAATATCGTCTAAGAACTATGATCCAAAATTTGGCCCAAAAAAGCTTTGGGAACAGAAGCTGTGAACAGTGTTCAGAAAGACAACAACAGTTGATTACTTACAAAGCAGAATTAGACCAGTTAATGCCTTCCGTCCAAGCATTACAATAATGCAATTATTATTCCAAGTGCTTTTAAAAGTTAATCTTTTAATAAGACTTTTGCATTTGTTGCCATATTTGGCAATTAATTTGTTTTCTATTTCAATAGTTTGAATGCTGGGTACAGTTTGATAAGGAAAATACTTTCTAATATTTTGCAGAGTGTACCAATAATAATAGCCAAGTTTATTTCTAGAAGTATAGGAGAAAAGCAAAGCTTTGTTAGACAGTGTGTAGATACATTCCTAAAAGATAAAGACATCCAGTTTTGAAATCAACATTTTGTAACATATACTGATTTATTTCAAACTTAATATTATTTAAAAATTGCCCTTCGAGTAGGACAATCTGTATTTTATAATTAGAAATAAATGTGGATGTAACAAATTTTTATACTGGACGAAATTAATCACCAAATATCTAAAAATATGGTATGCGTTTGTCCATGAGTATCCATAATTTATTACTGTATATGTGAAACGCAATGTCAATTTTAAGTAAAATTTATTTTTCTTAAACGATTTTTTACAATCTCTTTGTATGCTACTAATTAATATTTATAGAAAATTGTGAAGATAAAATTGTCCTTAGTCCATAAAATAAATTGCTATAGTTTTGGATTTAATTGAGAAAAAATAATCAAATATTACCTATATTCCGATTTATAAATGAACATTTTTTAAATCAAATTATTTAATTTTCGTGTTAAACATAGTTTCATTTTATTGAAATTATTTTGATATAACCCTTGACAAAAATAATGTAATTTTTGTTTAAAATTAATTTATTTAGTAAATTTTTAGAAAAAGTCTTGTGATAGAAATTTTGAATGTAGTAATTTAGACAACTGTTGATAAGTTATTGTCCAATTAATGTTCATTCCAAAAATATTCAGTATTGAAATTGTTGATATATTGAAAGAAAGTAGAATGGAAAAATATATAAATGTGCGTTTTGTCCAAAAATTATTAAAACTGAATGTGTGTTTACTGAAAGTCATTATAATTGTAATATGAATTATCAGGATTAGGCATATCTGTCAGAACCTCTAATCATGGCTAAAATAATAGTTTCATCAAAAAATATTTTGGTTATTGCGGTTGTAGTAATTTTAGTTCTTTAATACTGTTAAATGACAAATTCACCATTTTTGTATATTTTTCTAGAGAGCTGAAATTAAGTTTTGTACCAAATACTGTGTGTATATCATATTTTTAAAACCGAAAAAACGTTTTCACACACATTGGTAACATGATAATATAAAAATAGTGATTATTTTACAAAACTACCAACTACTCCCAAATTTCCAAAATATGATACCTTAATAAATGAGAATCCATATTCATCGTTCAATGGCGCAGAAAAATTAAAGAAACTTTTAATAAAACTATTAATTTAATCAGAAATTGAGTGTTCTGAGACGTACACCCAATTCTGTATAAAATGAATAAAAATTATTGTTAACTTTTTAGGAAATTATCAGTTATATATTTTTATGTAACTAATTTTTAGTTATTTTTAATTACCTGTTTAAAAATTCGATGTATTCCAGTTTTTGAATATTTAGTTTAAACGTTGGTTTTTACAGGAAAACAGAAAAATATTTAAATAATATCAGTTTAAAATGTTTGAATATTTTATAGTTATTTATAAAATTGTACACCAATATGATATTATTATTATTATTTATTATTTGTAATGTAAGAACATTCCTAAACAGTTGTATATTGATATACTCAGGAAGTATTAAATAATATTGGCCCATTTTAATAGAGAACGCACTTTAAACCTAAACATACGGTATTCATCCAACGAGAGACATAGACTTATTGTATCAAAAGGCCATCAGCCAGCCCTCTGCCATCAGCCAGCCCTCTGCCATCAATCGTTTTTAATATTCTAGTTTTATTCCTACTGAGTACACATTTTATCCCATGAGAACAATTATGCCAAAAAGGGCGCTTTTTGAAATTAAGGATGTAGAAGTTTCTTTATTGGACATGTTTTTATGATCCATATTTAAAAAAAATGTATGTACATTTTTTACATTAATTCAAAATCACACTACTGATACACAAAGGTGCAATTGAATTTAAAAAATTTGTATCTACTAATTTTTTGTACATTTATGATGATTTAGCGATTTTAGGTGAAGGTTGTGGTTGATGTAAGTAGGTGCACGACAGAGATAACAGGAGATATAGTTATTCATTGATAAAATATAATATTCGTGATGCCGACATCGATCCCACAGATTAAATAATAATAATAATACTCTCCCTAATTCACCCCCTTACGAGTGAATTTCAACCCCTGAAGTCGACTGAACGACTTGTGTAGAGGAAGGGACGGCTATTATTATTATTTGCCGTGGCGCTCCGGGGCGACTTAAAGATGATTGATGGTGCCATTTGACTTACAGGTGAGGAAAATCTCACCCACCATCATCGAGACGGTAATGCATGGCGATTTTTTAATCTGCATGTCATATCAACAGAAATTGAATTTCTATTAATACGGCACACATCAAATCCTAAACCGAACCATGCAATTTAATTAAAAATCCACATGGTCTGGTCTGGGATTCGAAGCCCAGCAGTCTCAGACTCATAAACTTGCCTATAAATGAATATAAGACCGCTACACTACCGACCCGAAATAATTCGATACGGTCCAGTTAAAGATCAGGAGTGAAGAGACATGTGGTGTGAGGTGTGGAAAGGGATAAACAACGATTTGACGGCGGTACAAAACAATTGTATATTATGTGTAAGCCTGTTTAATGTTAACAGGTCTGTCGGCTCAGTAGTCATTTCCTGTTTTCAAAATCACTGCCATTACTTGTGTGAATGCTCGGATGAAGTTTCTTCTAGCGGCTAGCGTGGTAGACAGAAAACATTCTCTCGAGACAAATCGTATCGTCATACGGTTGTACAAGAAATTTAAATTGTTTAATCTATTTTCTGCATTTAAAATAAAAACTGTTTTTATAAAACTGCTGAAATAATTATTAATTTAAATTAGACACAGTCCACAATGAGCCAAGAATAAACAAAGCCGTTGTACGCCTATAATAACAAAATGCAAGCCGTGTTGCCACATTTAGTACAAAGTACTTTATATCCAACTCAACATTAACTAGGCTTTGGAATTTATTGAAAATTATTACATCTAATTTAATGAAATTACATCTAATGTAGTTAAATTTAATATAACTAATGATTTTTTTTTGGGTTCAGTTGCAATAAAATAGGTGGAATTATTTTAGCTTTTTTAAGATAAGTAAATAATTTTGTAAACAAAACGAGAATTAAATAGGCATGTCAATAGCGGTGTTCCTTAGAATGTTTTATTCACGACGGCACAATATTTGTTTGTAGTTACATCTCCTGTTATTTCTAATGTACGTGCTATAGTCCCTTATATGATTACAAAAAGGGGTACGTCGGGTTTTTTGCTTGCTGTTGTAGTTTGGTACATGTGAGTAGGGTGAACATGTACTGTGTATCGGTGGTGGGAGCGGTCATGTGACCTGTGAAAAGTCAAGTTGCTTATCGATGGATTTTTTCGTCTTTTGCTGGTAATGAAATAATATGCTTCTAGGCGTCAGTAACAATAAAATATCCTTTTGCAAGCATTTTCTGTCTTTCAGTTTTGATACTTCCAGTGTAGGAATTTCAACGAAATTCGGGATATAGCCTAAATGCTTTTTTTTAATATAAGATGATATTGCAAGCAATTTTTGTGTCTGCAACAGGGTTGATGTGCAAACAAAACTTGAAATAGGTGTAAAATCGTAACCAAAAGTCGAAAAATGGTTTAATTGCTCTCAAAATATTTGTATGAGACTTAACTAAGAGTATTGTCCATTCTGTACTTCTACTCCATTCGCCATAAATTAGATTAATTTGATATTTTTCCTCGAAAACCCAAGGGGAATGGAAGGTTAAATGGGATAAAACTACTGAAAAAATGCTTGCACGGGTAATATACTTAGTTGTAGAATCATACAAACAATTTGAGAGCACTTTTCGACTTTTGGTTCCGATTTTACACCCCGGATATTTCAAGATTACAATTTTTTACCCCGGATATTTCAAGATTACAATTTTTTGTGCATCAATCCTTTCGAGACATAAACAAATGCTTGAAATATTTTAGATACAGAAAACGCACGTTTAAGCTATATCCCGAATGACCGCTTCAACCATCGGGACATAATATATGTTGTTCACCCCTTCCCCTGTACCCAACTACAAAACACAACGTACGTTATTAAAGATTGTTAAATTATTAGATTGGAGCTTATTTTTTTACTCAAAAATATTCAGGATGAGTTATTAAAGAAAAACGATATTTTTGATTTTAAAGTAGCACTATTTTTTTAACTCACCCGTGCCCATGGAAAAAAGGAATAAAACTAGATATATCCTCTGTTAAAATGGGTTAATAATCTTTATTTTTATTAATCGATTGAAAGTAATAGTTAAAAATTTCCTATTGGTTAAATTTTGAACTATGTACAACAATAGTTCGCAATTTTCCTTACTGCAAGTAAAATTGCAATAATTCCTTATTGAATGCAAGATAAATGGCTGTTTGTATTACCATTATATGTAATTAAGTAAACCGTAAATTATTGATAATTACACAAAACATGTCTAACGCCAGAAATGTATGCTCTAGGAATTTTAAAACGGATCGGCAGTGCATTTCAAACATTTTTCGACTGCAGTACATTTTGAATCGGTTATTTTCTGTAAATGTAAGAAAAGTTGCAACTGCTGATTAAAAGTACGTAAGTGCACAGACGTGCAATACTTGCAAGCAAGTAAAATTGCGAAGTGGCTCTTAAAGGCCAATTAAATTAGAAACCACTCGAGTATTAATTACAGCTAGAGCTTCCATTTTTATAATTCTAAATTTATCGAATATATTTTTTACTAGAAAAGCCATTAGTGTATTGACCGTACTTTAACACAATTTTTAAATTTTCACAATGTAAGGTGGGATCTTCCAAAATTTATGTATCACTATACAGGGTGTTTAAAAAAAGTGTCACAAAATGAAATGGTGAATAGTATGACCCAAAATAAGCAGAAAAGTCTTAAATTAACGGTTTCGGAGATACGGACCATTTTGTGTTTATAACAATTTTTTATTATTATAAAAAAACAATGATATTTATAAACAATCAAAAACAACATAGAGTTAAATGAGATGTTCAAAGTGTCCTCCCTCCATTTCAATGCAGCTACGACATCTCCTCCGAAAGGACTGTCGGACTCTTTCCAAAACACCCTCATTGGCTAGGATTCGATGACATCCCTGCTCTATTCGTTGCTGCAGCTCTTCGAGGTTATTCACAGGAGTGGCGTACACTAAATTTTTTAAGTGTCCCCAAAGAAAAAAGTCAAGCGGATTTAAATCAGGCGATCTTGCAGGCCATGGCACAGGTCCGCCCCTTCCTATCCATCTTCGACCAAAGGATCCGTCTAAATGTTCTCTTACGGCAACTGAAAAATGCGCCGGAGCACCATCGAGCTGGAACCACATTTGATTTCTTTCACCCAATGTGTTCTGCAAAAAGTTTAAGTAGTCAGCTCCCGTTAATCGGTTAGGTAGTACAATCGGACCTAGTAACCAGTCGCCATAAATACCCATCCAAATGTTTAATGAAAAACGAACTTGATGCCTGGATTCCACGATACTATGGGGATTTTCGTCGGCCCACATATGCAAATTATGGAAATTAAAAACTCCATTTCGTGTAAACCCTGCCTCATCAGTAAAAAGAATTAGTGCAATAAAATTGGGATCCTCAGCATCATTTCTCAGAAACCATCGACAAACGTGCTTGATAATCAGGTGCATTCAGAGCTTGCACTCGTTGAAGATGGTACGGGTAAAGCTGCTGCTCGTGGAGGATTCTCCAAACCAGAGGAGCCCCAATTCCTACCTCCGCTGATATTCTTCGCACACTAGTTTCTGGATTCTCTTCTACTCGTGCTAAAATTGCTTCTTCTGCCTCAGGGGTGGACACCGACCTTGGTCTCCCGGAATCATGTGACTGTTTCCCAAATTTACCTGTATCACGCAATCTTTGGTGCAATCTTTCAAACACACGAACTGAAGGGATGTGGCGATTAGGGAAAGCGTCGATATACTGACGTAGCGCTTCCCTCGCATTGCCATTTGCACGACCGTACATAAAATGCATGTCAGCTAATTCAATATTAGTGTAAACAGGCATAACGAAAATTTATAAAATTATTCACCCACAACAAAATAATAACTGTAAATAGTATCTATGAAAAAACATCGGTAGACTCCGATAAGAAAAGCAAGTTTTTGAGAATGAAAAAAGATAATCAAAAAATGATACAAAACACTCCGTATCTCTGAAACCATTCATTTGCGGACATATGTTTATTAAGACTTTTCTGCATATTTTGGCCCATACTACCCCCCGTTTTATTTTGTGACACTTTTTTTTTAACACCCTGTATAAATGTTTCACATTTAACAGTTTCAAAGAAATTAAAACAAAGTAATGGAACCTATGAGAGTTAGAGCTGATAAATAACTAACAGATGTGGATTTGTCAGTTGTTATTCAAAAATGGTTAGAAAAAATATTTTAAGCCTATGTTGTAGATATTAATTATTTAACACTCCATTATATCTAAGTTACCAACTTTTGGAAACAATTGATACTTTAAGAAAAAAGTTATTATAAAAAGTAATCAAGCGTCACATTTGAAAAATTCAAAACTTTCCAATACACACTTTTACATTGGTCATTTTACCCATTGAATAAATTAAATCGAAATCACTTAAAAACAAGTGTAACGAATTAAACTTACACATATTTTTTAATTTCTGACATTTTCAATTCATATTTTGATATTTCTGACATTTTCAATTCATATTTTGATATTTTTTATGTTCCCTGTACAATATTAAATATTTTACAAATTTGATTCTTGATTATTAATTCTAGTGCAGGACTTTTTTTATCAAGAATAACATTTTTTAAACCAAATTCAAAAATTAAATTCGTCGGAATATATATTTTTTTATGTATGTTCTGCCATAATTAATTCTTTACTACGTTGTCCGATTTCTATGTTAGAAAGGGTGTACCTCAGGGTTGGTTCCATATAAAGGACCCCGCAATAATCTTATGGAAATTGGGTTTCTGTCAAATTGTCTGAATTTTTGATATGTTGTAGATTTTGTCATCCTGAACAAAAGTCTTCATGGGCACAAAGTGCCAAAATGAATATTTTGGCAGCTACGGAGCTGCCAAAGCTCCCCTGACCCGTTGCAAAACTATTCATTTTCAATACTATTTACAGATGTCAAAAGCATATTTTAATTATTCTAATATATAGGGTAATGTTTTGAGGTCACTGGATTCAATCTTCATGTCAGATTGGACAAATTGACAGCTGTCAATTCACTGTCAACGAGGAATATAAAAGTAAATATCCTCTTTTCACATTGAGAGTTTGGGTTTTTGAGGTCGCTGAATTCAATTCTCATGTCAGATTGGACAAACTCTCAATGTGAAAAGAGGATATTTACTTTTACATTCCTCGTTGACACTGAATTGACAGTTGTCAACGGTCAATTTGTCCAATCTGACATGAGGATTGAATCCAGTGACCTCAAAAACATTACCCTATATATTAGAATAATTAAAATATGCTTTTGACATCTGTAAATAGTATTGAAAATGAATAGTTTTGCAACGGGTCATGGGAGCTTTGGCAGCTCCGTAGCTGCCAAAATATTCATTTTGGCACTTTGTGCCCATGAAGACTTTTGTTCAGGATGACAAAATCTACAACATATCAAAAATTCAGACAATTTGACATACACCCAATTTCCATAAGATTATTGCGGGGTCCTTTGGTCAATATCTAATAATGGTGTCCATGAAAAAATTATCACTCTTAATTTTTTATGTATTTTCATAATTCTTTACCACGTTCGATTTCTAGGATTATTTTTTATTAGAAAGAGGATACCTCAGCGGTGGTCCTGTATACAGTTGGTCAGGATTTTATGGTTTATGAATTCATGAGAAGATAAAAAAACTCAATTTTTAAGGGTATCTCTACAATTTGGAGTCGGTTTTTTTAAAATTACTTTTATTATATCTATTATTTGTCAAATTAATGAAATTTTTCATATGCTGATAACATAGGTAGATACATAAAATAATTTTTGATTTTAAACTCAATAATAGTATTTTTAATGACTTCTCAAATTTAACTTCAAACGACATTACAAATCCACTAGTTTTACTTAATGCTGATAAAATATTTGACAATATTCTAAATTACAATATTTTATTGTTTTATAAGAATTTTGTGCTTTTAAATTAAATAAAAACAGTTCTATAGATGATCAGCTAACCAGTCTAATAATAGTATCAAGTTTGAATATCAACACTATTTAAATAAAAATTTCCTAGGTTTATTCTGTCATTTTATTTTAGCACAGCACTATATATGTTTCGGAAACATTTTTTCCCCAAGTTTTATTAAATTTTGACTGCACCGAAGATGGAAAAAAAATTCCGAAACATATGTAGTGCTGTGCTAAAAAAAACATGACCGAATAAACCTAGGAAATTTTTATTTTTATAAAATTCTGCTACGGTCGAGAAATTATCCTTATTTATATTTTTTTAAAGTAATATTATTTATAAAAATATGGAGAGTAACTTTTATTCTCGATATTTTTATGGGTATGCAATAATGTAGTGGTAGATGAATTGCTAATCTAATCACGTTTTCCTAGTTTTTGCTTTTTCTTCACTTTACTATACATTGAGAACTACATTTTTGTATATTTCAAATCGTGTACCAAAGAAATTGCTAGTCCTTTTATAATAATCATTTATTTTTTGATTGTAATAAAATTACATTATTATAAGTATAACACTGTTGAATTATTTCTACCTTCTGAATTATCACACTGTGATTTCACAAGGGAAACACTGTATGGAATTCCTATATACAGTCTGCCTGTGAGACTGTTACTGTATTAAAAATGTTTCCATATTATTTGATATTTCAGATCTTACAGCTTCTGCAGCTTCATTCATTTCTAGACCTTCAAGGATATACAGTAAATTATCTAAACTTGCATCTTCATCATCTTCAAACCATATTTGTAACAAATTCCTTGCTTGTTCAATGGGAGTAGGATTTTCATTTTTAAAAAAATCAATTTCATCAGGTTTATAACCTAAAATAAAATTAATAAAGTGCCAATGTTTAAATATAAGTTTGTAAGAATGCATAATTAAATTCGGTGAAATAATAAATTTAATAAAGCAAATATATAACCTACCTAATTTAACTGCCAATTTTGGCCAATCTGGGGAAATTTTTTCACTGAAATATAACAATTGCTCGTAAGTTAAATTTTTATTATCTTGTCTCACATTTGTGTCATCAACAAATTCTTCATGATCTGTTTGTTTAAGATCTTCTGTAGCTTGATCTGCTTCAGTAAGAATACTCTCCAGCTCATTATCATTTTGACTTTCTTGTGACATTTCCTTTCCAGGTTTTTCATGAATTATCTTTCTTACCATCATTTCTAAAAGAATAATCAGCATGAAAATGTTTAGATATAATTTATCTATGCATGCTTAAGTAAGACACAAACTGCAGGTATATCGCTTTCAATGCCCTCTTCCAGTAAGTAAACTTCATACAAGAATGTATTGAACACTAATGATCTTTTGACTAGTTAAACTAAGAGTGGCAGTTTTGTATTATTTTTACCATATACATTTTATACGGTGTAATATTTGATAACTGTAAATACATCTATGTACAAATTATAAATAAATCGATCATAATTTGAATAAATGTGAGCATTTACCTAAATAGGATGACAAAGGATTCATAATAGTAGTACTGTAAGTGAAAAAATGAGGACTGCGTCTTGCTAAAAGCCTCAATGCTCTCCAACCAAAATTACTGTCTTTCAACAAATTATCATCTCCTTTGCTGTGAGTTTCAACCTGCTGAATTGGATCTGCAAAGTATTCATCTAAAGTTGGCAAGAAATTTCTTCCTTTACATGCTTCTAAATTATTTGGACAATGATTCCATAATTTGGTTAGCTCACCACTGAAATAAAAATAAAATTTAAATAAATAAAAGTTTCATATTAAATGGACAATTCCTATTAATAATTATTTTTTATCTGTATTGGTTTTTGTAGTTAATAATATTAATGAAAAAGTCCAAAGGTAATTTTTTTGCCAGAAATGTTATTTTGGTAAATATTTTACTCACCTGCCAATAAAATATTTTCCTTGATCACTAGCTTCTTTAATGATATCTCCTAGAAGTGGTTTTTCCGAATCTCTTCTTTTTTCTGACACTTCTGTTTGCTGGGGTAGAGTCTTTTTGATCTCTGACAACAAAAATCAATAATTTAAAACTCCTTTTGTTTTATGATTTCCATTTTAAGGCGAGCCAGTCATTAATACAGAGGGTAATTATTAGAATATGAAACTGTTTTTAATTTACATCAATATTGAGAGGGGGTATCTTTCGACATACCCAGTATATTTTGTTAAAATTAACCCTAAGTAATAAAAATAATCAGTTATTTTTAATTTTGTATTCTGTATTATTTGGTTAAAATTACATGTCAAATATATTCTTAATTTTAATGATTCATTGGGCTTAATTTAAATGCACTTTTAGGTATATTTCATCATTGCCATGTCAATTTTAACCAGGCCTGGTTTTAAAATAACTAATAATAAAAAGTTCAACTGAATACCAAGTAGAGATTTTGGTAAAAATTTAAACAACAGTTATAAATAACCTTTTAACCTGATGGTTAAAATGAACTAAAACGTTACAGATTATGCCCTAATGTCTGAAATTGTTATTTAATTACATTACCTGGGCAGCTGTCATTTTTCCAAGCATTCCATAATTCTTCACGACTTAACACATGTTTTACAATTTGTGCAAACTCTTCTCCATCTGGTGGAGTTTCTCTCAAGAGAGTATATACTTTTTCTGTGTAACTGCTAATCCATTCTTTTTGGTCATTTTTCAATTCATGAATATCTCTTAAAAACGCAAATGGTTAGTTCAGGGAAGCAGAGATTTAAAAAAAATCATACAAAAATTAAATTAAAAAACTTACGATTTAAATTTAACTGTAGATGTGAAATACTGAAAGATTATTAGAAATTGGAGTAATACAGATCTTCGGAAATTTACATCATGCAATTGCAAATCTAATAATTTCTGACTTGTTAGATATTTTGCAAAATATCCCAAATTTGCAGAATTTTCTGTAGATGTCACATAGTCAAGTTTTATTCCATGGAAAGTATTTAATACATTAGTGGCATGCTAAAAAGTAATATTGATACATTTTATGTACAAAATTAAGATTTTTGTACCCAGAAATTACAAAACAACCTATAGATGAACATATTAGGGATACACCCATACTTATGCAGGCTGTAATACAATGAATAAAAATAAACTACTTACAGAACTGAAGAGTTTCCATTGAACCTTATTATAACACTGAATAGGATTCCTAAAAAAATCTTGTAATTGCCAAAATTTACAGTAGAAAGTAAAATCTATGGTATGTTTCTCATCTCCAGATTTAATTTCTGTAATATCCTCTTCTATTTGATCTGTACCATATTCTGTTACATTCTCCAAATTAAATTCGCTAACAATATTTAAACCTGAACGTTCAGAAAATGGGAAAAATTTTGCCAAAAATAAAAGAATTTTCCCACAAAACACAGTTGCTGTAGTTCTAGACAATCTTCTTAATAGATCATTACATAAACGTAATAAGTTGTTTTTGCACCCAGAAAAAAATAACTCTTCCTTCCAAACATTGACATTCTGTTCTAAAAGTGAAAGAAACATTTTAAGGTTCTTAATCAAATACAGAGAACAATATTTAAAAAATAAAAGACAAAAATTGTCCAATTTTTATGAAATGGTGATTTTCAATTTTACAAATTATATTATAAACACAATAATTTTTGAGGGCAAACTTGTAGTTTAGGTGGGTACTGAAATGTATGTCTACACTCTTGTTTGAGACTTTTCAGGTCAATTTGAGCAATTGGAGCCTATGCCTGTCGGCGTAACCAAGTATGGGTTGCGCCTTCATCCTCTTTGGCCTGTCAGACCAAGTGAGAGCAGCAATGAGTACAGATATATGTATTAGTACCCGCCCAAACTACAAATATACCTTTTTGAGATTTCATTTTAGATTAGCAAATATTTTTATAATAAAATATAACCAACCAACAAATGTAAACATGCTTTCACAAATATCTAGAGTTAAAGTTTCAAATATATCTCCAAGAAGTACAACAGGTATTGTAGGAGAACTTAATCCTCTTCTACAGAGCAGTATGGAAAAATCTACATAGTCTCTAAGAATTGCAACACTACTCTCTTCTTCAAGAAGATTCAATAAAATATCTCTTATAGTTTGATCCAAGGGTGTTTTTATATCCAAATCAGTCCGATTTAAAGATTTTACTTTTTGTTCCAATGGTTCAACATTGTTGGTTTTAAAAGACGTTTGTAGAATATCCTAAAATTAAAAATTGTTATATTAAGTTAAACATCTCCAATTAATCAAAAATAAATACTTAAGCTTTATCAGTTCTATACTTACTTTATATTCAATTCGGAGAGTTTCAAAATTGTAATTCATTTTTATTCAAATATACCTTTTAACACTGATCTAATACAGATCAGTGCCTTTTAACATAAAAAAAGGCACTAGTTAAAGATGCTTTACAATTTGCAACTGCAACACCTTTGCTTGGTATTTGGTATATAATTTTACAACTAAAAACACATCAACATCAAAAAAAGCACAAATTGAAAACGGGTGAACATGGACGAACGATATAAACGAAAACAACAACAATCGTTTTTGTTTTGTAGGTTAAAAAGTTTCTTCTTTTTTTAATTTTTTAATCATTTCTTGGAGTTTTTTTCGTACCGAATGGTTGTATGTCTAGAGACAAAAGTTATAAAATAATTAGAAGAATAAATATTCTGTTTTTAGTTTTATATGGCCTCCACCATCAAGGGTACTTAGTATCTAAAACTGGTATACAGGACCGTACTGCCCAGGTAAGGTAAGAGGTTGTATCTACAAAAATTCCGATTTCGACTTTTTTGTTAACATTTCGCGCGAAAAAAACAGAAATCTTTCAATATACGTCACGTGTGTCACGTATCGAGACGCCTATCTATGATGTAATGCCGAGACGAGACGCAATATATTCGATACGTAACGTGTCGAGTGTTGAGCACTTTATTGTCGAGTTCGCAGTTCGATGGCTTAATTTTAACAAGTCGTAACCCACAATTTTTACGAATTCACGTTTTTACGTTTACTCAAAAGAAAAAGATGAACACTATCGGTCACTGAAACCTCTTGTCCCAAATAAAATAATTTCTAGTTGATTCCCGCGTTTTCTAAAAAGTCATATATTGGGAAACCCTCTGCTTTTCCAGCAAATATTCACTTGTTACATAAAATAAGGCATTTCATAACTGATTTCATAAATAGCTAGTACCTATATGTAACAAGTTACGAAATGCCATTTTGTATAACTCGTTTATTACATATTCACTCGTTACCCAAAATAAAGCATTTCGTAACTGATTTCATAAATAGCTAGTATACGTAACAAGTTACGAATTGCCATTTTGTATAACTCGTTATCAAATATTCACTCGTTACCCAAAATAAGGCATTTTTAAACTGATTACATGAATAGCTATTAACAATTTCACTGTCAATAAAAGTTATGTAACCTTGATTTTAAATTGATTAATTAGCATTTATTTTCAAATTCAAATTACACAATGACAATTGCCATGTCTAACACATACTCATTGTGAAAACTCGAAAGCCTTAATTTTGAATCTCCTCATCGGAACGTACATTTTGAGCGAGCATTGATATCAAATCCATTCTCCTAATTTAAATAATGTGTCTGGAAAAACTGAGAAATCGCACAACAAAAAAGTGTGAAGAGATCCACAACACACTGCAAATGTTGCAATGGATAACCTAACAAATACTGTAGTTTTATGTAAATTTTGATTGTGATTTCGATATTAAATGAATTATTTGTTTCTTTTTTTGTTGCATTATTTTGAGGTAATACACTTTATAAGGTATTTTTCGTGGCATAAACCAACATGAACGTTTATGATAGATTAGGTTATTTAGACCAATTAGACATGTTTGTCTAAATAAGACATCCTTCGGTATAGAGAAAACTCAGTATTGCGAGGTAGCTTTGATCTGTACCAGTCACGGTTTTCCACAAGAAAGGGGTTTGTATGTAATATGTATACAGTATGTAGCATGTACTATGTCTATAGTATGTAGTATGTAGTATGTAGTATGTAGTACGTAGTATGTAGTATGTAGTACGTAGTACGTAGTACGTAGTACGTAGTATGTAGTATGTAGTATGTAGTATGTAGTATGTAGTATGTAGTACGTAGTATGTAGTATGTAGTATGTAGTATGTAGTATGTAGTATGTAGTATGTAGTATGTAGTATGTAGTATGTAGTATGTAGTATGTAGTATGTAGTATGTAGTATGTAGTATGTAGTATGTAGTATGTAGTATGTAGTATGTAGTATGTAGTATGTAGTATGTAGTATGTAGTATGTAGTATGTAGTATGTAGTATGTAGTATGAAGTATGTAGTATGTAGTATGTAGTATGTAGTATGTAGTATGTAGTATGTAGTATGTAGTATGTAGTATGTAGTATGTAGTATGTAGTATGTAGTATGTAGTATGTAGTATGTAGTATGTAGTATGTAGTATGTAGTATGTAGTATGTATGTAGTATGTAGTATGTAGTATGTAGTATGTAGTATGTAGTATGTAGTATGTAGTATGTAGTATGTAGTATGTAGTATGTAGTATGTAGTATGTAGTATGTAGTATGTAGTATGTAGTATGTAGTATGTAGTATGTAGTATGTAGTATGTAGTATGTAGTATGTAGTATGTAGTATGTAGTATGTAGTATGTAGTATGTAGTATGTAGTATGTAGTATGTAGTATGTAGTATGTAGTATGTAGTATGTAGTATGTAGTATGTAGTATGTAGTATGTAGTATGTAGTATGTAGTATGTAGTATGTAGTATGTAGTATGTAGTATGTAGTATGTAGTATGTAGTATGTAGTATGTAGTATGTAGTATGTAGTATGTAGTATGTAGTATGTAGTATGTAGTATGTAGTATGTAGTATGTAGTATGTAGTATGTAGTATGTAGTATGTAGTATGTAGTATGTAGTATGTAGTATGTAGTATGTAGTATGTAGTATGTAGTATGTAGTATGTAGTATGTAGTATGTAGTATGTAGTATGTAGTATGTAGTATGTAGTATGTAGTATGTAGTATGTAGTATGTAGTATGTAGTATGTAGTATGTAGTATGTAGTATGTAGTATGTAGTATGTAGTATGTAGTATGTAGTATGTAGTATGTAGTATGTAGTATGTAGTATGTAGTATGTAGTATGTAGTATGTAGTATGTAGTATGTAGTATGTAGTATGTAGTATGTAGTATGTAGTATGTAGTATGTAGTATGTAGTATGTAGTATGTAGTATGTAGTATGTAGTATGTAGTATGTAGTATGTAGTATGTAGTATGTAGTATGTAGTATGTAGTATGTAGTATGTAGTATGTAGTATGTAGTATGTAGTATGTAGTATGTAGTATGTAGTATGTAGTATGTAGTATGTAGTATGTAGTATGTAGTATGTAGTATGTAGTATGTAGTATGTAGTATGTAGTATGTAGTATGTAGTATGTAGTATGTAGTATGTAGTATGTAGTATGTAGTATGTAGTATGTAGTATGTAGTATGTAGTATGTAGTATGTAGTATGTAGTATGTAGTATGTAGTATGTAGTATGTAGTATGTAGTATGTAGTATGTAGTATGTAGTATGTAGTATGTAGTATGTAGTATGTAGTATGTAGTATGTAGTATGTAGTATGTAGTATGTAGTATGTAGTATGTAGTATGTAGTATGTAGTATGTAGTATGTAGTATGTAGTATGTAGTATGTAGTATGTAGTATGTAGTATGTAGTATGTAGTATGTAGTATGTAGTATGTAGTATGTAGTATGTAGTATGTAGTATGTAGTATGTAGTATGTAGTATGTAGTATGTAGTATGTAGTATGTAGTATGTAGTATGTAGTATGTAGTATGTAGTATGTAGTATGTAGTATGTAGTATGTAGTATGTAGTATGTAGTATGTAGTATGTAGTATGTAGTATGTAGTATGTAGTATGTAGTATGTAGTATGTAGTATGTAGTATGTAGTATGTAGTATGTAGTATGTAGTATGTAGTATGTAGTATGTAGTATGTAGTATGTAGTATGTAGTATGTAGTATGTAGTATGTAGTATGTAGTATGTAGTATGTAGTATGTAGTATGTAGTATGTAGTATGTAGTATGTAGTATGTAGTATGTAGTATGTAGTATGTAGTATGTAGTATGTAGTATGTAGTATGTAGTATGTAGTATGTAGTATGTAGTATGTAGTATGTAGTATGTAGTATGTAGTATGTAGTATGTAGTATGTAGTATGTAGTATGTAGTATGGTTTGGAATATGTATATTTACATATTCGGAAAATGCGCTCATCTGCATAAAATAAATGTGAGTCTGTTTGGAATAGATTAATGAACATATTGTTAAGGTGAGAATATGGTAGGGATTTTCAAAATGAAACTATAAAATGTACAGGTAGAATTTAATCAGTTCTATTACAGCAAAAATAAACAGTATATTTTCTAATACACAGCTAATTGTTATATACCTACCAAATTATATCACAGTGTACTAATTTTACACTTTTCCATTAATGTAGTCTCGATAGTAGAAAATCCAAAATTTGAGCAAAAAGTGTTAAGCTTGAGAAGCCGCTTCTACTATGACTCGCACAGCTGCAAGAGCTTCTTTGCTTGTTACCTGGATATAACTGGCGGGCAATACAAAACCATATCTGAAAAGTAACAAATAATGGAGTCATTATGAGTACCGAAATAAAATGGAACATGGTTTGTGTTGATTTGTTGTTAAGTGAATGTATATCTAATTTTAGTGTGTGTACCGAGTGACATGATGAAGAATTTTTTCGATAAGTTTAGCCACTCTTGGTATGAAAGAGCTGTCGTATCTATCGACTATAAATGTGTACAAGCAGTGGACAGAGTATAAGAGAATAGAAGAAATAATAATAATAATAATAATAATCACTAATTTGTACCGCCGATGGTCGAGAGAAGAGTTAATTGTTTAGCCAGACAGCAGTGAAAAATTAAAACAGTTGTAGTGTTAATAAAATTGAGTTTTATGTAGCACCAATAATAACAATAGAGGACACACTCAAATGTCAAATTGTGTTTTAAGAAATGGTGACAACAACCAGCTTTTATCAAATACAATCTAATTGCTCATAAGTCCAGGAAAGTATGTAATGAACCTGTTGTTTTATCATATTTTAAAATTAATTTAATCATTCAAAAATTAAAAAAAAATATTCTATACAATTTGTCAGTCACATCATCGATTTATCGATTTATCGATTTATCGATTTATCGATTTATCGATTTATCGATTTATCGATTTATCGATTTATCGATTTATCGATTTATCGATTTATTTATCGATTTATTTATCGATTTATCGATTTATCGATATATTTATTTATTCACTTATATATTTTTGTTTCCGTGTCGCTATACCTTTTTTCCCTTCTCAAAGGAATAGGCGTTGGAATAGGCTTTCGAATAGTAAAACTTTTAATTTACTTGGTAAGCAATATAGGTATTCATTTTTTTTTTTTGATTGGCTTACAATTGCGGTTATTCAACTCTGTATCGACCATATTTAACTCTTTTAGCTTCCAGTAATTCTTTGTCGTGTCAATAACGAATAAATTTCGATATTGATAATTTCTAAAAAATAAAGTCTAAGCACAACGAGACCCTGGTATTTTCCATTTTCCGTTTTAAACACAACTTTCTACGTAAATTGGCGGCATATGAAAATCTTTTTTATTATTAATATTGGGAAAAAAGTTATTCTTTATAAAAAGTCGAGCATGGTCTAAAACCTAAAATACAACCATCAGATATCAAATTTTATTAGTCGTATAAAGAATAAAGGTATTTTACTCTTGAGTAAAACTCATATTTTTTGACAAATCTCATGTGAATAAATTTGATATTTGATGACTGTATTCTAGGTTTAAGATAATACAGAATTTTTTATGAAGAATCACTTTTTTCCTAAAATTAATAATAAAAAAGTTTTCCATATGATTCCAACCTAGGGGGACATACTGTATAAATTGAGCACTATCTGTAATCGAAGTACAGCAGGTGACTCCATGTCACGTGACGCTGCGTTTACAATCAATTTTATTGCTTTCGTTCAATCTAGTTTGTTATTAATTAATAAGTAATAATATACCATATTATCGCTCTGGTACATGGATGTCCATGGCTACGAAACTAACTTCTTCGATATAAACCATTATTTGTCAGCTATAATCGTTGTCATATGGTGGTCATATATTTCTAAATAACTTAACTTCATGGTATTCTTAAATATCGATAATTTTTTTGAAAATCCAACACTTAACATTCATTTAGTATCAATTATTATATTATCCTTTATAATTCAATGGTCCCTTGGTTGTAAATGTGTATGAGAAAGAAAACATACCTTCCGTCATCTCGAAGTTCAATAGTATAAGAATATTTCATGCGGACAACTCCTTTTGCCCAGTCATCTGATCCACCAGCAGCTGGATACAAGGTGCTTGCTGCAGGACCAATTGTGTAAGTTGGACCACCTGCAGCACGAATGGCTGCACCAGCTTTATGCGCTACATTTTGCAAGTCCTTGTAATCTGTGGTTACTGCTGATGCGTAACCCCAAGGGTATAAAATATATTGACCATAGGAATGGAATGAAATATATGCCTTCCAGTTGGCTGCAGTTCCTGAAACAAAAATATAAATTAATACTTAAAATCCGAAATACTCTTATTTAAATTTCGTTTTTATTATTTAAAATAATATAGTGCAGAGCATAGTGGCGCATTCGTTTGCAAAATTGTTTTAATTCGTAATTTTTTTTTTAAAATGTCCGAAAGGCTTTTCTGATTATAAAAGTGTAAGATGACACTCGATATTTGTTGATGTTATTGTTTAAACAACGAAAAATTAATTAAGCCAGAAAAAATCCATTTTCTGCAATGAATTAATTTTTTTTATATTCTTTAGGATATTTCAAATAAAAAAAGTCCATACGCCCATCATCGTATCTTTAACCCTTTAATTATTATGAATTTTTTAAAATCCAAAATTGACGAAAATTCTAATTTTCTTGAATTAAATAATATAACTCAAAATTTAAAATGCTATAATTTTAAATTTTTTACCGAATATTCAAACTATAATAAACAAAATAACCTAAATAAATTTTTAAAATTTTGTTTGTTGTTATGTTTTTTTTACGTTATAACAATATGCTTCCTACGAGCGTATACTTTTAGAGAGAAGTTCTTCTATCTCACTTCCAACTCAATGTATAAGCCCGATGACGCGCTAAATCAATTTTTTGCTGTATTTCAGAGATAAGTTTAAAAAAATTATTATTAACATTTTTCATAACACTTTGTTATATTTGCCGATTAATAGTTTTGTATCATGTGATTTTTTTCACTTTTTTAGATACTTTTGATAACTTTTTTATTTATTTAAGTTAACAGAAACTATTATTTTTACCATTTATTTTTATTCATGAAAAAATTATTTTCAGATACTGCCTGAGAAGTAAAATCTTCTTCAACCTTTTTTTTTTTCAATACCATAAAAAAGCCAAATGCACTTGTCGTGATCCGTGAAAAATTTATAACATAGTAGGCTTACTGGGGTTATAAAATTTTATGATTTCAAAAATATCCAAACCTTTCTCCATTTAACAAAAATAAGGAAAAAAATTTTTTTTCTAATATTAAGAGTAAGTACTATAAATATTAATTTTTTTATGACTATCAATGTTTTGCACTATGAATACAAATAGGTAAAGGGACTTATTGCGTATTTTGAAAAAAATGTACGTTTAACTCTTCTTCTATTTTTTTCCTGTCATAAACAATTTTTACAACCTTCCAAATAGAAAATTCAACCCTACCTTAGAATTTTTGGCTCGTTTTGAAAATTATTTTTTAGTTGTTAATCAGTCTTGCTCGATTCTACATCTACTGGTTTACTTTGCAGTCGTGTAATTTTCTGAGTAATAATGTCGTTCTCTTTAATTCCAAAAAAAAATTAAATTATCTGACGACAAAAAGTGTTTATTTTGTGATCATGGCGAGGCGTTAGTGAAGTGTCCGAAATCTGATACATATTTAAAATTAAAAAATGCAACTCTTCGTCGAAACGATAACGTGACTGTGTGATTTAATTTGTTGTTTAATGAAAATACTAATAACAATCTTTTTCGTGGCATCGTGGCGCGTAGGAAGCATATTGTTATAACGTAAAAAAAACAAACAAAATTTTGAAAATTTATTTAGGTAATTTTGTTTATTATAGTTTGAATATTCGGTAAAAAATTATAGCATTTTAAATTTTAAGGTATATTATTTAATTCAAGAAAATTAGAAATTTCGTCAATTTTAGATTTTAAAAATTCATAACAATTGAAGGGCTGAAGATACGATGATGGGTGTAAGGACTTTTTTTATTCGAAATATCCTAAAGAATATAAAAAAAATTAATTCATTGCAAAAAATGCATTTTTTCTGGCTTAATTAATTTTTCGTTGTTTAAGCAATAACATCAACAAATATCGAGTGTCATCTTACACTTTTATAACCAGGAAAGCCTACTGGACATTAAAAAAAAATTACGAATTAAAACAATTTTGCAAACGAATGCGCCAGTATGCTCTGGTCTAAAACTATTCAGTAGATATTAAAATGCCTAATTTTATTGGTTTATAACACCTGTACATATTATGCACTTTTTATGTTATAAATAAATCCAAATTGCCTCAGAGATACATTATGTATAATGGTCAATAACTCAAAAATTGTACCATTTTACTTTTGAATATTACAATTAATAACTTTCCCAAATAAGCATCTCTTGGTGCAATTCGATAAAATTAGTGATTTAGAAAAAATAAGCAATACATTATCAGCACATATTTATTTATATGTTTGCTGTTTCCTCCAAAAGCTGATTTTTGAAAAAGATACGATCGCCTGCCTTAAATAAGAAAATTGCGTACCTACCTTGATTATGAGAAATAAAAATATAATTATTAATAAGTTCCAAGGTTGGAACTGTTTGTTAAGTGGTATGAAACAAAGTACCTATATGACGTACTAATTTTTTTTACTGATACAGTTAAACTTTTACAAACAAACTGTTGCATGCCATTATTAGCATTTAACGCGTGTTTGGAACAGTGTCATATTTAGGAAATGCATAAGCTATCAGTGTTTTCCCAATAACACTTCCTGTACTCACCACAACACTCCCTGTTTCTCAAGATTTCCAAAGTTGTTACATCTACAGGCGTTCTCTTATTGGTATTTTGCATTAAGATTCATTTATTGATTCACATCCTCTAGCGATTTTTAGATTAGATTTGACTTGAGTTGTCTTATGAGAGAACCTTTCAAAAATTCTTCATTCAAGCGGTACTGTCGCAAAAAAATTGATTCCATTAAGGTGATTACAGCACCCCCTTATAATTTTCGGACAAGGATATCTCAAAAAGTAATTTTTTTAGAAAATTTAAATTTGGGCGTCTGTAACTATCATATCGTACACTCTGAGTCATCATTCGTTTCTTGCAATGATTTACACCAGTTTACACCAGTTTAAACCAGAAAATAGTACTTAACGAGGCCTTTTAGCCACTAAATTCGGCGAATTTTAAAAAATCATTAACAAGAGATTAAGAGCTTAAATTTGAGGATTATATTAAGAATAGTGCTGTTGAGGAATGCATTTATTTTCATTATGATATTTCAAAATTTAATGCCCTTTGATTTTTTTTCTCGGAAACTGGAAGGAATTAAAATTTTAAAATATATGCATATTTTAGATATTATTGCCTAATATATTTTGCCAAAATTTTAATTTTTTAAAAAAATTACTTTTTGAGATATCATTGTCCGAAAATTATAAGGGGGTGCTGTAATCACCTTAACACTGCTTGAACGATTTTTGTCTTCTTAGCTACTTGGAAACTTTAACAGAAATATACAGCCTCCCGATATATTTTCTGTTAGACTTTCTTAAATTTAAATAAATGACAATTTGATTTTCTAAAGTACATAGAAGTCTAGGAACCCAATCCTCATAAAATATTGTTTTCGTAGTTTTTTCTTGCAAAATTGCTCTTACCTACTATAAAAAGACCAAGTATCTAATTTCTTGACAAATTCTGAGTTATTGAAAAAAGAAGAATTTAAAATTGTATGCACTTCTGGATATGTTGAGATAAGTTAGGGCAAATCCAAATTTTTGACCTCAGAATATTTAGTATTATTTATCTGACCTTTTTGTGTTCCCTTCTGTAATAAAACAAGTAACCGTTATTTCGTTATTTAGACACAACCACCTCTTACTCAAATGTCATTTGTCGTCTTCTGAGATTTATTTTTGATTTGGTTAAGAGCGACAATCAACTTAATTATTAACTTACTAAATGATTTTTTTTATCGTAGAATCCATCTGAATTTATAAGGTAAGTTTTAATAATAATATATTATTAAATATATATATTCTTAAATAAATTGTCAAGTTTTAAACATAACCTCAATATCAACAATGAATAACACATGTTAGTTTTATATAGGATTATATATTATTTTTTTTGGAATAAGATATTATGCTTTACTATATATAAATATAATAAATAAGATTTTTCCTTTCATATTAAGTTTGGTCTCTGTGAAATCATTCATTTAATAGTTTAATTCTTTTTAAACTTCCTTTCTTCTACGATAACATTTTAATCCTTTTAAGCTAATGGCTATATCTAGACAGTTTTGGTTCAATCTCTAGACGGTTTTGAATTCGTCTCTAGACGTTTTGGATTTATATCTAGACATTTTGGTCTCATCGCTAGACAGTTTCGAGTTCGAGTTCAAGTTTGAATACTGAAGATCATTCACGTTGCAGAATTATGCAGAATTATGCAGAATTACGAATAAGGATCCCGAATCCCTTTGTGGAAGTTGCCTGATGATATATCTTGAGATAACCTAGTTTTACATTCCGTATATTACCAAACTTACCAAAAGATAAGTGCTTACTCAATAAATCATCTTAAATTTGAATTTAGTAAAACTTATGTGAATTAGAATTGGCTAACTACCCTATCTAAAGCATGGTTTAAGTATTATTTGTTAGTGGTTAGTGATTTTCTATATTTTTATCACTAATCTAGAATCAAGTGTAGTAAGCTTTAAATATAGTGGTGCTCAACTTCTTTTTCAAAGTTATTCGAGTTATTTAAAAACCTAACCCATGCCCTATAAATTGAGCTTAAACACATGTAACAAGTATATAGAATAACTAGATATTACGTTACAAAAATGGCGCCCAACGTGGGCAGTGACTTATTTTTCAAAGTTATTCGAGTTATTTAAAAAACTAACCCACGTCCTATAAATTAAGCTTGAACACATATAACAAGTAGAAAGAATAACTAGATATTACGTTACAAAGTTTATAATTTATAATTTAAGTTTCTTACTTAATTTATAGGCATGTGGGACAATAGTAAATAAACGTCGTAGTAGAAATGTAATTACATCTGGTACAAAAGTCTCTATATATGTCTTTAACATTTATATGTAATAGGAAAAAATATATTTTTACCTTGGATAAACTCCTTCATAGCTTTAGATTCCAATTCAGAAAATGGTCTAGTTCCACCATATGTAACGTCGCAAGGATCTTTAGACGTTCCTCCTAGTCCCCACTTATAACTGTAAATAAATAAATAATAGTATTTAATTTACCTAATACAGGTCTAGTACCAACTTTGTGTATAAATACTATAACTGCATACCAGAGTTCGAGGGAAACAACTTTCATAACTGTACCCAGCCACAAAAATAATCTGCTTTGGGGATAACTTAACCTTAATTGTTTGAACATTAATTTACCTGTGGAATACCCAGGGCCGCCAAGAGCCAGGTCGGGCCCCGGGACAATTTTCCAAGTTGGGCTCCACAACATTTTTATAACAAAATTAAGCCCTTTCAATATCACATTTATAAAAAAGGTCCTCTCTCTTGTGCTCTTGTGGCGAACGTCGTCACCAAAAGCGCTGCCGGGCCCCCCCTTATACCGCTGCCGGGCCCTCACTTGAGCCCGGGCCTGGGAATTTGTCTCGGCTACCCCCCTCTCGTCGGCTTTGGGAATACCGTAATCCCTGCGTTCTTTCTTACTGTTGAACGTTGTATGTCTCGCCATACGTCATACAGAGTTGGCAAAAATAATTGTAATTTAAATCATTTTATTCAAATACAATAGTGTTGTTATAAATAACCTTTTATCCTGGCAGTTAAAATTAACTAAAACGTTACAGAATAGGCCTCAATAGGCTTTATACTACCATTAATAGCTTTCTCCTGCTCACCGCCCTTTCCTATTTACGATTTACCGCCCGGTTCTACAGCACCAAATAGCACCCATGTAAAACCGACCTGGAGTACTTTATACATAATAAATTGAAACGATAAAATATAAAATTTACTTTTGTACGTACATGTTAAATACTACTGGTAGTACAGTTAAGAAAAGTTATTTATTTTGTTTTCAGAAAATAGTCAAATTGATTGGATTCTTGGTAATACTTGGGATATCTACAATGTTCTAAAAATTACATCATAGAAGTATACTCAAAAATGAATAAAAAAAATATCATTTAAACTGCATCTTCTCGGCAAACAAAATATTTCCACAGCAAGAAATATAGTTAGATGATATTGAACATAATACTGAAAAAATTTAATAAATATTTTTTTTTTACCTACTTCTGTTTTTCTGGTATGCCTATATGCCTAAAACAATTCAATAAGATAATATTTGAATACTTAAAAAATCATAATATATATTATGTACATCTTTACGCTGGATTTTTGCTGTCAAATAAAATATCTAGATTTTACGAACAAAGGTTAAAATGATTTATTTTATTGACAAAGTAAATAACTCCTTAGCCAACTAATTTCTTCTAGGAACACTGTTTAAAAACGTTTAGTTTATAAGGTATATTAATAATAATACTCTCCCTAATTCACCCCCTTTCGAGTGAATTTCAACCCCTGAAGTCGACTGAGCGACTTGTGTAGGAGAAGGGACGACTTAAAGATGATTGATGGCGCCATTTGACTTACAAGTGAGGAAAACCCGGAAAACCCCATCCATCATCATCGAAAACGGTAAGGCATGGTGATTTTTATAAGCTGGATGTCATATCAACAGAAATTAAATTTCTGCTAATACGGCATCAATCAAATTTTATAGAGAATCATGCAAACAAATTCACATGGTCTTCTATCTCTAGGATTCGAAGCTGGTGTCTCTTTTACCACAAAATTGGCTCGCAAATCAATGCGGCGTCGTAGACACCTATCCTACCTTGCCAAATATTATGACTACGAGCGTCACTAGATCTGTAAAGCTTGCAAAAAATAACTTATAACTTACCCAAAATTTCTATTCAAGTCTGTTCCATAACAGAGTTTAAATCCTGATAAAGTTGGGTCATTGGGTCTTCTATTTTTTCTCCAAATTCGGTCAATAGTATGAGAATATTCATATCCATCAGGATTCATTACAGGTGCTATATAATAGTCGATATTTTGCATATAGTCAGGTTCATTGTCCAAATTATATACTAACTGATTAATAATATATGTAACAACTGCTGGTGAAATCCATTCTCTTGCATGCATGCCTCCGTCGATCCATACCGCTTTATTTCCAACCTTGCCATTGGAAATTTTTAAAACCTATAAATAATGATTGTAAATAGAAAGTTTATGTAATAAAGAACATAAGCTAGGGTTCTAGGTACGACTGAATACTCCCTACATTAATATACTGCATAAACTATTTGGAAGTTGATTATTGATTGATATATGAAGATATTACTATTAAGGGTCGGAAAGCATAAACTTAATCAAACTTGTACCTAACAATGAAAAATTATCCATATTCTCAAATGTGGTCGATCTTCTTGAAGAAAGAATGAATTAAATTCTAAATTAATACGACAATATTTATTTCACAGATTACTAAAGCGACTAGTTTTAGCCTTATTGGGCCATCTTCAGACCTATAATACAAAAATGTTCAATATAGGAAGGGAAGAAAAATAAAATAGTCATAATACATATAAACGTATGTTGAAACACTTTATTTTTGTAACTTGAGTTCATCAGGTAAACACTAATTTCTAACTTTTGACATTCATTGAACATCTATTTGACATTTAACGTCAATGACTTGCATTTCCACATTTCTGTCTCAGCCGGTATTGCACTCACCAAGATCAGTTATTATTTTGTTTTATTGGTTATAATACGTAGACGTGGCTTTTGAATAGTGACGTTTTCCAACCACACTTGTTTACACATCCCACCCGAAGGGTCAATTTGACCCCACGTTTCCGGGTTCCTTTTCATTTTAGCTCTGATGGTGCGCATCACCAAGCACTCCTATCGTTTTAAGTGCTTAGCGATAAGAAAAGTGTTTCAAGACACGTTTATATGTAAGTACCTACCTACGCAACTTTACTATTTTATTTTTCTTCCCTTTCTATATTGGACATTTTACTGTTATAGGCCTGAAGATGACCTAAAATGGCGAAACTAGTCGCTTACGCTTAGTAATTTGGGAAATAAATTATGTCGTATTGAATATGAGTTTCATTTATTTTTTCTTCAAACTTGTACCTACCTATTTGGTAAGTTCTAAAATGTTTATATAATACGTATAATGCTAGATTTTCAAAGAAGAAAGCAGGCAAAATTATTGGTTTATAGGATACCAAAGAAAAAATTATTGAGATAAAATAAGGAGGAGATGCTATGACGATGCTAAAGTGTCCGAACCTTTGCATTACACTCTTACGTAATATGTCAAACTCAAGATAGTGGAGCTAGTCAGTTTTGGTGAGAATAAATGTCATTTTTTTAAATAGCTTCATTTAAATGATATAAAATCATTTCCATTCCGTCAGTCTTCAAATATAAAATTATTGAGCTTAAATAAATCAAAGTTTACTTCAAGTCGCCATTTTCATTACACTTTCACTTTACCGTCACTCGAAGTGCGTTTATTGTCATATCGCAAAATAGTGTTATGTCATCTCTACTTTATTTTATCTCGATGAGACAGAATGTCCAAACGTCATTTACAGATTAATTCCCTTCGGGTCTCGCCTTGTCCACAACAGACTTAGAGAGTTATTGCAAGTGCACTATTAGTGCAAGTGCACTAATAGTGTCGCTCTTATTTTGACATCTGAGCATGCGCATATCACTTACATTCTAGAACCGACTTTAATAAAGATTGTGCCTGTCCTTAATTGTGGATGATTAAGGACAGCAGTTAGTGGCGACTTTATAGTTTTCGGGTGCGCTCGCCAACATTCGTATCAGTTAGAAGTTTTTTAATATTAAATAATTAATATAATCGTCATCTGAACCTTCTAAAATGGTAATTTCTAATGCATCTTCCATATTATGTATTATAAATAACAAAAAAGATGAACTACTGTAATTTAAAATTTTTAAAATGAGGTTAGAAATATGGACAAGAACTCTAATGTCAAAATTTCAGGTTTGAAATAAGTCTTATTTTAGCATGGAATTTATTTGCCTCTAATTACGTTATCACTATTAGTGGCTGACGTTATAGAAATTTGCAATAACTCTCTATTAAGGCCACAGTACCACCCCCAATATTCGTAACATGAACTAATTTTGAAAGATGTCATTTATGTGTCATAAAGTAAGAATCCTTTTGTTCAACAGATGGAGCAATATTCCATATTTAATAGTTCTTTTGTTCAACAAATGGCGTAATAATTTTATTAGTTCTAAACGGTAACTGTTATAAAATAACAAATTCATTACCCCTAGCCACTATGCGATGATAAGTAAACGAGTTCTTGACAAATATTTTCGATGTAGCAGGTACCTAAATAAAAGTTTTGGATTAGATTCGGAATATCGGTATATTTACTTAGTAGTTCATTCTTGTGTCGAGTCGACAAAGGATAAAGGTCTTCGTATCATTACGTAGGGACCTATTATACTATACATGGTGTTTCGTTAAGAATGGGACATAGAACAACTGACGATTCTCTGAATAAAAATAAGACAACTAAACAAATCATGCTTAGATAAAATGTTTCTCGTTTCCGAATTACGGTGTTAAAATCCAAAAAATATTTATGGCTATATTTTTTTATTACTCACAACAATTTTACTAAATTTGGCAAACGTTTTTGGTGTTATAATATCCACCTATCAGCAAAAAAATTAGTTACCTTAATTAACTTTTCCAGTGGCGTACAGCATTGGTACGTAATACCGCATCCCCTCTATAAATATTACGTCACTATCCAATAAGTTATTTGGACATCAAATTTTAAATTTTTTGATGATTTTTAAATAAATAATGTACTCTTTTTAGAAATTTAATAAAAAAAAATCGAAATTTAAAAATTTCAGAATTTTCAAATATGTGCGAATATCTCAAAAACTAACTCAAATTTATTTGAAAAACATCAAAAGTTTTTGGACAATGGACTAAAATTTAGAAGGGAAAAAGGTGTTACTTGCCCATGAAGTACGCCACTGGCAAAGCTTATTTAACTTATTTTTTTGCTGATAGGTGTATTTTATTACACCAATAACGTTTGTCGAATTTAGTAAAATTAAACTGAGTAATAAAAAAATTGTAGCTATTCATAATTTTTGATTTTCAACTTTAAGAGCCTGTTTTTCGGAAACGAGTAATGTTTTATCTACGGATGTTTCGTTTAATCGGCTTATTTCTAATCAGTTAATCTTCAGTTGCTCCCATTCTTAATGGAATACCCTGTATATACCGAAAGGTCTTGCAGCCAAAGAACAAAATAAAAAAAATATAATAAAAAAGTGTTTTTATAACCTTATTTACCCACAATACTTTATTTAAATCTGCATAAGTAAAAATTATTCAAAAATTTTTATCTCATTTTTATGTACAGTGTGTTAACGTAAGTTGGCAGAATACGGAAAACTTTTTAAAGAATTTTAAGAAAAAAACTTATTTTTTATAAACAATTGAATGGTCTATTAATTTTAGAATGAAAAGTTACTTTACATAAAAAGTTATGTGTGGTCTAAAATCTAAAATTCAATCATCTGATATCAAATATTATCAGTTGTATACAGGGTTTGTCGAAAATAAAAGTATTTTATCTTGCGCAAAATCATATAAGTCGTACACGTTGAATTTGTTCATTATGGTGCTACAGTATACCAACATTTATCTGCAAGTGCTGAAGGGATTGTGGTGTAAAAATGTTTTTAAAAGTCGGCAGATTTCGACTAAAATTGGAATCTGAGTACTTTAGAAGTCAAATATAAGAGATCCAAAATAATTTTTTAATAATTCAAATTGGTGTTGAAAGAAAGCGTATTTAAATAAAAATGGTCCCCATAGGATGGAAATAATAAAAGCGCCCCTTTGGTTTGTGTAATTGGACCATTTTAAAAGCATTCAATCATTATCGTTCAATAACGGTGAACGTGGCGAAGAATACCGGGAGGATGCGAAGTAGGAGTTCGAGTGGGATGAAGAGAAGGATTCATGGAGAGAGAAAGGTGAAAAAGGGTTTTTGTTTTGGTGCAGAGATAACTGGTTTGGTGATTTAACCTTCTACAATATTATTATATTGTACTAATTACTTCAAAATAACAGGTGAAGCAACTTAGTTATTTTATTTCAACAGAATCTGTTACTATATTTTCCATTTATACATAATTATAAAATTGGTACCTAAAATTTTAAACGTAGTCCCTGTTTTTACAATTTCTAGATCGAGGGAAGTTCTGGGTAAAAACTTTACCGATTTTTTGTAATGTACTGATTATTTTATAAGTAATAAATCTAACCTTAATATCACGTTTCTCGTGTGTTTGTCCTATGGTGAACACCTTGCAGAAATCTGGAAACGTTTGTGCTAAGTAATCAATAAATCCCCATATATCACTCGTTCTGTGGTATGAATTCCAAGTCATCCGATGACCTACAATTTTAAATAATAAAAATTTAAATACAAAGCTATGTTTAACGAAAATATTTTCTTAACGTATAACATTGTACATCATAAATGTAAAGCGTGATTGACGTGGAGAATATGACTGAATAGGGAAGTATTAATAAATTGGATAAGAAAATGGTGGAATATTGGGAAAAAATAGATATTTGTGCGGTAACGAACTTTTCGCTCAAAATGCACACAAGATTTTTTCTACGATCAAATTATTTTAAGAAATAAATAGATATAAAGCTAAACATTTGACGTAAGTAGTGTATAATGTGTTGCCTATATCTAAGTTAATAATGAAAAACGTAGTTAATATTTAAAGTCAATGTTAACTTGGATAATAAAACAAAAAAACATCAAACTACGTACAAATAATTTGAAAACCATTTAATAAAAAGAAATATTATTATATTATATATAATTTAAATTAGGCGAGCAACAATGCTGTCAAGTTTTCCGCTCGGCGAGCGACAAAGCTGTCACTTAATGTCAGTTCGCGGAAAACGTCAACTTTGCGGTTGTATTTTGAAGCGCAAAAGCCTACTTTGGATAGCGATCGTAGAAAAAAATATTTTTTTACTACTAACATGAGAAAGCACCATTATTTACTCCATTCCTCTAATGAGAAGTAATATTTCTCACCCTAGGTAAATAATGATAATAAAAAAAAAACCTAGGTAAATAATGAAACTAAATTTCATTAGTTTCATTTTGTTAATTTGACAACTAAACTCCCAGACTACTTGATATTTTGAAATATTTGAAAAATAAGTAGGAAATAACTAAAGCTGGGTTTATCAAATCTAATCAAATCAAATATGATAATATATATCAGTGTAAACAGTAAAAATATATATTAACTAGGAAATTCAATACCGGCTTTAAAAATTATTAATTAATACCAATAAATCCATGTCATTAAAATATCAAAAATGCAATGGGATATTTCCTAGAATCATACCAAAATTTGACACATGCCAAATTTTTACATAAATAAAGCCAGTCTGATTAGAAACACGCTCCAGTCTGCTTGATATTTCGAAATATATAACAAATTGTTAGGAAATTACTTTATGTCAAAATTAAAATTGCTAATACATTAATGTTAGTAGTAAAAAAAATTCTATATATACCTCGGCTGAGAAAGCTATTATTTACCTCGCACATTATATCCCTCGGCGCTACGCGCCTCAGGATATAAAAGTGCTCGGTAAATAATAGCTCACTTCTCACCCTAGGTATATAATGTACTATTATATAATAATTATTATTTACCTTGCCTATCTTCATTATCATGAGTAATTGGAGGATTTTCATCTTCAATTGCCTGTTGTAAATTGTCTATTATAATATTATATAATATATCATTATTTCTTAAAGTGTCTGCTACTTCATTTAGATTAATAGGATTAACCAATATATCCAAACTAGTTCTGTTGCCACCCCATGTTTGAATCACTAGAAACAAATTTAACATATTAAGAAAAATATCTAACCATTAAACATTTTTATTTCATTTATAGGTCCTACAATGCTAAATATTATGGTATTTTAAAATCACATTTATCCAATACTTACAACCCTGATTTCTAAGAGACATTATTACTTTCTTATGTTGGTCATTGATTAACTTGGTTTTCCATATCTGATTTCCAGTATAATTTACTTTAGATGTGGGTTCTTCTAAAGCATCTCTTGTTTTTCTACTTTGTACAAAGTTTTCTGAATCTAAATTAAAAAAAATATAATTATAATTCGTTGCGGTTATTCATCTGCTCAAATGTGACAATTTTCATAAGCAAAAATAATAAAAATAGAAATTTATTTATTTATTTAATACCCAACAGGTTTTACATCCTAATTACAGGATATCAATTTATATACAAGAAAAATTTAGCAAAAAAAATAATGGACAATAAAAGGAATGATCAGTTTACAAATTACAAATTGTACACAATACATCATATATACAGAGTATTATTACAACCGCATGCTCTCTATTACTACTACTTCTAATTTATATAATTAATTATTATATTACTAATTAACTATTAATATTAATATAAAGAGCTTAACAAAGACACCAGAGTCATACACTATAATTTAATATGTATAACAATATACTTTTCTTAAAACGACCTATGGTTACACTCCAATCAATTTTAATAATATTATTTATGTTATTAGCAAGTTTGGGTTCTACGACATATCGTCCCAACGACAACTCATCCCACGACAATTCATCCCGACAATTCATCCCGACAATTCTTCCCACGACAATTCATCCCTGCGACTATTCATCCCAACGACATTTCATCCCCCGATAACTCATCCTACGACATCTCATCCCCAACAGTTATAAATAAATCGGATTACCGGTATAATCCACAGCGCAGAATCGGGCTTAAGCATGCTTTATCATGTTTTTAAAATAAATTTTAAAAAATCCGTAGATCGGGCTTAAGCATGCTTTATCATGTTTTTAAAATAAATTTAAAAAAATCCGTAGATCGGGCTTAAGCATGATTTATCATGCTTTCCAATTAAATTTGAAAAAATTCCTAAATCGGGTTTAAGCATGCTTTATCATGTCAACTTGGATAGTGGATTTTTCAATCTCGAAATGATCCAGTTTGGTCTTGAAAAAATTCAACTTCAATTAAACTTAAATTAAACTTCCGATTATTTATTGAAACACAAATAACTGAATGATAAACTAAAACCTTTTCAAGTGCAATGACGGAACTGCAAAGACATTTAATTTTTGAAAAAACAATAAAAATATAATTTAAAGGTTTATAAATGTAATAAACATAAACATATTACTCATATTATAAGGCCCTCATATTATACAACAATATTTTTAGTTATTTTTTAATTTTTGATTATTTATTCGATAATTTATTATATAGCAATGTTATGAGAAATGCCAATGAGATATTGTATGACACGATTTTTATCGTATTTATTAATTAAGTTTTTCAACCGTTCATCGTACTCTTTGTAACGCCTTCTCTTTTTCGGGGCCATTTCCCGACCAGCATTGTTTTGTTGAATTTTAATTTCAACCGAATTTTGTTCCTCTTTTAAAACTTTGATGAATTTGGCGACGCCTGCATGGGCAGTTCGAATTCGATTATTAAATGCATTATGCCAGCCTTCCACAGCATTATTAGTGCGTGGGCAATCGTGCAATACAGAATCATAAACATTCCACATTTCCACTTTGAACAATGGTTCACTGCGCGTTCCATCACGTCTACGTACACCAATCCACGTTTCTTCAAAATAATCAAGCAAAGGCTGGAATTCTTCCTGGGCATCAGTAATATAATGATCGGAGTAAGTAAGGAAAGTTTCATAAGCGTCTAATTCATCTTCAATGGGCACAAAAGCCAACGCGATCAACATTTTCACTGCTCCCTGAAATTGCTCATCCTCTACATATTTTGTTTGAAAACCTAAACTTTTTTTTTTTTTTTTTTTTTTTTTTTTTTTTTTTTTTTTTTTTTTGTGCAAAACTTTTTTAGTAATCAATGCAAAGCGCTTTCGGCTTATTTGCCATCATCAGTGCTCATCTACAAAAATTGTGGATGTAAACTTACAATTTAAAAAGATTTTAAAAAATATATTATAAAATCTGAATTAGACTTTTAAGTCAAAAGTTAAAATAGTATATATACAATTGTTTGAACAAATTAAAAATTACAAGAAACAAACAAAGTGACAAAAAACTGGTATTGGGAATAATGAGTGTGCCATCCCCTCCTAAACTCGATTTCACCCATCAGAGCCTACCTTTGGGACCATGGTACTCCTTTGTTTAAAACTTTTTTGTTCTCTATTTTGTCTCTTTTAACCATGAGTACGCTTGTTGAGTGATTTAGTAATTTTTAGGAGTAAACACTAAACATCAGATTCACCTTTAGGGACCGCGGGTTCAGTTGTGCCATCTTGGGTTCTCTGAAAGAATGTTCTGCAGAGCCCGGGCTGGCACATCAGAATCACGCGAGTGACATTTTTGTTTTGTCTTGACATCAAAATAATAATATCATTTATATTAAACATTTATTTAAATTTAACTAACAATAAATTAAATCTTTAAATTCAATAACAAATTTTGATCTCCGTTAACCTCCAATCACTCGAATCACACTCGGAGAAACATGTTCCACACTGAGGTGAACGCACCTCCTTCTGTTGACATTTGAAAAGTCAAAGTCTTCAAGTGTCGCTTGTCACCACTGTCATGTGGAAACGGTTAAACAACTTGAACCAAAATGAAGAGAGAAATTTAAATTTGAAAATATTAATATTAATAAAATTATGATTTAGCAAGTTGTAAATATCCCGAAATATATAATTTTGGGAGTGAGGATGACCAAGAACTTGTTGGATACGTTGTGGACAGTAGGTAGACTTTTTCATAATTATAATGTATATAAAATATATAAAAAAAACTTCAGTTTTTTTTTTACTTTGGCCTTCTGCGTTTTACTTTCTTCATATCAAATATTGTATTCTAGATTCAAATTTCAATATATCTTCCACAGTCACCCTCTAATTGTAAATTTCTTTAAATTTTAACTAATTTGTTAACCTTTTTTCAATTTTGTGAATAGTGAGGGTGGCATGATTCCTTAATTCCACACAAGCTAACTTGCTTCTGGAGATCAGATTTGATTTGTAAGGGCTTATCTCACACTCACTATTCCCAATACCAGTTTTTTGTCACTTTGTTTGTTTCTTGTAATTTTTAATTTGTTCAAACAATTGTATATATACTATTTTAACTTTTGACTTAAAAGTCTAATTCAGATTTTATAATATATTTTTTAAAATCTTTTTAAATTGTAAGTTTACATCCACAATTTTTGTAGATGAGCACTGATGATGGCAAATAAGCCGAAAGCGCTTTGCATTGATTAATAAAAAAGTTTTGCACGAAATACAAGTTTTTCCTTTTGAATCTAAACTACGTGCACACAGCTGTCACCTTTTGAATCTAAACTACGTGCACACAGCTGTCAACCTAAACTTTTCTCCATATGGCTTGTCCAAAATGAAAATGACATCCTTTGATCGTAGTTCTCGGAAATTTTAATTTGCAAGCCTTATAAGCTGCCATTTCAAAGTCTATGATAATTTGTTCTGGGTTCAGATCTGCTTCCCCCAATAGCATATCAAATACGTTGGTGTATGTTGTTTTATTCTTATTGCACTACAGTACGTAGACAAGAGGGGGCACTTTGGCCTCAGCGTATCCATGAATTGTATATAATTGGCCAAAAGTCAAAGGTACGCTCACAAACGTTCCATCCAATAACCAAATGGAGCAAGATTTCAAATACTCTAAATTTTCCGGGGTAGTAAAAATCATGATTCTGTTCTTACCGGCGTCATTATCATATAGAAGGAAGTTCTTGTCTCTCATAGTCTTTTTATATGCATCGGGAAGTACAAGTTCTTCAACAGTGGCTGGATTTTTAAAATAATTCCAATGTTTCTCCCGAGCTCTTTGAACCGCTCGCTGTAATGAGCCTAGAGTTGGCAGTTGCACAGCAACGCTTTCGGACACATTGATTAAAGCCTGCTTGATGATGTTGTCGGTTGCATCGTCTGAAAGGGCAGCTTTTCTTTTTATGCGGGAAATAATACGTTTCACCGCAATATCGGCTGATTCAGGTGAGTGGTTGTGAGCCGTCGGTGGATCTATTATAGTCCCTAAAATGTGAGAAAAATAATTGTGCATTATCACCAATCATATTTCACCTAATTGAATCCAGAAAACTTTTAATTTGAAATCTTACCGGTTTTTTTCATCGATGTTGTGGAAACTCTACTCCCGCATTTTCTAGACTGGTAATGGACACATCGCCAACTAACACGATAACTTGTTTCACGGTGACAACCATAAAGAAACCCGTCCAATTTTAATTGGTTTTTACCCCTTTGTCTTTTAACAAACTCGAGCGGCATTTTACTTGACACTTATTGATATTCTCTTGAAACACGCACTCTAGATTCTCTCAGTTTACTGTCATGCATGGAATTTTTGATTATTTATTCGAACACCAATAACTCTATATTGAATAATAATGATAATCATAACAGTAAACAAATCTTTTGGGAGAGCAACGGCCTCGAAGCTTACCACGACTCTGTGAATTTATTGTCAACAATATTATTAATAAACGATCTAAAATCTAAACTCTGTGTATTTATTTTCAGTAATATTATTAAAAACAGCATAAAACTTTGTATTCATAAGAGAATCAGATTTTTAGAATATTTGTGGGATGAATTGCCAGAGGAATGAATCGTCGAGGGATGAGTTATCGTGGGATGATTTGTCATTTTTTTTTCCAAGGTATGAATTGTTGCTGGGCTGAATTGTCGTTGGGACGATATGTCGTGTCACGTTCTGATTTACTGTAGTTGAACCAGAAGCCTGTCACAATGTGAATTGTTCCAAAATAACTTATTTTCATAGCTTCGCTTTTGGCAAAATCAAGCTGCTTTAAAAAAAAGTCATATTCTATATAAAATATAAAATTATCTTTCAGCTCTAGCTACAGCGCAATGGTAAAATAAGTTCTGTTTCGTTTACGTCTTTTTAATTAAGATTTTTGTCAGTTAAAGCTTCTTAGAGTTGTTTACATAAATTAAATTGGTATTGCTGACAATACTTGCCAAATTCAACAATATTCCATAAAAAATTTAAAACG